CGAAATATTGTTTTACAAAAAATCAATACACGTTGTTATCAGCTTTCCAGTAGTCTTTGGACTTCTCGGTTTTGGTTCTTAATATTTTAGCTGATTTGATCTCTTTTCTAGAGATCCAACGTTGACAACCAGCAGGATGTTCGTCCACGGTTTTTCCTGTTGTTTTGTTTGTCACAGTGAGTTCCTTGGATCACCGGAGGGCTACCAGTATTCCACCAAAAGGTCCATGATCTCCAGTCGCATTGTAATGGGTCACTTGAGGCGGCAAACAATCAATTGTTTTTAAAGTTTCCCAAAATTTTGTATTCGAATTTTTCAACGGTAATCAGTGGCTTAGTCTTGCTAAGTTCCTAGATGAGATATAGCTTCCAATGCTAAACTGGGAATCAATTTGAAAGGAGTTCCTGGCATTCGTTACGTGGATTTTTCCATTTTCATAGGCTCCTGATAGTACACAGTTTCATTAAACTTTGAACAATTCTGTTCAACATTTTTTTCCTTAAGTATTCGAAACTTTAAGGCCTACCTAAACTTATGTACAAACAATATTCTACATGTCGAAAATATATCTACTGATTCCGAAAACGAAACAAAGAAAAGTACATCAGAGATAACTTTATCATTTTTAATTACAGTTAGTCAAAAAGCGAAACTTTGCGGTTTTGGTGTAAACTTTTTTCTGCAGAGATAACTGAAAGACCATCAACATTGTTGCCAGGGAGGTTTCTCCTCCTCCCTTGAGAACCATCTAACCCCGGGGTGGGGGCGGGGGGGAGGAACTCCCATGTAAAAGTGATGGGATGCTCATCGGAAAATTAAAATTAAACCCGTAAGAGAGATTATGATGGGTGTTGCTCAAGCTTAGAGAATTCACTAGGGACAACGTGCAAAGAATGGAATTTGCTGCCACTTATGTAAGATTTAGAAGTAAACATGTCTGTTTTTGCATTGTCAGATTTGGACATTATCAAGTCGCAAACCATTAGCTATTTTACCTGTCTAAACTTATGTGCTTTGTCAGGCTGCCTGATGAAGTGGCTCGAGATTTTTAACCAATCAATAAGCGTGCCATGTTAGATTCTCTAACACTGTCCACCCGATTAAGTTAACAAACCTTAATCAAACTTAACTCCCGGTCAAATATCAAATTAAAGCGCCTTTGCGAATAGTGGTGTAGGAGCTTGATAAGAGCTTGATAGTGCACCAGTAATAATGAGAATATATTTTCCTATTTGTAAACGAATGTCTCCTCTTTTGTTGTCACACTGTATGTATTTTCAGTAATCTGTCCCACCTTCGTGTTGATGATTCGTTTCGTGACTAAGTCGCATTCTGATTAAACAATATGATCTTTGTATTATCCGTTCGTCTCTTTCCTGCTCGGGGAGTTTCAAGGTCATATTTAGCCCGAAACGATTATTCATTTTTAAGGCAAAAATTAAATGGCAGTCAAAGCTCAGGGGCACCCAAAAACGGTTTCCTCCGAATCCATTGAAAAGACTTTTAAGGCTACCCAGATACTTTTAGATCTCTAGAAATGCATTGTAAGCGGCGCTTCCAGGGTGCCCCTGGAAGCTCTCGTAAGCGATCAAACGGGTCGTAACTTGAGCTGGTCGCTTACAAGAGTGGTAGCAAGCAGAGTGTCGACTGTTTCAACTTGAAATAAATCACAAGCACAATGCACCAACAATGAAGGTTTTTTTGTCTGATTTAATTTCGTTGAGTTTTTCACAGTGATGACCCTCTTCTGCAGGTGAAGTTAACAAAGCGGTTGAGGGGATTAACCGAGAGCTGACGAAACTATGTCACGCGACATGCGCTTGATAACGTTCAGTGAAAACAAATAAAAACTGAGAAAAACACATCACACGAGTGCTTGTGAATTATATAATAATAACCAAAAAGAAAAACAAAAAACGCGGAGTTGAGTCGGTTATATCATAGTTGAAATAACGGAGAAGGTACTCGATCGACATCAGAGACCTTATCGACTTCTTTTGTAAACAGGAATATTTATGAACGAATTTACGAACTTGCTTTTAAAAGCCCAGGTTTCGAAAAAAGAAAAAAAGGATAAATTTTTGAAGGTTTGTTACGTAATGAGATATTTTTCAAGACAAGGAATGAATAAAATTGAAGTACAATAAATCACAGCAGAAAAAGAAAAAGAAAACACCAGTTCAGTTACACATGTTTCAAAATTATTCCTTACCTAAAGCGTCCTAATACGAGCTTCACAAGGCAATAAATATGGTATCCTCTCTTCATAGGACGACCACGACATATATTTTAGTTATTTACCAGTGAATATCGCAGATTTAAATGATGTTTCGCTAAACAATTCACCAGTAGACGGGAAATGATAGAGTTGGGGAGTAACAAGAGTTCCGCTTGAGAATGCATTCAAAAAGGCGTTAGGGTAATTATCACTTTCTTTCAATGCAATCGTACAGATCCCCCGCAAGTCGCCAACAGTAAAACAAAAGACCACCCCGTGTGATTCAAAACAGTAAGGAACAATAGAAAAGCTTTTTTGAAATAAATCGATTGGATTTTGCTTGGTTAATATGTCAGTGAGAGGTTTTAATACATCCCTGTAAAACAGTCATTAAATATTTCGGAAATTTCAAAAACCCGCATGGCATCCAAAACGTTTTACGGTTTGTAAAAATAATAATAAATTTAACAGTTCTCCAAGGGTGTGTAGACTAATTGTTTTATGCACTTTGTTTGACTCAGTTGGTTTCTTCTCCAATTTTTCAAGACGTCTAAAAATGGTTAACTGTTACGATACTGCCACGTAAATGTTTACATTGACTTAACCTTGACTATTTAGATTCGAACTTGCTTACAGATTTGAATTCCTGAATTTATAAGCTTTTTGTATTTTAGTTATCCTTGAAGTTCCATGACCAGGATTAATTGGTTCCTCTTTGTTGGCACCTCAACTGATTAATTCTGTTTGCTATCTTATCGGTATAATTTTGTAGTTCTTCTAACCGCTGCTTATTTGGCATAATTTGTCTTACACCAAGGACTGATACATGTACACAAAGCCTTGCAATGTGACATTGTCTTATTTGCTCTTTTTAACGAATCATGACTTTACGAGAGAGACACTTAGGAATCATACTGAAAATATTTAATGTCATTCACGATAGTCTCATTTGACTAAAAGCGAGGTTTCGTCTTTTCTCCTTCATAGAGGCTCCTGCTGGTTATCCTAATAAAAATAGCAATAATCTAGACTACAAGTAGAGCCCTTATTTTCCCTCAGGGATAGTGGAGCGAGCGAAACGCAAGCGCAAGTGAAAATCACCCCACGCGAGAAAGGCGCCTTCCTCGCGATGGGTGATTTTGACGCGCGCTTGCATTTCGCTCGCTCTACTATTCTTGAAAGAAAATAAAGGACTACTCGTAGTCTAGCAATAATCTCTTTTTTCCCTCCTGTCCCCAGCCTCCCTATGCACTCACTTTGAGCGCTTACCATTTGTACGGAAATTTCGGTGAACTGATTTTCCGTCAAATGGTACTGGTGTTTTTTCTGATACCGAAAACAGGAACGGGATTGAGTTGTACCATTCACAAAATACCAGTAAATTTTTCGGTTTCTCTTGACATGAAGCCTAGCACTAGTAATCCGAACAAATGGTACAGAAAATCACCGTCGTCTCGGTAAGAACAGGAAAAAGGTAATACCACAAAAGGTGTTACTTTTTACCGGAAAATTTCCACCGGGATGAACCGTTCCATTTGAATTCTCCACGGAATTTCCGGGTTTTCCATACAAATGGTAAGCGCTCTATATACCTAGATTTGGGTAGCGCTTCTGATTGGTTGGTTGACAATTAGCGTCATCCAATCAGGAGCTCTACCCAGATCTATACATATTGTCACTTCATCAGTATGGAATTTCTGCGCTCGTTCCTCAGACGGGGAGGTGTCGCGAAATGTAGGCTGTTTTTTCAGGGAATGAAGTGTTCTATTATGAAGATACGAAAATTTAAATTATTTTTCTCTTTGTTTTTGAGGCTGTGGTCAAATTCTGTGAACCGAGTTCTTCCACGTGATAGTACTCCTTCATTTTTCAGGATATTCAGAAACAAAACAACATTTGAATTCTTTTTTCCAGTTATGGCTTCAAGGGTATTTTTTTTAAAGCTAAGAAAGAAGTGTAGTGTCGCGAGTCTCCTTGTCAACCGCGTTTAAAATGATATTTAAGACTGCAAAACAAGGTTGCCGTTTTCGAAAGGTTATTTGGAAGGTTTCCGTATCGATTATTTGTGTAAAATGTAAAATGATTCATTCACGCCAAGACGACATGATTGGTAGAGAGGGAGATAAATTAAACAGCATATCACTTTCAGAAAATAATTCGTTATAGGTGCTTTCCATTAGGATAAAACAGCCTTAATCAGATGAATTCACCATACTGGAGGCGCCAATCGAGCGACAAACATGATAACCAGCTTTAAGGGAAGTAATCTTCAAGGCAAAATAAAAATTAGTATTTGAAAAACCAAAGTTTCTTATCAATTGTTAACAATTTCTTACAAAAGGCTCGTGATCGGTCACCTTTCTCGTCTTATTTTCGGTGTTATGTAAAAACCCGAAATAAACACCTTTTTTCCCGAGGCTGTTTTTAATTCATTTTCTTAAGATATAGAAACTTGTTTACATAATTCAGCGCTAAACTCTCGCATAAAATCAAAAGCTATTCTGACTTTCAACTGAACTTGTCAACTACCACCCAAGCACTTAAAGATAATGTCCTCGATAATCCATGTTGGTTTGTTCGTTTCCATTTAAGTTGTGACCTTCTTCAGTACTAAAAGCTTTGAAAACATAACTGTTAAAGACAGACCAAAACAAAGCACATAACACATTTCAAAACATCCGCAAGGGACTTTAAATTTACGACCACTTAAAGTGAACTTTTTCTTTCTCCACTACGGACTACTACGAATCATCGATAGGCGTCGTAGCTGTCGAGAACAGCACTTAAAAGAAGGAAGCTAATCACGTTGCTGTGGGCTCGAGACATTCATCAGACAGATATTTGACACAACTGTTAGCTTTCCCTCGAAGAACAAATTGAACATCAAATAAACATTTTCACCTGTGCTTGGGGCTATTGTAATTTTAAGCGTCGAAGCGCTTAGAAACTGTCAGTCTACGATGTTTTTTGCCGGAAGGCCTTAAATCTCTAGAAGGCAAGTTATTGATAGGCTTTTCAGTTTTTGTGAACATTTTTTAAATTGCAAACCACCAGTAATGCTATTTTCGTTCATTAACTATCTGCAGGCCAGTGAATAAAGTGTTAAATCGGCAAGCTGTCGAACACGCATCAACACGAGTAATCCTCTATAAAAAATCCTTTATGATTTACAATAATACTATCGTGAATTTAATATACCTTGATTCTTTATTTCATCTCCTAGTTTTCCGTCTTGTCTAATTATGTTGCTGTCAACTTGACTCTCTAAACGAGAAAGTCTTCAGAGAATATTTAGGAATGACGGGAGTTCAGCGACTCAAGGTCTCCTTCAGTAATAAAGAGTTTATGGTGAATTTCGAAGAACAGACTTACCTTTTAGTAGAACTGAGTTACTTATCGCACAAAAAGATAATCACTACTCCCCCTTGGGGCATTAATGGCCTAAAACGTACCTCGAATAACAAATGAAGCTGTTTGCATGGCTGTTACTCTTCCTTACTGATAAAACGTTTTCTCTCAACTCGTTTTGAACAACTTCCCTGTATAAATTGGAACCCGATGCGAGTTTTAAGTGATGCAAGCGCTATGGCCTTTTAACTCATTACTGAGAAAATTGCTTTCATAATTTGTCAGTTGTCTCGCATTTTGTGACAGGTGGAGTTGTATTATCAGAGAAAAAGTTCTAAATTGATAAAAATCAATTTACATGCTAGAATATTCATGCCAAAATTGCAATGCCCGAACCGACCTGTCGGTTTCCAATCCAGGGCATCTAGGGAGTCATTCTTGCTCCGTTCGTTCAGTAAAGAAATAGCTTTTAGTCGTCCGAAGATGCTCTCATCTCTAGTTCAAAAGTTAGCTTGTTTTGTGTGAAGAGGAAATAGATGATCCTTGTTTGAATAGGCCGTAATAAATCGCGAATAATTTCTATTTTTTACCAAACTCGTTTGAAAATAAACAGAAAATGAACGCCGCAAGAAACCGTCTGATGTTGTAGTATGCAAATATCAGTCGGTTAAAAGCTGGCCCATCCATCCATTTATAGTCTTTTGTCTTAGTGGTCGGAATCGAGTCTCGTACTGGCTTCTACACGTGACTGATAATGTTACTGTAAGCTGCATTGTGGACAATTCAATAAACTGCTGGTCATTGGTTGGCAGTTCCCGAAAGCGGGGATCAAGACTCATTGGGGAAACTGATTTTATGTTAACCCAAGAAATAGTCGCATTTTAACATGCGATTAGTCGTACAATAAGCTTGTTGAACTATTTAGACAATCCGCTAAAAATTAAACTCAGATTATAAAAGCTATTGATTAGGTTTTCTTCCAAAATAACTAAACAATTAACAGAGTTTCGTTAAGCAAATTTTTGCCGCATAGTAATTACTGCTTCTTGTCAGATTCAAGTTGATTGTGACAATTTAGACTGGTTGGTGGGATGGCTGCAGACTGAAAGGGTATAAATTATTACTGTACTTTATGTGTAAGAAAAACTAGATGAAACAAACCTTACTCTGAATTTCTTCTTTTGTAACCAAGCTCGTCGTGCCTAAAATGATGTTTAAAAAAACCTTGCCAAGAGAGAAAAAATAGCTTTATCTGAGTCAGTATACAAGTGCATCGTAAGTATCGCAATACCTTTTAACAATCAGACGTCACGTGTTACATGGTAATGATATTTCTATATTTCGTTGAATTGATAACAGCAGTGAACCGAGAGACGATCGAACTAAATTTAAGCTGAGGAATTAATTAACGTTAGAGACCGTCGTATCGAGTATAATGAATCCAACCCTCTGCCCTTTTGAAAGAGATGCGAGTCTAAACTCCAGGCACTTTTCTTCGGTTTTGTTTTGTCTCTGGCTTTGTCGTTTGTTTTGTTTGTTTACTATTTTCTACTTCTCATATCATGTTAGATCCGTTTTTGTTTAATTCAATGTTAAAAACAGGCGCATGAATATTCAAGAAGCACCTGAAAAGGCAACTTAAAAAGTTTGTTTATGAGGATGGACGAATTTCACTAAAATACAATTTCAATCCAATGTACTGTACTTATGACAATTTATTCCTCCTGATAAAAAGATGATAAGTTAGGTTATTAAAAAGCTGGTTAAAAAGTTGGCCTTTCAAGAGAGAAAACTCTAAGTTTTCTTAATTCGTTGCAGTTAAACAGGAAGTCAATGGTTATCGACTTTAATAAACAGCTATTTCATTTATCTCACTTTGGGAAGAAGTTCTTGAACCGAAAATCGGCAGCACATCGGTTAAAAAATACATATGTCTTTTTAACTTACCTTGTTGTCGTTATCTCCTGCCTCGAGGACTGAAAAATATTCAAGTTGATAAAAATTACGAAAGGAGGCGTCACATGAGATATAAATTTAATAGAATATTAATACTGTCACTTTTAGAGGTTGAGCAAACTTAATTGTCAAATAGGAATTCGAAGGTCTTAATATTGATACGTCGGTCACGACTCTTTTGCAATTTCCATAACATAAAAGCACTCTGCATTTCACTTATTCTGCCTTTTTTTGCTGTCATTTAGGGTCCCTTTAAAATTTCAAAGGAGGATTGAGACATTATCTTCTCTTGAGATCTGTTTTACTGCCCCTGGCTGAAATAGAAAAAATTCACATACATGAGTGGAATTAAATAAAGCTGATTTATGTAAAGTCCTCAGATTTATTAATTTTTTGGCCACGCATATATATAGCGCAATAAAACAAACCTATGGGCAAACACGGAAACAGGTGAGGTCACAAAAGCGTGGCGCACAGCAGACCACAGTAACATTCTTGGGAGAAGAGTTCAAAAATATTTAGTTGTGCATGTACGCGCAGTTATCAATGGCTTTGGTAAGCTTCAGTGTAAGGGTTGTCAGAGATCTTACTTAAGATTGAAAAAGTAAAAATTTGCAGAAATTCCTAATCTAACACTACTGCTGTAAATAACTTCTCTAAATCGCCCCAGTTTTACGCAAATTGATATTAATTCTTGTCAATAAATTCAGCTCATCAGATTTTGTTCCGAGCATCAAGATGTCACGAAGACCAAGAAAAAAAAAGTTTCAATTTAATCTCTTCTGCCTGCCATTTAAAAGAAATATAGTGTACACCATTATACAGAAACAACCCAGTCATCCTTGTATTCCCGATTCCGCACATCCAAGTCATCCTAGTCAAACGGTTCATCTCAGTCATCTCAGTCACCCTAGTCGTCCGACTCATGCCAGTCATCCTAGTCACACTAGTCAAGCTAGTTATACCATTCATCCAAGGCATCCAAGTCATCCCAGTCAACCTGGTCATCAAAGTCATCCTAGTCATGGCGGTCGTCCTAGTCATCCTGGTCGTTCCAGGCATACTGGTCATTCCAGTCATCAGTGTTCTCCTAGTCATTGCCGTCATCCAACTCATCACGGTCATCCTAGAAATCCCAGTCATCTTGGTCATTGCAATCATCCAAGTCATCTTAGTCATCATAGTCATCCCAGTTATCCCAGTCATCCTAGTCATCGTGGTCATCCCAGCCGTCACAGTTTTCCCACTCATACGAGTCATCCTAGTCATCGCTGTCATCCAAGGTATCCAAGTCGTCCCAGTCAACTCAGCCATCCCGGTTATCCTGGTCATCCTAGTCATCCTAATCATCATAGTCATCCCAGTCATATCAGTCATCCTAATCAGTGATTTTGTTACAAATAGTTATGGTGAGCCCTGGGATTCATCTTGTAAAAAATCATGAGTCCCAGTAAAAATAAAAACGAGTCCGAAATTGAAAATGCTTGGGCGTTTATGTAACCAGACAGGTAATCTGAAGACAGACTCCAGTATTCAGTGTCCTGAAAATAAAATATAGTCCTTGTATTTTAAAGCACAAGGCTAAAAGAAATATGCATCGTTGAACAACAGCCATTATACAGTCAACTCCCTTTATAGCGGACACTGTTGGGACCTCAAGTTAGTGTCCTCATTAGCGAGAGCCGGTAATAGCGAGAGTTTATTTCAGTCAAACGTCTGTAATTTGGTTTTTCCTGGGATTTAGCTGCTGTCCTTTTTATCGGGGTGTCCGTTATAGCGAGGTGTCCGCAAGGCGAGAATTGACTGTAACTGCCACAGAAATTACACCAACGGGATATTTCTTCAGATACACATGTTGACATTGATCGATCGATCGATTTTTCGCCTCTATTGGACGCATGAATTTGCGTCGTTGGGGATTTCTTTGCGTCACGGACGCAGAGGTAACAAAGTCACTGCCTAATCATCCTAGTCATTCCCATCATTACAGTTATCCTCATCATCACGGTCATCTCCGTCATCCTCGTCCTCATCCTAGTCATCACAGTTTTCCCAATCATCACAGCAGGAGCCTAACACGCTCCTCTCCCAGTCACCCTAGTCAGCCCAGTTATCCGAGTCATCCTAGTCATCCTGGTCCTCCCAGTCATCCACATCATTGCAGTCATCCTAGTTATGCCCGTCATATCAGTCATCTTGTCATACTAGTTATCCCAGTCATCCCGGTCATCCCAGTCAGCCTAGTCATCCGGACATCCCATTCATCCAATTCATCCCGGTCCTCCCAGTCATCCTGGTCATCCCAGTCATCCTAGTCCTCCCAGAATCCCAGTAACCCTAGTCGTCCTAATCATCCCAGCCATCCTAGTTATACTAGTCATTACGTTTTCCCCAGTCATCCCAGCAGGAGTCTACAATGTTGCAGGCAGTTTTGGGCAACCAATGAGCAACATGGTCATGCGTTTATAAAGTTTTCCGGGCGAGATATCGACCAATTAACTCGTTATGCTCAGAGCCACTCAAAGTAGTTTGCGAGCCCCTTTGCAGCTATCTCAGAGCAACTCTGAGATCAAAGAACAGCTCAGAGCAATATTGAGTAAACAGTGAGCACTTTTGACCTCTGTAGCTCAGGATCAGTCAATTGTATTCAGTAGACTGTGGAATGAAGGTTGTAGTTAGTATAGGCAGAGAATTAAAATGTAACAAAAAACAACCACAATTGACCCATAGAACTCAAAATCTATTCTGCGTGAATCGATCTTTCTATACACAAAAGCCATTACAAATACCTATTCCCAGAATTGGCTGAATACGTAAGTTTTATGTAAGCCCAAGTAACTTGGATGACTAAGGTGACTTGGGTGACTTGGGTGACTAGAGGGACTTGGTTGAAAAAGGTGAATTGGGTGACTTGGATGACTAGGGTGACATGGGTGATTTGGTTAATTTATGTGACTAGAGTGACTTGGATGACATGGGTGAAAACTTTGACTAGGGTTACTTGCTTGACTTAGATGACTAGGGTTACTTCGGTAACTAGGGTGACTTTTGGAGACTAGAGTAAGAAGACTGACTTGGGTGACGTGGGTGACTTAGGTGACTAGAGTGACTTGGTTGACTTGGGTGACTAGGGTAACTTGGGTCACCAGGGTAAATAGGGTGACTGGGGTGACCTGGGTGACTTGGGTGACAAGGGTGACAAGGGTGCCATGGGTAACTAGGATGACTTGGGTAACTAGGGTGACTTGGGTAATTTAGGTGCCTAGGGTAACTAGGGTGACTTGGATGATTTAGGTTACTAGGGTGACTTGGGTGAGTTGGGTGACTAGGATGACCAGCGTGACTTGGGTGACCAGGGTGACAAAGATTACTTGCGTGAATTGGGTGACTAGGGTAACCAGGATGACCAAGGTGAAAAGGGTGACTTGGGTGACAAGGGTGAATTGGGTGACCAAGATGACTAGGGTGACTTGGGTGAGTTTCAAGACAAGGGTGACTAGGGTGACTTGATTAACTTTGATGACAAGGGTGACTTGGGAGACAAGGGTGACTTGGGTGACTAAGGTGACCAGGGTGAATTGGGTGACAAGGGTACTTTGGTGACAATGGTAACAGCGGTGACTTGGGTGACCAAGATAATCAGGGTGACTTATGTGATTAGGATGACTCGGCTTACTAGGGCGACAAGGGTGACTTAGGTGACTGTTGTGACTTGGGTGACTAGGATAACTTGGGTGATGTTGGTGACTTGGGTAAGTTTGGTGACAAGGGTGACTTGGGTGACTTGTGTGACTAGGGTGATACGGGTGACTTGGGTTTACTAAAGTGACTTCGGTGACTGGGGTGACAAGGGTTATTAGGGTGACTTGGGTGACTAAGGTGACTTGGGTGACAGGGGTTACTTAGGTAACTAGGGTGACCAGGGTCACTTGTGTGACAAGGGTGACTTGGGTGACTTTGGTAACAAGGGTGACTTGGGTGAGTAAGGGGACTTGGGTGAGTTCGGAGACAAGGATGACTAGGGTGACTTAGGTGACTTTGGTGACAACAGTGACTTGAGTTGCAAGGGTGACTTGGGTAACCAAGGTGACTTGGGTGACAAGGGTGATTTGTGTGACTTAGGTGACTAGGATGACTTGGGTGACTTGGGTATCTAGGGTGACTTTTGTGACAAGAGTGACTTGGGTGACTTTTGTGACTAAGGTGACTTGGGTAAGTTTGGAGACAAGATTGACATGGGTGACTAAGGTGACGTGGGTAACTTTGGTGACAAGGGTGACTTGGGTGACAAGGGTGACTAGGGTGAATTGGGTGACAAGAGTGATTTGGGTGACAGGGGTGACTTGGGTTACAAGGATGACTAGGGTGACTTAGGTTACGAAAGTGACTTGGGTGATAAGGGTGACTTGGGTGACTAGGGTGACTTGGGTGACTTGGGTGACTAAAGTGACCAGGATGACTAGGGTGAAAAGGGTGACAACGGTGACTTGGGTGACTAGAATGAGTAGGGCGACTTGGGTGACAAAGGTGCATTGGGTGACAAAGATGACTAGGGTGACTTGGGTGAGTTTGGTGACAAGGTTGACTTGAGTGACTATGGGTGAGTAGGGTGCCTAAGGTGACTTGGGTGACTTTGGTGACTAGGTTTTGGGACAACATTAACAATAAGTTTATTCAGTTTTTTTTAATATATATTCATGGTGTGACGGATGGAAATACAATAATAAACAGCTAGATGTAAGGAAATTTAAATATTAATAATTGTATCGTATAATTAATTGTTTTTACGTTTCTTTCGCCTTTTAATTGCTCTAAAAACGAAATTAGCAGTTAGCCTGATAATATGCGAATCAGTAATTGTTGAAAACAAAGGGGACTTCATCACATTTATCGTAATTTGTAACTGTATTTCGTTTGTTGATTTTAATGAAGAGTCTTTCTCAAATCACATATAGGTCACTGTGAAATAACACTTTTATTTCATTTGCGACTAAATTTATAATGCCTGCAGTGATCACAAATTCTAAGATAATCTGAAGTTTTGGAAGTTGCAAATCTTCCTGTTTCGATTTTTAAGTTATATTGTCGTATCCTAAATTTGGAGGCGATGCGTTTATGTTCAGGACTCCGGATATGACTGATGAATTCAGCTTATTTTGTTTCATTTAGAAAGTTGGAGTCGAATTTTAGTTGTTTATTTTTACTTATTGAATTGAATTGGGGTTTTTTTTGGATGTACTGACGAATTATTTTCAGCTTTTGGTTGTTAAGTTGTGCACATAAAAGATGCTGATTTATTTTATTTACCAAACCGGATTTATTTTTTGGGTCATTCTGTCCTTAAGCAAAGATTAGCGATGCTGTCAGGGGGTTGATTGATTTTTAAGGTGAATCCAAAATTTGCAAGTATTCATTGTTATTTGTAACTTGAGAGGTATGTTGAGGGCTTGTGAAGCTCGCTAGGCTTTTTGACGAGAGGATCAAGACTCTGTTCTTTCTCTTTAATTAAGATAACAGTTTAATCTTCCTTAGCTACTGACAACAACTCTACTACTCTACTAATTCTGCTAGCTTACACAGCGAATTAAATAACCAAATTGTAGACTTATTTTGGGTTAGCTGACCGGAAGAGTTTCTATTGTATATCTTATCGCTAACATTGCAACAGTTTTGCTATTGTTAGGGAATAGACTAGCCTACGCACAGCCGCAACTGATACTGAGTACCAAATAACGAAGGTCAGCTCTAACACCACAAACACGATCACCAGTAAAAAAAACTTAATATGGCAATAAGCAAATTCGCGAGCTACGCATAAATTCAAATACAAGTAAAAACAAAAGATCAAAACAGGAAAACAGTACGTGGTCAAAAACAAGACTTGATGAAACCCAAACTAAACTTAAAAGATAAGATAGATCCGTCTTAAAAATAACTTTCAAAATACTTCACAACATTCCTCCCTCCTTAGAAAAAACATCGTCCTCGATGCGGACAGGAGAAAAACGGATACACTACTTTAGGATTTTACTCAATTAAGTACCATAGAAAAAAAAAAAGAAAACGTCTCAAAAGGGAGAGGAAAGAGTTTATGATATCGCTCCAGCTGCCGCTTTCCCATAGTCGTACGCGCTTTCTGGAAACGTTGCCCCACAGTGGCAAGTTCTCATGGTCTTCAGAAAGTCTGCGTTCTTCTTAAAGCATTTGATACGTACAAGGTGACCACAGAGTAAAACTGTCCAATCAAATATGGCGGCACCCTTCATCTCAAAACAGAAAATGCAAACCCATTTTGCCATGTGGCGGATGCGTTGCCAGTCAAGATACATAGTACCTATAAGTACAAAGACATTGCAATAACAAAAACTATAATGATGCGACGTGACATAACGGTCAATTCTGCTCTAACTGTGGTAAACGATTGCTGACAAACTGCTGGAAATTAGCTGAACTATGAGCTAACAATAGGTCTTCATAAATAAAACTTTCTTTATACTCGTGTGACGCGAAAGCCATAAGGTTACGAGCTGGAAAAAAGGTAACCGGCTGTTTTCAAACAACCCTTCGCAGAATTGATTCTCTGGAAACGAACGACAGTAATTTTGCCCAAAAGTTGCGCGAAAAATGTCACTGACGTAGCGCTCGTAAATCATGAAATAATTACAAATATGCACGAACTCGACAAGGTTATCTACTTCCCAATTCAGAGATCGACCAAAATCAGAAAATAACCCTATAAAACAAATCAACAGATTGCCACGAAAAAGAGTGATTTATATGAAATACAGATGTCGTTTGCCTTGAAGAACGACGGTGACACTCATACTTAAATGACGCGAAGCGACCACTAACTGAAGCTAACTGAGTAGCCCCAATTTCATCTAAAAACCTCGGAAATTTAACCAAAGTCAAAGTAATCCCGTAATACATCATCGGTAAATTAAAAACGCGAGAGCTAAATACAGCTCAGCTCCTTTTTCTTTAAGCTTGGAATATCTTGTCCCGAAAAGTCTTGCTACTGCTCCTTTGCTCCAAATCGTTGCGGGTCACGACACTGTTTACGTTCTTCGTTCTTTACGGGTTTGGAACAATGGCCGCATACCTTGCGCTGGAGGTTGTTAGAAACGGGTGCTGGCAAGAGAGGAGGAAGCGTATGTGCGGCTCGACGTCCAAATATCCTGAAGATGCATCGGTAAACAATACAAAAGACGATGAAATTGATCACTGAAAGACCTAGTGCAATGAAAGCAATGTACTTGACGTAACTGGAAATAGTAGTTTCTTCTATCTGATCAATAAGACTGTCTGCCCTCTGCAAAGTATCAGCCATCGTAACGCTGAAACAACTCATTAAAATTATCAATCACAGTTCGGTTAATCTTAATAGGCGGTGGGATGGTCAGGGATTCATGATGCAAGTCCAGTGGGATGAGATCATCTGAGTTCGGATCCCACTAAACGTATGTAATTATATCAGTTGAAAACAGTGGAAGTGATACCAGCAGTCTTTGAGGACAGGTACCTAAGCTAGTTTTCATTCCGATGAAACTGACGTTTCAGGGAAAGTTGTAAACTGCCAATGGAGAAACATCTAACTCGCCGCTGCTTAAAGTTAATGTTCCAGAAGCTGTTGAGAGGAAATATCTTCCTCCAAGATGAATTAGCGGATGGATATGGTCACAGTCTGAAGCAAGCTCGTGTTTCCGTGGGAAAGAAAGTTTCAGGTTCGGATTCCAAACAAAACCCAACCATCGACTTTAAGACATTTTTGGGACATAAGAAACCTACTTCACTACTAAAACACCTATCTAATCCTTCTAAAGACACTACCTGCCTCGAATTTGGACAATTAATTAAAGCAAGGTTTGTGTGTTGAACAGGCCCTGAAAAACACTTACCCGAAATATTAAACTGAAGAGGCGTCAATGTCCTGCGACGCAGAAACTATCCTTATCCGTGATCTCAGGTGCTAACAATAAAATATCAATAGTCAAATTCTGACCATCATGTTCAACACAAGCCAAATTTTCCAAAGACTCAAAAACGAAGGTAATAAAATCAAAAACGACACTCATAAACCGGAAAAGCGACAAACACATCAAAAGAAAACCGAACTTGGAAACTGACTCATAGCAGCCATAACTAATTCACAAACTAACCTGCGACACGTATACTGAAAATAAAGTACACCTTACGCATATTCGAGCATTATCAAAAGCAAAGAAAGTTACAGGACTAAACTAGCTTGCAACGGAAAGGCATGCTAACAAAAAGAAAGTTCCACTCACAATTGCAGTGATTCTTTAAAAGGGTTCTCCACCAAGTATGTTGAGGGCTTGTGAAGCTCGCTAGGCTTTTTAACGAGAGGACCAAGACTCTGTTCTTTCTCTTTAAGATAGCAGTTTCATCTTCAACAGCCACTGTCAACAACTCTTCTGCTCTACTAATTCTACTAGCTTACACAGCGAATTAAATAACCAAATTGTAGACTTATTTTGGGTTAGCTGACCGGAAGAGTTCCTATTGTATATCTTATCGCTTACATTGCAACAGGTTTGCTATTGTTATGCAATAGATTAGCCTATGCACAGCCGCAACTGGACAAAAACAAGACTATGAAACAAAAACTAAACTTAAAAGATAAGATAAATCCGTCTTAAAAATAGCTTTCAAAATACTTCACCATAGGTAATATAACAAATTCATTTCTCGATGCAACATTGATAGTGATATCTCCGATAGTACAATTTAATATTTTCTTTGCTGGGAATGATGGCCACCAACTATCGCAGAATGGCAGATTCGGGAACTCGTTGAAAACATAGAAGCAGTCCTGATTCTCCCAATTTATCCCCGATATCCCAAACAATGACACACCACAAATTTTCGTTATTCTGGAAAGTCTGGTACGTTTGGGTCTGGAAACAGTAAAATTCCCCATTTTATGGGATTTTCCTGGCATCAGTGAAAACTAGGCTTGAAAAGCCTTTTTTGTGCCTCCCTCACTTGGGGCGCATTTCTCGAAAGGCCCGATATCTTTTCGGGCTCGAAGACGAATTTTGAAATAAAAACCTGTTGAATAGTACCACAGTTTCCAGCTCAAAAACCAGTCAGTTTTGCTTCGTTAAGTGATAGTTTCATTGTACCATTTTCAAAATTATTGAAACTTTGATCTTGAATGCAAACACGGCAAACAAAAAACAGCTTTCCGGGCCCGGAAAAGTTACCGGGACTTTCGAGATACGGGCCCCGGCCCGTAACCCTGACGACAACAATCAATGAAAATCAATCATTGATTTCAATCAAGATAGTCAATAAAAAGTCCATAAAAATCTATTGATCAATGTTGGTTGGCTTAGCCAAGTAATAAAACTAGATAATCACTCGCCGACTGCTTGTTAACGTTATTGATTTTCATTGACTGCAATTGATAATCAATAGCTGATAGTGCAACTGCAAAAACCCGGGTAGGCATTTGCTTAAACGCTGGTTAAACGTGGTCGCAAACACAACAATGCTGCTATGTCTGTGGAAATTTCTATTGCCTGTGTAGTCAAGGGGTATCACCAATTTTACCCATCACATTGGGCATGTTTTGTGCATGTTTTTGATGTGTGACTTTTTAAAAGATTTTTCTGATATATTCAGCTAAGGATTCGATAAATGTACCAAACAAAATTAAAGGCAGGTTGGAGAACATGTATAACGTCATGCTCAGTTAAACATTAGGGACCGCACTTATGCATCTTTTTAAAATACATTTCAGTTATGGTTTTTGCCTGTTGTGAATACAGGAAGACAAACTAAATTGTTGTTGTTACTGTTGTTTCTGTCACAAAACAACAATACAAACAACAACTTTTTTAATTTCTTAATTTATCGTAGATTGGACCATTAAAACTTATTAACAGGGTTTATTTTCTAAGCCGGGTGACGCGTTTAAAACAAAAAGATAGCACATTTTAGTTTTCAATAAAAATCAATAAAATCAATGTAAATCAAGGAAAATCAATGAAAATTGAAAATTACTGAGGACTGCGTTTTTAATTTTTATTGATTTTCATTATCAATCAATTAATTGTCATTGATTTTTATTGACTATTATTGATGTTATTGATTATTGATTTTGATTGAATGGTATCGTCTGGCCTTAACGTAGCCTGGATATCAGGCGTTTCTGGAAGGCCTGAAACAAAAGTCACTCGATTTCGATGGTCTTACGAAAAAAACAGGGCACTGTTTGGAGTCTTCTTCCCATACCAGTGATATCACCAGGGGCACCCAACGACCGAATGTTTGCAAATACGCCAGAAGTGTCTTAAATAGTTTTCTCTGTGCCTTTGAAGCCTTTTTGGTTAATCTGGAGCTGCCCTAAAAACTATTTATCAGTTCGGATGTCTTAGTGGAACTTTGGTTGTCGCGAAATTCTTCGGTGGCTTTTTCGTCTCATCTGAAATGGGTGGGTCCGCTCTAAGTAATCGGCTCCTGGGTCTGCTCGAAAGTTTGCGGACATGAAGTAGCCTTGCTTTCATTATATAAAATTATAGGGGACGTTTTGTCTTTATACCGAAATTTTTAGGAGACTTTTTTAACAATAATCGAAGGATCTTGGTATTCAGTAAAATGTGAATAACACAACCTCTGAAAATCGTAGTTTTAACTAGCTTTTAAAAAAGCTATTAGGAAACCTCTGAATTAGCCTGAGTATCAGGCGTTTCTGGGGAAAAGGGGAAAGACGGAAGCGAAAAAGGGAGGGAGCTGAAGGAGAGAAACCTTCCTTTCTCTTCTCCCCCTCCCCCCTCCCCCATCTAAAATCTCCTCTTCCCTAGCCCCTTAGGGAGGCCTCATACTCAGGCTACCTCTGAATATTTTAGACGAACGGAATGGTTATCCAGAAATTTTTAGCTTTTCTCAAGCTTTAGAAATTTAAAGGCGATATCTCCTCCTTCGAACAGTTATTTTACAGAAAAAAGTCGCTGCACAATTGCTCAAAATTTGGCGATTTCCTTTGCAGCGCATTGTTTGTCAGGGACAAAGGGGTCCCTTTGTCAGGGACCTAACTGGTTGTTAAGGGCCTGTTAGCAACCAGTCCGCCAATCAGCTTTCAGTATCTCGATCGCACGGGCCGCAAAACAGTTCGAGCCGTGGCAGCGTTCAAAATGCCGCCAGGAAAATCGCAGAGGAAAGTTCGTCCTTCGACAGCTTCGGGGGCATTAGAAACTCATGAGCTTGTTGACTTACTAGACGAACTAAGACCCGCTACTGCACCGGGAAAAAATCTTCTGGGACTCGATCCAACGTACATTACTTCAAGACATCATGTTCCAGGGGTTCCGATTACTTCGAAGTTGAGAGGAAGGCAGGTTTTTGGCGGAATACCGGAGAATGATCTTAAAGGTACTCAGGGAAGAAGAGCAACTTTAGGTGGCCTTGAAGATGTTGAGGAACATGAAAAGCCAAAAAGACCGAGCACGGCTGTTGGAGTTTCCAAGCAAGTCAAGGTAATTTTGTGAGCTTTTACAATGTAGTTTGCTGTGAAGCAACGCGGTCCGGAACGATCGAGCAAAAGGTTGGATTGTTGAAATTTAATCTTTCCCCGTATGTTTCACTACCTTTGCGGACAGCTGTGTTAGTTAGTGGAAAAAATAAAGTTTGCTTTCAAAGACATACAGTTTGACACTTCTTTAAAACAATTCATAATCGAGCCTTTGTAATTTTAGCTCACATACTCACCTCTTAAATAATGGAGCGGTTTGAATCCCTTAATTGAAGAAAACTTGATGAATTTGGAAATTTGTTTCCCTTGTATTGAATGAATACCTCTGATTAAGACGCTCAAGATCACGTTAAAACTTTAACTTTGTACTGAAGCAACAGACTGAAAGGTTAATCGTAAGTTTTATACTGTATTATAGTTAATCGATATATTAAGCTTATGTTTATTTTACACTAACAGTGTTTCAGCGGAATTAGAAAAAAAGAAGTCTTTAATACATAAAGTAGAATCTTTTTAAAAAATTGATTTGCTGTTAGCTATGAAAAATGCTTAAAGTATTCAGTTGTAAATGTGGTAAGTATTTTCATTCATTACAAATTTTTGTAGTCAATTAATTATCTCAACTTGAAAAGCTTAAGTAATGATTAAATTGTTGTCAATAATGCTAATGAGGCCTCATGGCATCTGAACTGGAAGATAAACAGACTGTTAATGAAACAGAATGTCCTGGGGGCGGGGGCGGGGGGTTACTTCCTCGTAATAGGCTAATGGGGATGTGCTGCTGGATGGGGGTGCATTTTCACGGCTGGATTGACTGTAATGGGGTTGCATTTTCATTAGAGCTACTAGAATGGGATCATACAAATCCCGACCAATATGCGACAAAAAACTGCACAAAATATAAAATAAAATTGAATAGTTGTACGTGAAGACGTGCAAGATAAATCTCAACATAAAAATGACAATCAATTAGCATACATTTTAGAGAGAATTTGTCCTCTCAGAACACTAAAAATAAAATTTCGGAGCTTCAAGACATAAAAAATTTATCTGGGGGAGCATGCTCCCAGACCCTCTAGCAGCTCATGCCTTGGGCACTGGCGTGATTCATTTGGTGGCACATGTCAGTCTATTAAGCAAACTATTAAAGCTTCCGTCTTGTGGTTTCTTTCCTCTAATCTTTCTCTGGGGTAGTGCAGTTACTGTTTTTTTTTTCACAAGTGCCCATCCTTCACAGAATAGTTATTTATTCTTGTGTTCCTTTATTTTAGCTTGAAGACAGAATTACTCTGGACCACCTGAATAAAATGAGACAGGCTTTTGAGGTATTTGTGCATATAGTTCTAACACATTAAAATATTAGGTGTTATGACATCATTGACTTAAGTTACTGCGCTTTTCACAAACATGCGAATTCTGAAGTTCAAAAGCCAACTGACGATTGGGTTTTTTGCTGCTGTCAATCATCTTAACAGAACTGTTAGGAGACAAAACTTTACTTTAATGCATTCAAAAGGTCATCGTTTGTGATTTGTGATTGGTGGATTTTGATCTGTTTTGTGTGTTTCTGTGTTTCAAGGTTCGTTGGTAGTGATCGTAATTATGATTGACGGCAGCGAAAATTGTGAAGGTGTCTTTTGAACTTTAGAGTTCGCATGTTTGTGAAAAGGGCAGTAAGTACTGTGTAAATAGTACAAAAAATTGCTTTTCTGTTATTTACCCCTTCGCTGTCAACCCTATTGAGAAGTCCAGTGCCAATGCAAATTGACCCTTTTTTTTAGAATTAGACACTAATGACCTTAAGTGCGAATAACACCCAAGCATTAACAACTAAAACAACAAGTATAAATTTTCTAAAACTGCAAAAAAATATTCTTATTCCCAACTTGTGCAAAATATTGATTTTTGATCATGAGAGTCAATGTTTTCATCCTCCTCATTTTGCTGAAGAGTTTGTCTCAAAATCTCTCAAATAGCTCTTTTTATTGGAAAAATTTTCCTTACCAGAATCATTCCATATCTCAATCATTAAATACATGTGGAGCAGTTTGGTATTTCCCCATTTTCAAAATTGATCAGAAATCAAAACTAAGAGAGTTAAATAATTCCAGGGCTGTGTTTGTTGATTGACAGGAGGCAGATTCAGATGGCAATGGAACACTTGATCTGGAAGAGTTTAAAGATGTCATTACTAACTTGTTTAATGTTAAATTCAAGGTTGGTTCTTCATTTGATTATTGTTCATTCTTGTAGTCCCAGGGCACCGTGAGGTCATAATTTTGTTCCAAATATTTAAGGTAAAAATTATATAGTTTAGATAAGAATAGCGGCATACCTCTGGGCATTACTCTTACCAAACCAGGTAGAAACTCCGCAAGCATTTGAAATAATTGTCCATAAAATTCAGATTATTCTGCTTGAACTGGTTTGGTAAGTGTTCTTAGTACCCTGCGCGACTCTCCTGTTTGTTTTGTAAAACTCACAACTTCACCTGGAAAAAGCTGCCTTTCGATATCTGAGGAAGGTAATTATTAGTCAAGCTTACTTAAGCAGCGAGACTCTGTGTTTCCTTTTCCTTTTTCTTGTGTGCCCACCAAAAGGGGGATCATGGTCCCAGGTGTCCCCAGTGGCGACCGTGGAAACTGGTGATAAATATCGTAATCCGATGTGCAGCATGTATGTATTCAAAAGATGTCGGGCTTTTCCGGAATGGGTTGGTCCATAAATTCTATTGCTTGAAAGCGTTGTTTATTTTGGAACAAGTGAATACTTCAATGTTTTATGAGCAAAACGTCAGCAAAACTTCGATGGTGAGGCCAACTGGTCGGGTGTTGTAAACTTTCATTGTATGCAAATGAGTCTTGCGATGAGCAAGCAATTTTTTTGGTGGTGATTGAAATGAGGTGCCATGTTCATCACATTTTTGCTCTTTGGTAATGTGACATAAAAAGTGAATATCCTGAAGAATGCTTGACCGTCTATAAAGTAGGATATGAAAAACCTTTAGCAAGGAAATTTTGTTTCGTGTAGAATTAATCGCCCTCTAATTCCTTCTTCAAGCTTGACTTAATGCTTTTTTAAAGAGCATTCTTGTTAGAAAAAATTTTGTTGATCCTGTTTCATTAATGATTGGAAGGTTAATATCCAAAACAATACAAGCTGCAGCAGAGCTGCCAGTTTATTGAATTTTCCTTGACTTCAAAAACATTTCTAATCATCGGGGGTGTTCTGAAGGTTAGGTTTTTGGAGTCAAGCCCCAAGGGACACCTTGATTTTAAATTCTCTCCTTAATTTTTCATAAGAAGAAAATTGACTTGAGAATCCAGCACTTTATCTCTGGCACTTTTTCCTTTCAGTAATTATTGAAAGCAACCTTTGGGTTGTATAATTATTATCCAGAGCCTTTTTTTTTGGCAATGAAAATTTGAGCTAAATGTTGAAAACTTAGGCTCGGTTCAAATGTCGAACTTTACGTGTGCTGAACCTAATTATTAGGCACGTGTAAAGTTCGACATATGAACCGGGCCTTATTTTTATTCCATTGTCTTTACATATTTTTTATTTGGAAATTATGAACAATATAAATTTGCTCAAGTGAAGTGGAGAGTAGTTTTTCTTTTTTATATGGCACCTCCCAATAAGAAACTGAAATTTTCTTTAAATTTTCTGCGTTTTAATGTTAAACAAAAATTGCAATGGAAAGCTTGCCTAATTTGACTCAAAATAAACAAAATTAGATTTAGCAGGTGATTCAAGTGGAGATCTTGTATTAGTTATTGATTTTGGTAAGTACTTAACAGAGAAACCTTTGTCATTTATTTAACAAGTAGGTTTATTAACTTGTTTCTGTGAGCTTTCACGGGAAATTGTGTGAATTATTTCCATCTCAGTTATAAATTTAATATATTTGGTACCCTGATAATAGAGTGAAGATCAGGTCACAGCTTTGTTCATGAAAATCGATTCTTCTTCAGATGGGGAAATCAACTGGGTAAGTTTCATGCTCCATTATTGCTTAGTCGTATACTTCTACATCTACGGGCACTCTAAACAGGCAAAATATCCTGTGATTGTCTTGCTTTTACATAGATTTGCTCTATTGCTCAGTTAAATAATGGATTCTTTCTATTTACAATTTCTGTGTTAACTGTTTCTATGGTAATGCTGGTTTTGTTTAACAGCTTGAATTACAGTTTAGTTTTTTGAGTCAACTGCAATTTTAAGCACACCTGGCGTGTTTTTTTTTGTTGTCACCTAGTTTAATTTTCAATAGGAAAATGTGTTTCATAGTTATGTAAATTTGATCATTAGTTGGGAGATAATTCTGAAATCTCAACTGAATTTTTTGGTGGTTCAAATGTATTTGAGTCTAGGAAAATTAATGGCTAACCACGAATTGACGGTATTCATAATTTATTATTTTATACATGTAAAAAATGAGCAATAATGCTTTGTTTGAAGGTGTGCTTTAGATATTCAAGAATGTTTCAGCAGATTTTGTTTTTACTGCTCATGCTTTTGACAATGTATGGTTTCTTTGCATTCCAAATTTTGTTTATTTCTAATAATTTTAAGATATTGTTTTAAATGAACTCTGTTCCCCTGTGAGAAAAGTAACATCCCATGAAATTAAGTCTTTTATTTGGAAGCTACACTGTACATGTACGTTACTGAGCATTGTGGCTGTAGCAAGATTATTAAACTTAACTGTTGAATTCTAAATCATGACTCCAGGTGCAGGAGAGTGAAGCTTGTCTTGCTGTGAAATTTTAAAGAATATTCTATCCTTGATAATAAATTTTGCTGTGTTGGCCTTTTAACTTTTTTTTTCATTTTTGTTAGGTTTGAATGCTTAATTTGAAGCCTTGCTCACTGTAAAAATTAAAAATTTGAGAAATGGAAAAAAAAGCAAAATAAACAGTTGTACATGCTTAAAGAAGGGCTTCTGCTAGAAATTTTGTTCAATTGATCAGATTAAGAAATCATGTTGAGGTTATTTTGATAAAAAATGCGTAATCTGGAAATACAGGCCATCTGATATTACACGATGGTACGATTTCGCACAATTGACCTCAAATCGCATCCGATCGCTCAATTTGAGGAAAATCGCATAATTTGTAAAAAAATGCTGAATTCAAGTAAAGTAAAGAATGAATTCTAACTTCAATTAAACATTTCCCCAATCTTAATGTTATTTAAGGTGATTTACCACTAAGGAAAGTCTTGCAAGACATCTGAAACCTTCGATCGCGGTATCTTGGCCGCCATTTTGACTTCAGAGACAAGCAGTGTGGTCAACGGTGTAACGGCATCATGTAATATTAAGCAAGTGTCCTTTTTTTCCGGGTCAAATTAAACTATTATGTTTTAAAATAGATGTTTTATTATTCCTTTACATTCAAATTGCTTGTTAAACGACATTAAAGTGGTTTTTCTCCTTTGAAACCTGGTAAAACGACGTAAATTCGCCCTGAAAAAATTGCATAATTTATCGCATAATGGTCCTATCTTATCGCACAATCTACCCTGAAAATAATATTATTGCACAATTTCTGATTTTTTATCGCATCCTATCAGATGGCCTGGAAATAGTAACAAAACGAATGCACAGCCTCTGATAATCTTAAATGTGATACTGAATAATTCATCTTCTGCAGAGAAAATGCTTAATTGACCACATTCAACTCCATACAGTGTAATTAAGACCTTTTCTTCTGCATAATGTGACCTTTGGAAATCTATTTATACCATGTTAGGATGAATTCTGTACATTTATGCAGCTGGAGTATGCAGAGAAGGAAGATTCATACTTAAGATCAAAAGAGGTAAAATACAATAATATTTCAATAGTTATAAGAAGGAGGTATACATCACTGCCGCCACGGGGTAACATGTTGCAAATTGGCCAGTGGTTAGGGTACATAGTTAAAGAAATTATAAGCTTAATTCTTCCGTACGTCGAGCTGATTATGTAACAACAACAAAGTTTACCTTAAAAATTTTCAAGATGGCTTGCAAGTCCTTTCAGAGTAAGTTTTCAAAACCATTAGCAGATTCTTTGCGCGTTTGAAGAGCTTTTACACCTCTTAACACCTTCGCAAGTCCATAACAGACCATTACGGGCCTCAAGTGAATCCTACAACAAGTGGCTTTCCATTGAACAACAACAACAACAGCAAATTGATTAATGAATCCGGGTATTTGTGCAGCTCTGATTCAGTGGAGGAAGAAAACGAAATTGAAGAGCAATCAGGTCGACCAATCCAGCGTCAAATTCCACAGTCAGAGCGAGGGAAAGCAAAAACAGTACTTGTTGAGAATAATTTAGGCACAGTGTCCTTCCCTTTCAGATTTTTGATTCAACTAAGTTTGCAAATGGCACACACGTCCTGTGATTTTCTCTTGGTTTACTGGAAGTTACATTAAAACCCGGTCATTTTGTAATATTTAAAATGAAATTTACTAAAATTCAGTTGTAATAACCAAACATTTGGAGTTTAAAAAAATTTAATAAAACAATTATTCCATTCACACTTGTACGATATGAGATAGTTATAGCCAGCTCGGCTCTACGAGCCTTGTTGTTGGCTATTTACCACCTCATAGCCCGCTCATGGAATAATAATTAATGAGAGGTCATAAAGCTTTCCCTGTGTTTCATGCAGAGCAAGTAATTATCGGGTTACCTTGCGGTCAAGGTCAACCTTCCAGAATTTGGAAGGTACAATTTGATTGGCTAAGCTTGGAAAAGGAATGTTGTTTTCGGTTAAGCAGGCTTTTGTGGGGAGGGACGAAATACGAGCTCCCCTAAAAACTCCTGCGTGGGAGGCTAATAGTCACCCTTTGATTTGATAAACGAGGTTGTTATCAGCCATTTTAATCATTCATCAGAGCATGATTGATCTACGAGCAAACTTTGTTATTGATGCAGAAACATTATTTTTCAATTATGTCTTCCTGTTTTTAGACTGCTTTTGCTCTACCAGCTATCATTGCCATGAGTGAGAACTCTAACTCTTCACAGAGGGAACATGTTATACGACTGTGTAACACAGCAGATAACAACTTCCTTGTGGTTAGCAAGGTACTGAACAGTAATGAGGCCTTCTAGCTGTTTCATTCCCTTCCTACTTGTTGTTTTTACTGGGCAACTTGAAATCTTAGTGAGATTCCTGTGTCACTGTCAGCATTTTTACTATTTTTTAATAATTATTGCATTTCAGGGCTCCAAGCTCAATTTTTTTCGAAGTTGCCTGTTGGTGACTTTTAAAAAGTTTTAAAATGGTCACCAGACTTAAAAAAATTGGTCGCCATTAAAAAAAAACACTTGGTGTAATTTTACATGAAGGTTTATACCACTGACCACATTGATTACTGGTACTCCATGTTTTGCCTAAAGCTTTTTCATGCACATGACTGCTGGACATAGGTTGCCAAATTGGTGACTTTCACTGCAAGTTAAGTCGCCAATACATATATTGTTTTACTCGCACTGGCATGCAAAATGGCCACAGCTTGGAGCGCTGTATTTGCAATTTTCCTTGTTACTGTTGCAGTTTCACCCATCTTCATTTGGTTTGTCACCCTTTCATCTGTCTTATGTCACTGTTTCAAGGCCATGTCGCTTGTTGTAATTTTACTGTGAAAGGGCGTCATGAGTAATGAACCTGTAGTGGTGTGGTGAAGAGTGAGTACATTCTTGGTGTATGGACTGTCCTGTCCAATTTTAGAGTCTCACAAAATATTAACCAAGTAGGGTTGTCAAAAGTAGCTGGCTGCAAATGAAAATCGGCACCTACTTGGTTAATATTGGCCGGCTACTCTGCTAGGCATTTCTTTACAGATGGCGTTTTTTAAATGAAATATCCCTGGACTGGCCACTTATTTTGATGACTCAGCCGTCTATTTCAAAACTTTCTGACAACCCTGACCAAGTATTAAGGAACGATCAGAATTAGAGTCTGAATTAAGGTCTTGATTGAATTTGGACTGTCTTTAGGCCTGGAAGTTTGAAAATAGATTGTGTGGCCTTGAAGTCTTGCAAAACTCCATATTGGCCATATATAATAATGTTTACATTTACTGTATATAACATTTGTGATCCACAGCTGTGAGTCTTATGCCTTCATCATAGTGTCTCCCTTAGCATCAGGGTTGCTGCTGATCAGTTGACATTACTCATAATCATCAGCATGTGATCATTAGTTCCCAGCTATCATGTTCTTTTACAATTTCATCGTAGACACTGTATTTAACACAGTTTCATGTCAGTAATAGGTAGAAACCACCCTCCCAGGTCAATTTGATTTAACTGTAATTTCTTTTGCAGGATGGACTTGTCTCTTTTTGGTCTCAGAACATGGAATTTAAAAGGATGAAGCAAGCAGTGCATGTAAGTTAACAAAGTCGTTAACTTTCGTGGTACACTGATTAAACAAACAAACAACAATGTATTTATTAACAGAACTATAAAGTTTACAATACTCTATGCCCTGCAAATAGCTTGTGTTCCGTTTAATTCTAGGCAGGACAAAACTTTAAATAAAGGCAATATTAAATTACTTGAGAAAAAAGGAGAAGAAAAGAAATACAATAACATACAGAAAGAAACAACTGATTTTTCACTTTTGAGTAATATGGCTTTCAACTTTTTTTTAAATTTATTTTGTTGCTTATTTTTCAGGCTGAGAGCTCAACCAAGAAAACAAAATGGATTACAGATTTTGTGCTTATGCCTCAATTCACTAAATTTATTATTTCAACTGGGTAAGTTTCTGTAGGTAATAACTGTCTAAATCCAGTTCTTAAGTGTTCAAATTTGTCAAAAAAGTTGCATTAATTTTTCACCGTTATCATTATTTTTCAAGATTCACCTGGTAGATAATAGCATTATACACTTGTGCATGTAGATTACTTAACAGCCATGAGCTTTCAAGAAATGCTATAACGTCTTGTTTATTGCATTTTTTTGTTTAGGGATAGGGAAATTCAGTTCTTTGAATTATCAACATTTGAGCCATACTGTCAAATCACTGGATTAGAGACAACTCCTTTGAGACTAGATTATTGGTAAGAAAATGAAAAAAGCCATGCCCATTTGGCAGTAACTGATTCTTAATGGTGGTATTAATAAATTATACATCTGGCCGGGTAATTAGTTTGATTTTACAAAATTATTTTAATTAAGTTATTATTGATTAATAAAGTTTCAGTTTTTTTCTTTGTATCCTGGCTTGTGCAAGTTGGGGCCAGCAAGTGGATTCATAATCAAACTGGACAAATCAATCCCTGCTTTACAGACACCCACTTGATATAGACACCTCATTATCACAGACAGTTTTCCTTGTCCCTAACCCTAGTCTCCCACGCAAGCGTTTTTAGGGGAGCTCGTATTTTGTCCCTCCCACACAAAAGCTCCACTAAAAACGCCTGCGTTGGAGGCTTCCCTAGCCCTTCCAGTTTCTCTAAATTTAATCTGCTTATTACAGACACCTGTTATTACAGACACTTTCTGTGGCCCCCTTAGTGTCTGTGTTAACAGCCCTTGTAGAATCAGACACTATGTAGAATCTATGCAAATGCTATGTCACAAAGCTATGCAAAACCTATGTTAATCACTCATACATTGCTTTAACCAGATCCTATGTTGTTTCTATGCCAGGACTATGTTTTTTGTATCGAAAATGCTATGTTTTCGCTAGTCAAACGGAACCTATTTAAAAGCTATGCAGTTTTTAAAGGTAGGAATAAAGGAAGAAATGACATAGTTTCCACATAGCCTATACATACAGTTTACTTAGCTTGTGGAAAGAGATTTTAGACTTCATAGTCAACCTCATAGAAAAATCATAGAAAATAAATAGCCTTCACATAGGACTGAAATAGAGTTTACATAGTAAAATTGAACAGGGAACAGTTGATTAAATAGCTTTTGAATAGGGTTTGCTTAGAATTTAGATAGCCTAGAAATAGAAAAAACATATGAAAAACATAGCCTTTTTAAAGGTGACATACACTTTGCATAGCATTAAAATAGGGAAAACACAGAACAAATAGTCTTTGCATAGGTTTGAAATAGGATTTTAATAGTATTTGAATAGGTAAAACATATCACATACACAAGCTTTAACTAGAGTTCAAACAGAAATTACATAGAATTGACATAGTCTCTTATGTATGTTGGTTTCGATCTGCTTAAGCAAATGTAGTCTTTTAAATACGTTCGTAAAAATCACCAAAATAGTAAAAATAGTAAAAAATATGAATTAGAATACCTTTTACATTGGTAAGAAATAGGTTTTGAAACGAAAAATTGAAAAACTATGGCAATATAATACCACGAACACTAATAGTAACACAAATGCAGTATTTTCATGGAGGTTTCAGAATCGAAACCCCTTGTTTAAGTTTGCTTATCGTGTAGACTTTTTGCTGATGTCGTGCTCTTCAGTGCCATACAGTTTCCTTTTGACTGCAACGAATAAGTATCTGCAAACAGAAAAGTGGAGATTTTAAGGCAAATGAACATAAAAACAACCTGACGTTTTAGAATTGAAACGAAGGAGTATCAAAGCGTGATCGACCGATCCTTGTTCAGATACGCGAAAAGGGGAGACAACACAGGCAAATTGAAACTTAATTGAGAAAAACATCACTTACCAACGTTAGGAATACTTTTTGTTGAACCTGGTAGGAAAAAGACCGTAAATTGAAGTAAAAAGAAGCGTCTTCTTGTAAAAACGAACGCAATACAGCTCGTCTTCTTTGACTTGAAAGCGCCCGCGTGGAGACAGACAATTTTCACACCTTTTCATTGGTTGAAAAGGCCCATGTGACGATAAAACGCAAAATACGCATGTGTTGAACTCACGGGCTTCCCTGGGAACTAGTGGAAACAAAATGGCTGACAAACATCCACCGAGGCAGGGAGCGTTTCGCAGTTTTGACCATGCAGTTATATTCAGGAGACGTCCACAATCAAGACGAAGGATCGAACCCAATGTAAAAGAAGAAAATGATGCATGGAAGTATCATTTCAAGTGAAGAACTCAAGGGAAAAGCTAGAAAGGAAAGTTAAGACAGGGATGATGGATGTAGCGATTCAATGCTTAACAAAAGTCTTCTCACTAAGAAACTATCTGCAAGCACAAAAGAAAATTGTAGTACATGATTTTTCAGTGTTTTAGTTTAAAACACTGCTTTTTACTTTGGAAGTATGCTTAGCCTTCTGTAAGCGCTACTATCAACATAGTCACTTAAAAGCTATGTTGGAATATCACATAGGAAACGCATAGACTACATATATTTTTCATATGAGTGACATAGGAAAAAATATGTTTATGTAAAAGCTATGTAGCCGTTATCTCATGATAAAGCTAAATGAAAATGTCACATAGTGAATACATAGGCTGCAAATATGTTTCATCACGTAGCATAGAATATACATAGCACTATGTAAAAGCTAAGAAACTTGTTGGAAATAAAAGTGAAGATCGAAATGCTATGTAAAAGCTATTTTACTTTGATGCATAGTGAATACATAGGATGCTAATCGGAAGGAAAAGCAAAACTTTCTATTGCATAGTAAATACATAGCTATGTTAAGACTATGAAAAGATTTTGAATAGTATTTGCATAGGTATTCAAAAGCTATGTGCTTTTCGAATAGCCTAAACATAGTTTCAACATAGATTTTGCATACTTTGGACTATGTTGTTTGGTGTGTTACATAGTTAATACATAGGCAGTAGTGAAGATAACATAGCTGAAACATAGTCCAACATAGTAAACAAATAGCATGAGCATAGGTTTTGCATATGTCTGGTTCTACAAGGGAGGGTTTGATTGTTAAAACAAATGTCTGTCTTGGAAGGGCAGAAAAAAGAAGAAAAAAGAAAAAAATCAGTTCAATTTGTTTCAAAGGCTGATATTATTGCCATCAGAATTAATCAGACTGCTAGCATTATATGTAATCAGATTTGTTTTAATGCACATATTTGAAAAATGATGTTTGCATTTAGGTCCCACAAAAATATATGTATCTATATTTCTTTATTTGTTGTTAAGCACTGCAATAGTAAAGAATCTACACTCACTGATGCTGTTTCATTATTTAACTCTACAGCTCAACTGGACCAGATGAGTGTATAATACTTTATGGGGACAGTCAGGTACATGTATAATTTTGCTTCTGTTGATTCTGGTGAATTTTGTTCTCATTGCCATTAATTGATTTGGTCAAAGTCTTGCGTCAAGTCCAGAAATGACAAGGATAGCAAAGATAGCTTTTTGTACTTTTTGTGCAAAAACAAAAAGAACAACAACAAAAACAACTATAACTAAAACAAAACGATTCAAGACAAAATACCTATAAAACAGTACCAACAGCTAGTGGCAAATATTTTAATTTTTTTTGGCCACTTTTTTTTCAGGGATGTGTAAATATTTTTATGATGAGTTCTGTTGGAGAAACATTGAGGTATGAAACTTAATTTTCCAGTATAATACAAAAATATCAAAGTCACCCATTACTTTTCTCTTTATAAATTATAACAGACAGTTGAATGATACAATTTATTTGAAAATTTTGTCTTGCTGAATAGTTGTCATAATTTTCCAGGGAGATTACATGTAGTGAAGTTTTTTACTTTCTTCAACAAGTCTCTTTGTTTGAAGAATAAATGACTTGAAGGAAGACATTCTTGTAAACATTAAATGTGGCCCTCAGCTTTGGATATGGCGTTACTGTTGTTCTTTTTGTGAACGAGTTTCTTGATGTATTCTGAGACACTGTATGTGTAACTTTTAATGGTATTAGTATTATTGCAAAAGAAGTACTTGTATACGTACAAAAATATCACAAAAAAACCTAGTTTAAATGAATTTTTACGTAAGCATTTTGAACAATATTGCATTTAAAATTGTGGGAAGCAAAATTAAATGTGTGGCAACTAACAGGGTTTTGTCCTCCTTTGTAGTTTTATTGTTATTATTTTATATGGTTATTTACATTGTGTGTTTGTCACTAATTTATTTTTTATTGTGTGCTGTATATTGATGTTGTTATTTGTGGTCAATAAAAACAAATTTGTTGTTACATAAACAAGGCAATACTTTACAAGGAGAACCAACTTAACTTTGACAATTGCGTTACGATGACCCTGAAAGGATAGGGTTTTTCTTGCTATTTTTACCTTTTTTACTGTACGCCAATAAATAACAAATGAAACTTAAGTAGAACCAACGAAAAATATAAAACCACAACAAACTCAGTCCTTGGATATTGTACTAAAAGAAACTTATTTATCTTGTAGAAATTGGAAGAAAATGCCAAAGGTTGAAGGAATAGCAAGTGTAAATATAGACAGGTACGTACATCTTCTAACGCAGTTACTGGAATACTTTATCAAGGGATATAGAACCCACTACGACTCTTTTTGTTGTTCTTAAGATTACAGTCCTGTTAAGTTGATCCTTTAGTTTGGCTCCAAGCACGAAGAGGGCGTGGAGCGCGAGAAACGCACCCCCGTCGCCTTGTCTGGTTTAAAAAGATAAACCTTGATTATTTTTTTAAAAAAATGGTTGTTGGGAAGTCGCTTTGACATTATAGCGTTTTACATATACACTGAAAATGAATGCGTTTAATGTGGAGACTTCTTGATTTACCACAGTGTTGTAAATTCGGAGAATTCAAGATTCACGTGTATCAGGTAAGGAAACAGTTCTTTATAATTCCCTTTTAATGTTACAAGGAGTTAATAAAGGAACAGAAATCGTCCAGTTTTTAATAGAGCAATTTTCGTATGACCTTGAAAAATGGTTTCGGTAATTGTTCGTTATTTGTTTTATCAGCCAATGGATGAAAAGATCAAAACATAGCCTCTTCGTTTTCTCGTCAAAGAAAACCTTAATATGGAGAAGGCATTGTTCGATTACCCAATCGTGTTGCAGTATGACGTCAAAGCGAAGTATCGATTGATTTCTAGAAAGTTCTTTGGGCATGAAGTTTTTTTCACCCGAGCGTTCGCTTGACCAACCAAAAGCCATGCGCGTTTGTATCCGTTCGATAGACCAATCAAATCGCTCTATTTTCGTTCGTTTGTTGTTTCTGTTTTGTTTCCGCGTTTTCATTTCAAGGTCATACGAAAATCGCTCTAAAGCTTTGGCTACGTTCACGCGGCACCGGACCTGCTGAAAAATTTGACCTGTCACTTCGTTCACACGGCACTTTGAACGGCTAGGCGTCTGGACTTTCCTGCGGTAAGGTTAGTTCCGTGTGAACAGAACACCTAAATGCAGGAATTTTAAACCGGTCGAAAATTCGTCGCCTGCCGTCTGAACATAGCCCGAGGGTTTTCTTTTTCTCGTTAGGAAGAAATGGAAGAAAGAAGTCTATCCATTGCCACATCTTTTTGTTTCAGTGAGTTTCATGAAACAAATTTCCGGTAACTCTTGCTTGTCTTTTTCTCCTTGTTGTAGATGGAAGGTTCATGACGACTGGGTCTCTCAGTTGAAATATTATGACTCTCTAAGAGCAGTCATTTCTTGTTCCAATCACCCAGAAACTGCGTTGGTTATTGGTAAGTTTAGCCGATAGTCCGGTTTGTTTTACGGCCTCCCCTCCCTAGCCATTGCTTCTTCTCCAATTGCTTTGGTGTATTCTCCAGATTTTTCTGCGTCTCCCTCGTCCACCAAATTTCATTTACTCCTATAGTTTCCTCTTACATATTTTCGTGAGTTCTTGTTCTTATTTTCTCCAAGACTGTTCGCCTGAGATGCCACCACTGGTTTCCCATCGAAATGACGTGCGCGAACGAGCGCAAAAATCCCGTTTGATGACGTGTCACTACTCAGATCTGGGTAGTGCTTTTGATTGATTGAAGCAAATTTCCCTCGCGGCACAACCAATCAGAAGCACTTTCCTGATGTGTATAGTGACACGTCATCAGTATGGAATTTCTGCGCTCGTTCCTCAGACATCATTTCGCGGGAAAACCAGTGAAGGCCTCGTAAAATGTCGGTTGTTTTCTTAGGCTACCTGCCCTAAAAAATTAGTTGCTTCGTTTGTTGCTTCGCAAGCAGAGCACGCATGGTGAAGGATTCTTCCGTAAAGTAGTCTACTGTTGAACCTTCATTAAGCGGTCACCTATTACATGGCCATTAATCAAAGTCCCGAAATAATCGAGGTCAAGAATGGGAAATTGAACCTGTGTTAAGCGACCACCCCTATTCGGCCGCGGCCACCTTTTCACCATCCCAAAATATATTCTTCCATTGTTATCACCTCTATTAAGCGGTCATCAAGTGCTTGGTACATTTAGTTTGGCTTCATTTTGAGTGTATGATGAAGGAAAATACAGTCCGAAATAGAAGGCGACAACCGATTGTGGACCAGTGATGCTTCTCCTCTCGGTCGTCACTTGTTTCCATCCGCCAAACTGACATTTTCCTCTCAGTGGCTCTAACAAGACATTTCACTTTTCTTACATGAAATTTCTCTGTCTCTTGAAATTTCTGTTCATAAAAGTCCAAGTCTCTTCAATTTTTAAGGAAAAAAAAAATTCAGGAAGGCACGAGGAGGATTCGATCTCAGAGCATCGGCTCTGCAGTGCATCACTTTAACCCCTACACCACCGAGGATTAGCCTACAATGAATGGTTATAGAAACAACCCTAACCCCTACTTTGTGTACGAATCATTAATCTGTCAATGTCAGTTTGGCGGATGGAAATAAGTGTTGACCCCTCCTCTCCGTTTAATGGAGGTTAAACTGTGAACCTCCATTATTGATTTTGTTTAGTGGAGGTTAAACTGTAATAACAATATTCATTTTGTTTTCTTTTTCATTCAGGTCAAACTATGGGCAGCACTCATGTTGAGTCTCAATTAAAGGATTCCAGTGGTGGTGCTTCAAAGAAAGTTCAGACCTCTACCGTGCGTGACTTGCAGCCAAGACGGCGAATGGACAGCGATCAGACTGTATTCAAAGTGTACAAAGGCGTCAAGGCGTTTGACTTCTGCAAAGAAAAGAATGTTATTGTTACAGGAGGTGAGGGTTTTAGAAAATGCTGCTGGGAATTGTTTTTCTGTTGTTGTTACAGTTTGCTCCAGTGCGCTAACACAAGAGTTCTTACACATTTTCACGTCGTAGTCGTGCAGTGACGGCACAAAAAGTACAAAAAAGCGTGATGTACATGCAAGGTTGTTGTTTTGCTAATCTTCTCTTATTACTTTTTCGACGTTCTCGTTGTTGTCTCCGTTGTTGTTGCTTAGGGCCTGTTTACATGAAGGTGGGGGACCCCAGGTAGGTGAGGTAACCCGCTTAGGTGGGGTAACCCGCCTGTCCATATAATCTCTTATTTTAATTTGATCACGTTTACATCGTAGGTAGGGTGACCCGCCACATGTTACCTCACCTATCTGGGGTTCCCCAACTCCAAATGAACAGGTCCTAAGACTCCCTTGTCGCGGCAGTTTTCCCCCTCAAAAAAAAAAAACGTCGGTGTGATATGGATGTTTTGCGTTCTACAGTGTATGTTGCTCGAATGTGACGTGCAGCATCATGTGTATTGCTTGTTCAGCCTTCAAACAAATTATTCATTTTGCCTTTTTAAAGGAATGGACAGACTTGTAAGAATGTGGAATCCTTACGTTCCAAGGTAGGCAAGAGGTCTAATGTTGAAAATTTTTACATTAAAAAGGGGATGTCAAGTTTTAAAAGTCTTAGCAAATCTAAAGTCACAATTGCTTTGCCGGTTTAAAGTATTGCCGCATCGCCAAGTCAGTCGTAACTTGTCGGCAACATACGTATTTCCCGCGCTTAGAATCAGCTACATATCTTTGTTAGGGCGAGGTTCCAGTTAGCGAGGGTTCGAGTTATCGGGAGTCGACTATACGTCAAAGCATTCTTTTTCCTTTCAGTAAACCAACTGGTCTTCTGCGGGGACACACAGCACCTATATTTCATTTATTTATTTGCCCCGAAGATGACAGAATATTCAGTGTCTCTACTGATAAGACAGTTAAGGTGAGGTAACTTTATTTTTATACAAACAAATAAAACAAACAAAACAAGAAACAACAACAGCATTTACTACTTTGAACTCATGGGTGGTTCATGTCTCAGAAACAAGGTTTATGGCTGGCCACGTGGTCCACCGTAAGTAGAGAACGTTTGCTATTTTAGATCAGTGAATCATTTTGAGGGAAATTTACTTTCTGTTTATTGATCCAAGGTTTGGGACCTTCATGATCACACTTGTTTACTGACTGTCCGTCCAAAGGCGCATAAGATCAGAGGAGATCTGTCGGGTGAGTAGTGAGAGTGTTTTCAAGTAAAATGAATTAAAAAAAATACATTAAAATTTAAAAAGCTGTAGTTATAAAGGAGGTCTTCACCATCTGCTCTCTTGTGCGATGCTCGATTAGGTCAGGAAATGACCTTGGCTCTAGTCAAGAATTGAGCCCGCGCTCCTCCCCCGAAAAGACTCTCTTCTTGAGGAAGAACAAGATCGGACCTTACAGACAGGCGGAAATCCAGCCCAACCGGTGCTGGATGCATCTTTCTGCTTTATGGTGCAATCATTTCTCTTATGATTGGTGGTCAGGCATGTTACACTGTTAAGAAGTGTTAATATTTCTCAAAGCTGAACTTTATCTTTTTGAAATCTTCATCTTGCGAGTTACTTACAGATAAGCGAGTGCGTTCCAGCAGACCCTGCTGGTCAAATCTGCAGGATACCCCATAACCATAGCGATAGCAAGCTTGGCATCGGCTACATCTATAGTACACGAGAGATCCTTCACAATTTTTCCACGTATGAGGCGCGTGAGAAGTTAAGGGTTCGAGGGACGCACTGCATGTCCTTCGCCGTTGCGTACATGGTTTGGACAGGAAAATGGGAGGGGGATTGGAGAGAGAGGAGGATTCCAGTCGCTTTCCCCTTTCGCTCTTTTCCTCCCCCTCCCCTCCGCTCTTGCGCCTTCCACAGAGGCTACTACTCTTGTGTCTCCCATTGCTTTATCTCAATTTTTTTCTTCATTCCTTCGTTAGCAATTCACTACAATCCTTCCAGTAAAGGCCTAGCTGTAGCTACGTCCGAACAAATCGCTCTTCTACCACTGAAAAATAAGTAAGTCTATTAAAAAGTGATTATGTACTCTTTCATTATATGTAGTTAACTCATGTCGTTATGACGTGGACTAAGGATCGTTATGTTATTAATTTTCTATTGTCAAGATATATTTAAGGGCTTTTTGAAAAATGTTAAACTGATTAAATACTTTTATTTTGAAAAAGGCTCATTTCATTGGTTGACGCTAGATTAAGAATAAAGGGAAATAAGCGCCCTGTTTCGAATATGCTCTTTTTTGCTCCCTCCCTTAAGTTACCATAAGTGAATAAGCATCCTGCGCGCTGCATCGAAAAATTACGGTAGGTTGTTTTCCATATCATCTTCCACTGGTGAAATGTTGGAGTTAACTTGCGGACACAAATATTGTTTTTGAAAGAATGAACTTGCCTTATAACAAATGTAAGTGATTAATTATATCACCATATCTTTTGCATAAATTTATTCATGACCAGATTAATATGACCATGACCTTAAAAGTCCTTAATTCCACTTTAATAACAGTTATAGCCACAGTACACCAAACAAACAGATGACGATAAATCAGTAACTAAATAGACTTTTATTCATGGATTTGCTGCAAAGCGGCATGATAAATTACGGATTCATTCAAAAATACTTTACATCTGCATGGTTTTCCAAGTTGCGAACGTTTGTTGTGTTTTTCAGAATGTCATCGAAAGACATGATAACTACTCACAGGGAAGCTGTGATGTGTGTAAAATACAACAAGAGCTTTAAGCATGTCATTACAGCGTCTGAAAACTCGGTGAGTATTGAGACGGAATCCACCAGGAAATTGAGTAATTTTAATTTTCAGTGGACAAAAACCTTGTACCAGAATAATTTAAAGAATATTGCATTCTTTTTTACATATTTCAAGGGCTAAAGATGTAATTAGTCATCTATAATAACACCAAAGAAAATTTTTCATTGGACTCCGAGAAAATGAATGTCAAAATTCACAAGAATTGTGAAAACACAGGTAAAATTTCGAAAAATTAATGTGCAAGATGTAATTTTGTGAAATTTGACGTTCGTTTTCTCGGACCCCCATAAGAAATTTTCTGTGGTGCTGATGACTAATTGCATCTTTGGCCCTTGAAAAATGTAAAAAAGAATGTAATATGCTTTAAATTATTCTGGTACAAGGTTTTTGTCCACTGAAAATTAAAATTACTCAATTTCCTGGTGGATTCCGTCTTGAACACCTACTTAACGGTCCCGAGGGAAACAGTTAATTTTGTTTCCCGAGAATCTTAATGTTTCCCGAGGTGAAGCCGAGAGTAACATCGAGATTCGAGGGAAACAAAATTAACTGTTTCCCGAGGGACCAGTCTTATGGTGATTTGTATATAGCTGACGTCCTAGTTGAAACCCAGCTTCCACTTGTTCAGGGTGTGAGAACAAAGAAAATAAAAATAGTAAAATTTTCTATAATAATGGGTTCCGTATTGTAGGTGATTAAAGTATGGGACGTGGAAACCGGAAGGTCGGTGTTTGAATTTTCACAAGCTCATGGAGACCACGCCGTTACCTGTATGAGCTTTGATTCTACAGAAAGAAGGTATGCAGTTTTCTCGTTGAATAGCGCTTTTTTCGTTATTATTCTTTGTAATGATATTCGTCATATATTACGTTCAATCCTAGCACGTTTCTCTCTTTTTGACATCATGCATAACTGATAAAAAAAAAGAACATCAGCAACAACAATAGAAAACCTTTAGATTCGAAGGCGAGGACAATATTTGACTTAAAGTTTTTTCGCGTATTCTTAAAAAATAGACACCCCGAGAAGCCTCACTGTACTATTTTTACCAGAGAAGTAAGCATGGTTATTTTTATTAGCCCTCTCCCGATCGTAAAATGATAAAAACGTCCGGCATTTGATAGACTATATGGCTTATTTCCGCCACAGTGACTACGTCTTTTGGCTAAAACCCGCGTAGTAGAATGACGACGACTGGCACGTTTTCCCGCCAAAATAGGCTGATTTAGCAACAGAACGGTAACGTCAGTTGACAACGGCGCGCGCAAATCAAACAACTGGCTTGACCAATGGCAGAGAGGCAAATTGGGCACCGGAAGTCGTGTTTAGTCCTTTCCGCGCGCTTTCCCGTCGTCAACTGACGTTCCCGTCCTGTTGCTAAATCAGCCTAGACTCGGGTTCACGCGTGCGCTCTAAAGAGTACTGAGAAGGTCTCGTACTCGTAGTGGTACTCGTCCTAGAATCTAAAGGACTCTAACAACAAACTTTAGGGAGCTTAAGCAACGACGTTTTTGAGCGACGCACGTCAACCGGAAGTTGCCCTTTTTCATTTTTGGGCGATGGTTTTGCCCAAATTTTCAGTCAAATCGTCTCTGTAAGAGTAAAGAAACTAAGCAATACAAATTACATAGCGTCAAGGCATATTACAAGGGAAAAGTTCTCACTTCCGGTTGACGTCCGTTGCTCAAAAACGTCTTTGCTTAAGCTCCCTAATAACAACAGCAACAACAGAACCAACAAAAACATGACAAAATCAAAACTGGGCGTACGATAAACTCAACCTTGTTATCGTCTTTTCTTACTTTTGTGTATATTTTCACTGGCAGGTTGATCACAGGCGGCAGAGATGGAAGGCTTAGAATATGGAACTACAACAATGGTCATTGCCTTAGAACATTGGAAAAAGGTAAGATTTCCACTCATGCACGGACTGAACGTGGATATTTACGCGAAAAATACTGCATTGCGTTACTTGCTTCAGAATCATGCGCTCCTTTTACTGTCGCGAAATCAGACAGTTTTGATGACAATCCATTCAAACTTCTTAAAACTGATAGCTTATTTGAAAAATTAGATACACCTTTGTGTGTTTCGAAATTTCGTTTACGTTAGTCTGCTCAGTTAAGAATTGGTAACGTTTTTTTTGTATGGACTACATGTTCACTATATCTTCATAATTTTACCTTGGGTAGCAATGAAATTGTCTAAAATTACCTGAATTACTGAAACGCACAATTTGATTCGATCTTTTATTGAATTGCAGAAAGCGACATTGACGAAGTTGCAGATTTAACTTATCTAGTCTTAAATAAAAACAGGTGAGACATTTTCACAATAAACCCCATAAAAAGGTTGGTAATCTGTTGTTGTTATATATACATGTTCGTAATTAAGGTGGGCAGCCCTGTTCTCATAAGGATGCAAAAATGCATGAAAGCCACTTTTCAGAATGATTGCAAAGGGGCCACTAAAATGTCCAGCTCGAGGACATTAAAGCTCTTTTTACTGACATTGGTAAGGTGATGTTACGGGAGACAATTCGCAACGACGATTTTTAACGCAGTGCAGCATTACAACATTGCTGCGACCTTGTTTCGAATGATTACAACATTGTTCCAGCATTCCAACGTTATGTTGCGCTAAAAATCGTCGTTACGAATCATCTCGTGTAACATCACCGTTAGAAAAATAATCTTTGTCTTCCTTTGTTGCAGATATATCATTTCCGTAGGATGGGACAGAAGAATAAATCTATTTTCTGTGAGTTATATAGATGTGTGATAGATCAGCCTGTTTTTTTCCCTGATACTTGCCTTTGGGCCAATACTTGCGTCTAGACCCATTTCACGATGAAAAGGGCCTCTTATGGTAGCCTTCAGCGCAGGCGTATTCTTGAGGCGATCGAAAGTGCCGATCGCCAACTTTTAGCCTGTGTACAGACGCACCCCTCCCCTCCCCTCCCCTCCCCTCCCCTCTGAGGGCAGGGGGCGTCGGTACACAGGCTACCATCTGTAATTCTGAAAACAGAGGAAGATTAGAGTATAGTAGAGGTAGCGACCAATAGAGTGGGTGTCAGGGTGAAAAACGTGACCGAAGGAAGGAGGAGGTTCTCTCCTCTCTGCCCGCCTCTTCCCCGCCCCCTTTTTTTATCTCACCTTCATGCAAGTCTTTGAGTTTTCTGAAGTTCAATGTAGTGATTACACGAGAAAATAAAGTACCCGAGCGCCACGAAGACACCTGGCCCGCATTGCAGGCTACTCTTATACTTTGGTCGCTATTGAAAACCAGGCTTGACCTGTTAGGACGCAGGGTTTGGTATACCAGTAGTCTCCCACAATATTTCGATCACATGCTTGATTTTTCCATTCTAAACATCATATCAATACAATTTTACGTGAACATATATCACATGACAATCTTTACGCATGCCGTGAATAAAAATACCGTCTGGCTAGTAGCAAGGGCCCTGCTGTTCGTAGTAGTTTAACTGCTTCTCGTGGAATGTCCCAGCCGAAATCTGCATCTTTCTTGATAGAAGACGTGCGTAAAAGTGTTCTCCTGGTTCTTAGCATTCCTTATAAAATTCAAAAGTGCAAATCTCTTTACTTCACTCAGACAGTGTACTTCCCAAATCGCAATGTCTTTTTCGTAACCTGCGCTTTTTTGTTGATATTTGTTGTTTTAACAGGATGACAATGAAGATTTCCATCATGTACAGCACCCGTATGCTTACTGGAAAGACGATCTGGTGAGAAGATCTAAACACATGGGTTGTCTGTTGTTTATCTTTCCACTCTCTGCTCCCTTTTTCTTACAGCTTGTCTTCCAATTTTGTTGAGTCAAGCTCCAAGAAAACTGCCTCGCGTAATAACGCGAAAAAATAAAACAATAAATAAACGGGTCAACTAGGCCAGTGCGAGACAATCAGAGCTTGCACGAGTGCTGTTGGCTCGGGCAAAGGAGCCCTTTTTTTTCTCGTATAAGCGCTTACTAAAGTTAACCCATGTTGGAGGGTGACCCTCTATCCCGGGAGAAATTGTCTCCATATAAACGGGACCTTAATGCGGTCGCAAGGCGAGCCAAGAAGGGGCACAATGACAAAAACAACGAAAAATGCAAAACGAAACGAAAAACATGACTACGAAGGTCTACGATTACTGCAACGTAAAACGAACGTTGCTAGAGAGGAATCTTTCAGAAGATTTTAGATAAGGTGTCGTGTAACGTTGTCTTGCAACTTAACAACAACATGCCTGGATTTCATATACTAGACTTGTGCCTGCTCAAGCTTGATCTTGGTTACCCTAACTTTGTTATAGGTGAACGGCCACAAAGAAGATATTTTGTCAATAACTGTGAGTCCGCCAAACCTTCTTGCAACTTCAAGTTACGATGGCGAGGTGAGTTTGAACGCTGGTACTGAACCGCGATCTTATATAGATGATAAGGGAGAGTGCGCGCGGAGCGGTACCTTGACTACGACTTTGTTACTAAGGCCTATGCCAAACGTCGAACTCTTCTTGAGACGAACCAAACTCTAATTTGGGTCCATCTAAATTAAGTTAACATCTTCTTTCGAGTCAGAGGCTAGATATGCATTATCATACAAATTTTTCATTTATAGGTTAGTTCGTCGCATGTGAAGATCCACGTTTGTCCCGCAGACGATCTTCAGGCGTTCTATCCGTCTGAAGCAGACGGATAGAATGTGCTGGGCGATCCAAACTCATTCAGATGAACTTAACTGAGCCACATGTCGAACTTTTTATAGATGACTTAACTTACTAAGTTTGGTTCGTCTCATGAAAAGGTCGACGTTTGGCCCGCTGGGCCTAAGTAAGAAAAAATAGCAAACGACCGGAATTGGCGTCATGAACTTGGTTTAAGTTTAGTTCACGCGTTTAGAAGTGCATTTTGTGGTTCAGAAGTCCCAGGTAGAGTTCAGGAGCAGGACGCTGGCATGGTAAATAATGGTTATGGCTGTAATCTTTGCTTTCATTGACTGTTTTCGTGATGTTATGAATTCGAATTTGATGCTTTGTAGATTAAAAATTTGGAATCAGATATCTGGACACATTTTCTGCCACATCGTGTTGTTAAATAATGGTTTATGGCTGTAATCTTTGCTTTCGTTAACTGTTTTCGTGATGTTATGAATTCGAATTTGATGCTTTGTAGATTATTATTTGGAATCAGATCTCTGGACACATTTTCTGTCACATCGTGTCACCGTTTGCGTCCAAAGGGAATGGCGAAAACTTCTCCTCTCGAGATTGTAAGTAACTGACTATCAACGTACCATGGCATTGAAAATTGTTTTTTATACGTTACCGCTTTGGTCCTTTTTACTTCCGGGACTTCCAAACACCCATTTCTAGATTTGGAAAGTTGCAGTTTGCGAAGTAAAACTTGTGTGTACTCCCACACATCTATTTCTAGATCTAGAAAGTTGCAGCTTACGAAATAAAATTCGTGTGGACTCCCGAACACCCATTTCTAGATCTAGAAAGTTAACGCTTGAAAAATAAAACTCATGTGGACTCCCAAACACCTATTTCTTGATCTAAAGAGTTGAAGCTTGCGAAATAAGACTTGTGAGCAGATTTGGTGTTATACTGCAGAATAAACCAGATAATGGGGAGTCTACGCAAAGGCGTTTTCAGTTTGAGAGACGCTCGTCAACCGGACGTGTGCTCAAGAACGGCTTTTCTTAAACTCCCTAATAAGCAAAAAAATTATTCACACGATCTCGTATTTTCCTCCTTATTGTAGTGGACGGTGGAAATGCTATAAATAAGATCCTCTTCTTGAAAGTTAGAGCGATGAAAAAGGATGCTGCCACCCTGGTGGCCAGTGGACCACAAGGTAATGTCCCGGGAGGGTGCACGTGTGAATTCTTGGTGGGGGTGTGCCGCCTGGCTCTCCAAATCCTGACCCTATTTCACACCAAAAATGTCATTTTCCACATCCGTTTTCAGACCAGGGCTAAGTTGCGTAAAACCTTTTTAAGATAAGGGGGTTCTTAACTTTTGTTCTGGAACAATAACACCGTAATTTTTAGGGAGTTATTATAACTCCAAAAATGGAGTAAAAATTTTAGGTACAGGATAACCCCTTTTTTGGGGTTATTTTAACTCCTAATTCAACTCCGAATTTGGGGTCATTTTTACTCCTGAAAAAGAGTTCTTTTTACTCTCAGTCTGGAGTTAAAATGACTCCGAAATGGGGTTACTTGTACTCCTTACATGGGTTGTTTTTACTCTTTTTGGAGTTAATTTAACTCTGAAAGTGGAGGAAAAATTTTAGGTACAGGATAACTCCTTTTTTGGGGTTATTTTAACTCCTCGATATCTGGGGTCACTTTTACTCCTGAAAAAGAGTTCTTTAAACTCCTTTTTGGAGTTAAAGAAACTCCACGAAAAATAACTCCACTGTAAGGAGTTAAATTAGCCCCACTAGAGGAGTTATTATAACTCCCTGAAAATTACAGTGAACGTATTGTTTTGAAACAACAGTAATTATAGTTACGAGTTCTCTTCATCTTAAGATGTTCTTTGCAACCCGACCCTGACCTCTAAAATCCATACGCGTTTTCAGACCTAACCTTTAGGTAGAAATTATGTCATAATTACTTAGATTAGAGCGCAAACAAATAATTTCTTCAGATGCATTTCAATTTCGCATATTTCTATTTCTTCCTTATTCATTTGGAATTGAAACGATAAATACGTTCATACGCTCCCGTAGTTCTCTCGAAATCCATACCCGATTCCAGACCAAAATGGGCAAAGTGTATACCCGTTTTCAGACCAAACGGAACCAAAAACCATACCCGTTGGGGCGATACATACCTGTATGGTTTATATAAGGGAGTACCCCCCCCCCCCGGAGTAATGTAGACAAGAAGTCACATTGTCTCCTCTTCTAAATTTATCAAAACAAATTGCTTTAAACCCTTTCGAATAGAATATAATTTGATTTTTGTAGTAAACAGATAAGACTTTTCCTTCGTCGGCGAATCTCGATAACTCATTCGCTTTTACCTAACCGTAATAACCCTTTTGGAAATTTATCCTCTACCCGTGAAATGAGACATGTATATGGGTTGCACCCTCCGACTTCGACCATCAAAGTGGTGAGTGGGGCTTATTACAAAGAAAGTGAGGGTCATTTTACGTTTCTTCATGGGAAACTGCCCACCTACCCCTCCCCTAAACCGACATTTTGCCCTAAGTAAGAACTAAGTGTTAATGTTGGTTTTGGGAAGGGGTAGGTAGGCAGTTTCGCAGAAACGTAAAATGATCCGAAAGTGAGGGGGTAGTACTGTAAACAGAGAGGTCTTAATAAGCTTTTATTGCCAATGTGTTGCAGGGCTGGTTCATTTCTGGAACATTTACACTGGTGGGACACTTTATGCCGCGTTTTCGCCGGTATGTGATTTGTTTTTTTCTTTGAATTTATATTTCAAGACTGAGACAATCACGGGAAAGCCAGGTATAAACGAGCTTATATTACCAGTAATGCTGAAACAAAGAAAAAAAAAAGAACTTTGATATCTTATTAGTGAATCATGTTTCCATTTCAGTCCAAGAATGGTATAACGGCAATGGCATCCCTTGCGAGAGATACGCGGCTGATTACTGCTGACTCAGCAGGTTTGTTCTATTCTCATCGCTATGGTTTTATTGGTTTGTTTCGTGTTATCTTATTGTTTGAAACAACTGCAAACTTAAATGTTGAGAACGGCTGGCCTACCTCTTACTTTTTGTAACATTCCCAGGTTTCATTTCCATTTGGGATGTGGAAGATTATTGCTTGAAGGGCAAAACATGTCAGCCGCCAGAACGTGAGTATTTAATGCTACTGCATGTAGTACTATTAAAACTTAAGTTCATGCTTAGTAATACTTTAATAATTTAATAATTTATTCACTTAATATAGCGCCTTTTAACATTAAAATGATCAAAAGCGCTTAGACTTACTCATGAGCATGACCATCTATCAAAACGCAATGAAGAAAACAAGTTAAGTGTAGTACAGGCTAAATACATATTTATTTGTTAGTTTGTCCACGCAAGTTTGCTTTCTTTTTTTTCACTTCAGGCTTGTTCTTTTGGCGTGCTCATGTTCAGAGCATTACAAGGTAAGATCAATTTTGTGCTGAACAGACCCTTCAGGGTTTTTATCAACTTTTGACAAGGACAAATTAGCGAAAATCCGTCAACTCCACTGGAAAGAGCGCCTTTAAATTAGTACAATTGCCAAGTGTGAATGTGATTTGTTGAAAACTAACGAAGATTCAGCTCCTCAAGTCACAGCATTTTACAGACGTTTGTATTGGGGGGGGGGGCACAAACTTGCCCCCACCATACAGACGTCTGTAAAATTTCAATCAATCAATCAATCAATCAACTTTATTTAAACACGGTAAATGGCTCAGCAAGCTGGTTTTCAGACATGCCGTGTGATAATTACAATTTATGAAAATTAAGACAAGTGATTAACTAACAATAGAATATAACAGCAAGAAATGAGTATTAAAGAAATAAGATAAAACTAACATAATAAAAAGTTATATCCTAAGATATGGCGAGTTTAAAGCTAGTAAGATCCCCCATCTCACGTGTTTCATTTTACAGTTGGTTCCAAGCCATTGCACCCTGATAAGAAAATGAACGCTTGAGAAAATTTGTTTTAGGTAGTGGTAGTTGGAGATCATTTCGCAGCTTTGCGGAGCTATATCGTCGCTCGCTTAAGACGTTTCACTTTCAAGTTTGGCAGTTTTACTGATTTTAAGGCGCTCTTTCCAGTGATACCGACGGGTTTTCCCTAACTGGTCCATGTCTAAAGTTGAAAAAACCGTGGAAGGATCCATAACAGTGGGGACAAATTACTAGATAAATCGTGATCTTTCGAAAATAAAGTACATGCAAGCATACCATCATCTTGCTTCCTTCGGCATTGAGCTTTTTCTGTGTTGTGAGTTAATTTATATTCAGTGGTGAATGTCTCTTTTTCCTTAACATAGAACTGTTGTATTACAGCCATTACAGAAAACTCATTTGCATTTTTCTAGGCTGCAATGCTGTCTATTTTTTATTAATCAAGCGCTTCGTGAGTCTGCCACTCCCGTTTTCACCCTTGCGGGAGGAGTTTCGTTTGACCGCTCGCTCTTGCTTGTCACTTTTTAGGATCGAACCGGTAGAGATATGGAATTGTGAAATCCTCCTGACCGCTTCGTTGGACTGTACTGTGAGACTGTGGACTATGGAGGGTCACTTTGTTGGTGAGTTATTCTCATGAACTAGATTTCTGTCCGTTAACTCTATAAATTTTCGGCGTTTTCGAGCTGTCGGCTCGGCTTTTATTTTATGGTCTGGGCGACATGCTGAAGTCTGCCCCATTCTCCCACGGTTTTGCCACGACTCTTCTCATGACCCTCTCGTCTTTGACGGGCCCTGGGGGGCACTGAATCCCAGCACTAGAAGAGCGGTGAAGTGGTAACAGCACTTGCCTCACACCTCCGATTTCGTTTTAGTCCAGAGATAATTTTTTGGTGGATGTTTTGTAAGTTTTCTTTTTTGCTTCAAGCCTCTCTTTCCCGTCAGGTACTCCAATTTCCCCTTCTGCTTGAAAGCGAATACTTCCAAATGATAATTTGATCCGAAACACGCGAACACTTGTCAAAAAACAAAAACGTCTCGCTCCGACTTCGCTGTGACCACTGAAAAAAAAGAACCGTGTTAAAGGGGCTGTGTCACGGTAGTCCAGTTCATTTTGTTTAATTCTGCCAATTACTCGCTCTCAATCGCTATGGAACATAAAGTAAGCAAAGAAATTACATGTAAATGACAAAATCAGAGATCTGAGACAAACAAATATGTCTCCTGAGCAGTGTTTTTAAAGTTGCAAGCAGCAGGGATCAACTTTGAAAAACTGTTAGGCTGAACAGTTGTCAAAAACCCTAATTTCAATCCGTTTCAATCTTCTTCAGTTTTGCCCATCCGTGGAATCTGTTGTTTCTGTCATGTTATTTAAAACTTCTTATAAAGTTTTGAGCGGTTATTTTTATGTTTCTCGTAATTCAACGGGCATTTTGTAATTTCCTAATTTGGCTGAACTTCGTGACACAGCTCCTTTAACGCCTAGGTGATTTCTCTCTCTTCTGTAGGAACTCTTGGTCAGCCCAAGATATGGGACATATCCAACCCAGTGTCATATCAACATCCTATGGCTCCTTATGACGTATTAGTTGATCCTCAGACTCTACCCAAGTTACCGAAGGACCAATCTGATGTAAAGAACAAAGACGATGACGCTAAAGATCCAGAAAAGGATATTGAGGTTTGGAGAGTACCTTTTTGGGGTTGACACAGGCCATTTGCTCGATGACTCTGTGAGCTTTATTCTTTTGCAGCAAAAGATTTGGGAGCTTAAGCAACGACGATGACCACGGCAGTGAAAACGTCGCTAACACAATTAACCTGCGAGCAAGCTCTCCTATTTGGGCGAGTGAAACGAGTCTCGCGAGAACGCGCGAACCAGCGGCGAAGCCGCGAGGGCGGAGGAAAGGCCCCTCGCTCGCGGGTTCTCGCGAGGCTCGCTTCGCTGGCCCAAATAGGACAGCTTGCTCGCAGGCTATAACACAGTGCATTTTCGTCCCTTCAAACTTTATCGCGTCTGTTTGGACTCGCTCAATTTGTCAAATGCAGGCGCCGTTTCCTGGAGTTGTACTCTTAAGGACTTTATCCAGTTTCAAAACGAAAAAGGAAAATCCGTCTCAAATTTGTCTTCGTATGTTCACGCCCTCGCATTAGGACGGTTCACGTCGTAGTCTTGCAGTGGACGCCAAAGAAATGTTCTAAAAAGCTTGATGCATGACGTGCAGAGTGCAGACCTGTTCTCATAAAAACAATTGTTTTTTGACTTCGTCGTAGCCTGTTCCAGGCGTTCAGATAATAGAGTGCGTGCGAAAAATTAACGAGGAAATAAACCTAGGGGAGACTAGGGAGGGAAAATGGGAGGACTCCCTCGCTCTCGCCCCAGTCTTCCCTCCTTTTTTTCCCCGTCGTTTTTCCCGCTTACGATGTAACTCACTCTACCATCTGAATATCGCGGTCTACTATTTGTACTCCTGGAACAGGCTATCATCATCGTCGTGGTTGTTTAAGCTCCCTGTTGTCCCCGAGCGAGCAGCTGTGTCGATGAGTCTTTTCCAGTCGTTATTTTGTTTGTCTGTTTATTTATTTATTTATTTATCACTCCTTGCAGGTGGACTCACAACATGTGCCATATTTCTCAAGCTTTTCAGGAAAAGAATCTCTTGTGTGAGTGTACTGATGATTTGTTCACTGTACTCTATTTTCGATAAAATTTTTCTTGTAAGATAAAACCACACGGTTTGCTTGGGTGGTGAACCTCAATGCATCAGCATGCTGATATGGCCGGAGACTTAACTAAATGCGTTTTGGTTTTGTGTCTTCGACGATTGCATATTTAGTGTAAAAGTATTTGAATTTCAGGATTGATGAACACGACATAGCTGCGGAGTTAAAGAAGAAACCCTGGAGAGAAAGCTGTGGAAAAAGGTGAGACCGCCCAGCCAGCCAAGCTTTCCATTTTCTCTCCTCTCTCCTGGGGTCTCAGTTTTAAGAAGCCATTCTGTCAAGAAAAAGTTACTTACGAGATCAACCTCGTTCCCAGGATTCTCTCCTACCCGTCCCCGCGTCCCCCTCTCTCGCTCCCCAGGACGGGTAGGAGAGGACCCTGAAAACGAGGTTGCTTACAAGATGTTTTACGAAGCCTTGGAGGGGGCCTGTATTGTAAAGAAATACACCCAAGACGTCACCTCTTATGGTTCTGAAGGATTGTAGGAAGGCATAAAAGAAACTATCGTCTTTGTTTTTGGAGGCCCTTACATCTGCGTACACAGTATTATTGTTCTTGAAAATTTCCCTAACTGAGGCTATGATCACACTGTACCAGACAGCTTTTGCGCCTGCGCGACACTATGCCGGATAGGGCTTCTGTTGCCAAACATAAGAACGGTGATTTCGGCGCGATTTCTAGAGGGACTGTAAGATCCAACGACGCGAGGGCAACAAGAACGTCAACAAAAAGTAGGTTTAGTAGGCAAAACAATAGCTTTGCACGTGCTTCACGCTTTTTTGTACATTGCACGACTACGACTTGAAAATACCTAATTTAGCGCGTTTTATGGAGAACGTAAACAAGCAACAACGAAATTTTATTTCTCTTTCTGAATTTGGATATGGTTCCTAAGAATTCAGCTGCAGGAGGGTTCGCTTCCATCTGACAAAAAAGTGGGTGGGAATAATCGCGATAAAGACTGAGAGAACGCAAATTCACATATCAAGCGACATTCTCGTTGCCGTCGCCTCGTTGGATCTTAAAGACATAAGTCCCTTATAACGGGGCGAAGCTGCGCCGCGCCGATCACGAAAGTTTAGAGTTCACATATTGGATAGGTGTTCACACTAAGCCGGATACGTTTTCGTGGCAGCACGAAAAGCGGTGCGGTATAGTCTGATCATAGCCTAAATGTCGTGGTGTCCCTTGAGAGTTCTTGGTAATATCTTGCTGTTTTTGTAAATGTTGATGCCACAATAAATTTATTCTATTAATTTTTTTCTTACAGATTGCGTCATGAAAGACTGAAGAAAACTCCCAAAGATGTCGGCGGACCAAACGCTTATCAAACACTAACGTGCTTCGAGCTGGAAGACACACCTCCTCTCCCCAATCCTCCTTCCTCCTCGTCTATTGATGATCCGTTCGATATCAGAATATAGGCAGTTAATTTTTCAAAGTGTGAGAGCGGCGGTACCAAATAGCCTCCTTCTCCTAATATATTGTATAGTCACTGCCAAAGCACCAATTAATTACGTCTTTGAAATTGCTTTGGAAAATTTGTAAGATATTTAAAATGGCTGTGTCACGCTTCTGCTTGCATATGCTATCTTGTTTAAAAAGCTTAAACCATTTTCCCATAAATTGAATTCGAAAAATAATGGTCCATTTTTGTCATTTAAGACTATTTTTAGGCATTGAAGTCATGACTTTAGTACAGAATTGAGCTAAAAACAGCCATATCCTCGTGACTTAGCCCCCTTTAAAACTGCAGTAGAATCTCGATTTTTCCATTCCGTGGTTCTTGTATCTGCCGATTTTGAAATCAAGCCAGACCTGACTTGCCTTTGCCAATCAAACACCCAGTAACTGTTTTTCCTGTCTTGGTAGAACTAATGTTCTTTTTCCCAGGAGTAAACACTGAAGGCTGCCGCAAGAAGCTGTTATGTGAAATTTAAATATCTTGTCTCGTGCTTAGAAGTGTTTTTCTTTTTAATATTCTTATGATTATTCAATTGTTCAGCCTCGTTCCAAAGAACTGTGATCCTTCTTGCAAGATTCTCAGTATTAATCCTCTTCTGTTTTGCTACTACCTCTGACCATCCTTCCATCATCTTTAAAATTTAACTTTTAAAAGAAAATATTATTATTATTATTATTATTATTTATTATTATCTATCATTATCACGGCATTATTATTATTATAGCTCAGCTTAAAATGCATTACCAGGGTTTCAACTTTGTATTTTGTATTTGTCTCAGAAATTTCACCTGTCAAGGTGCTTCACCTCAACTGTGCTTAGGTTTGTCGACGAGGAAAACGTCAAAATATTTCTAGATTTATGACACAATTTTCAAACTTCGCGTGTATTTTTCGTGAAGTGAAACTAATGTTGAAAGGGCTTCTTTGCTCTAGTTAATGAAAGGGTGAAAATAATTAAATTTAGTTCACTTAATTTATTATTACTTTAAAACTGATTGGACTCGCGTACAAATTATTTTACACAAAATGGTACGAATTTCTTGAGTTCTTTTAAAATATATATTTTAATTGGGTGAGTCTGACGTATTTTTAGCAAAGGACGTAGATTATTTTATGCGTTTTGATGTTAAACGTAGCGGGGCATGTTGTACAATACATGTAAATAAATAAGAGTGTGAAGATATAACGGACTCTGTTCGGTTTAAATATTGTCAAAAGCACAATTTAAGTGTGAATAAATGTTTTTGCAGGAACGATCGTTGTATTGCAGTGTCAAGCTTGGGTATTTCAAGGTGCTATATAACATGGTACAAATGTTAGAAAAGCTGTACCTTCTTAGCTCATTTTGTTTTTCACTCCAACACACATTGATCTTTACAGAAATCCTCCCTCCTCCCCTCCCATTCCCTCCATAAAAACATGTCCTATACCCCCTGGATAGTAGAGTTATCAATAGCATTACATTCCCGAACTCATTTTTACATTACGCGCTAAAGCTCACGGTTTTCTGTGCAAAAAGGGAGGAGAAAGTAAAGCAGAGAGGAGCTCTGGGGGAAGGGGGGAAAAATTCGCGGGGAGACGGCAACGGAAAAAAGGAAGATTGGGGGCATTCCCTGGCCCCAGTTCCCCTCGAAGGAGGCTTTTGTACAGGCCAAAGAAAGGTCTTCTTCTTCATCTTACCCGTCCTCTTCCTTTTAATCTCCCCTCCCCTAACCCCTCAGAAGAAAGTTTGTAATTTCCCTGCTCAATGCATATGTCCGTTCCCTGCTTGTCTGTCGTCTGTGGTTTCGGTCTTCATTTAGAAATATTTAATACCTGCCTATTTCTGACGGGGATTGTTTTGAGGCATTTGAAATCTCAATTCAACTGAGTACTAAGTTCACTCAGAAGATAGCCTGCGTAGCAGGCGCCGATTTTTTAGTATTGTTTTTCACTCTGCCAGTTGTGTACACTTTAGCCTACGTTGCAGCCTGCCCACGCACTCGTCTAAACCTTTAATATAGTCTCTCTCTATACAGAAGGTTTAGAGCATTTGCGACGCAGGCAACGTACACATCAGTAGTCTCAATACTTTGGGTTTTGGTCCTTATGTTAATAAAACTTAAATTTTATTTGAGGGATCCAATTACAAGGAGCCACATCCCCAGACAAATGAGTTTTATCCTGATTTTTTTATTTATATTTTTGTGGGCTCTGTCTGATAAAGGCCAATATTAAATAAAATGTCATAGACAGATCTATAACACGATATTAAGGTTCGGCATGACATGGCAAGAGGGCTAAAACAGTTGCCCAGTATAAAGCCTTGCTAGGAAGAGAGTGGGGACTGGGGACTGCGCTGTGTCGCTTGTTTGCACTTGGTGACCGAAACTGTGTTTTCTGTCAGTTATCGGAATGTACCCTGGCAGGGCCCCAAGTATACAGAACCGTCTAAGAGTGAAACACGATATTCACTGTCGCCAATTGCAAAAATGCACGCCTTTAAGCTGTTTTATTCACATTATCGTAATGGCACAGATTCTTTTAGGTATTATTGTAGGTATTATTATTATTATCATTATCGTTCTCGTTCTCGTTATCATTGTCATTGTCATTATTATTATCATTATTATTATTATTATTATTATTATTATTATTTTGAATTATTTTTAGATAGTTTTATTTTTTTATTAACTTTTTGATGCTTTTTATAATTGTTAATAGTAGTTTTTAGATAGTCATTTTATGACAATTCTCATTCGTACACAAGAAGAATGTACATAGGGTATATATTTTAATATTAATATTCTTGAATTCTGTAAATAGTCTATTTTTTTTAATCTATGAATAAAGTTATTTTTGTATAATAAAAAAAAAATTATTATTATTATTATTATTATTATTCAGGTTGGTCGTCTCTTCAGTGCTAATTGCGTTGTGAACGTTGTTCAGGATTACAGAATCGCAAAACCAGCCAGATCACACACGAGTCACTTTATCTTTTTTCTTTTCTTCACAGTAAATCAAGATAATAATTTTACTGACTTCTCGCGCTCTACGTGAGCTCCTTCCGTAACACGCGTGACACCAAAAGTCACGCGTGTATAGTCGTGACCTTGAACGCGAGTACACTCTCCTAATTTGGGCATAAGTTCCGCTGAAAGTTTTTGTTGCGTCTGCCGCAGGCACTTCTTGTCGTGGCGAAAAACTCAATCGTTTGTCAGTTGCGAACCACACATACTTCTCATACGTTCTTCAAGGCAAGAGAGCGCAAATCACATGGAAATCTGCTTATCGAGAACACGGTGAAGTCTGTCTTCTCACGTGCGGTTGAGTTTCGGCGCCAAGGGAGGTGAAATGAACTTTCGAAATTGATGCTGTATATATTGGACGAACGCAGTCACGTCTTTAATCTTCTAATTCGTTCTCGATTTCCCTAATAGCAGTCTTGGCTATTTGGTCCTATGGTTCAGTGACAAGTCATTGATCAAATCGCGGAGAGTTTTCTTTTATCAATCCTTCGTTTAATTTTGGAACCGTTTTAATGTTTGGTGCGTCTTGCGTTAGGGCTCGCTACCGATTTCACCATTGATTTCACATGTTGGATTGAATTGGGAATGAGCATTGGGCGGTGAGACACAAGACTTCCAAGTGATTAAAACAAGATGTACTCGTTCAACGCCGAAATGAATCATTCGCCAAATTTAAGCCCTGCTTCGAGCGAATCATCCATAGGCTCGCCTTCATCGACTGCGAGTCCATCTCGCTCAGTCAGCGTTGGTGAAAGACCGATGACCATCGCCGAACTGCAACAAGAAAATGCTCGTTTGAGGAAAGAAGTCGAAGCAAAAGAAACGAAACTGAACTCAAGCATGAGAAGTATCAAAATGTTTTGGAGCCCAGAACTTAAAAAAGAAAGAGCAGCGAGAAAAGCCGAAGAGGAGAAATGTGCGAGATTAAGGGAGCAGTTTAAAGATTCACAGGTAAAATTATACATTAGGTGTGTTTAATAAGCGGCTTATGTTGTGGTATACCCGTTTTACTCGATCTATAAATTATATACGATAAAATAGGAAGGTGCAATTAACGGACTCTGCGTTCGCCTTTTCATGTCATACGGAAGTCGTGATCGATCCGTGAAATGAATAATTTTAAATACTAACTTCACATATGATTAAGCGTCCTCATTTATCATCGCTTGTTTTTTTAGTTATATTGCGTCTCAAAGTTGATTGATTAAATTTAGTGGTACTCATTTTCATGCTCAGTAAATAATGCGGACAACATCATGAAAAAAAGTGCCGAAATGACTTGAGATTACCTCACAGTTCGGTTTGAAAGAAAACAATGCAAAGTTGTTGTTTCTATATCTTTAGACAGCTGTGAGTATGAAACCATGTCTTTTTCTTTTGTCCAAGTCCGCGTAATGATATTGTCTTGAAACAATGGGGGCTTTAAAATGTCACTTGTAGTAAATTTTCGTAGATGTCTCTCAGTTATTGTCTACATTACGTTGGAGGTTTGAAAATTATGGGATTGACCATAGTCTTGAAGAGGTTCTTTAAAATATTTAGAGCTTTGTTGTTTTGCCGCGCAATATCGTGCGAAGCTCATTTTGACAAAAAAAAAATAATAATAATAACAGTGATTATAAAAAAACACCATTATTGTATTTCATTATTAAAAGGATACCATTCATCTAAGGGACAGTAAGTAACGTTTCTGTATTTGTGGCTTTAATCAGTGCCTAAGCAGCAGTTTTCAGCAGATGGATTTAATTGTGTGAAACAAAAATGTTAAATTCCCCTTTTGTAAAGACATAATTTATGTTTCTATACATTTTATGGGATTCTCTGTAGCAATTTTACTTGTATTAATTTATTAATATTATTTTAGTAGCCACATACTCCTGGTCAGGAACAACAAGGGTAACGAAAGAAACACAAATTTTGATTTGATCCAGTCGCAAAGCTGGTAATTGAGTTTTTTGTTTCTTGAATTTTAATCGATTGCCCATCCCAAGAAAGTTTGCACGTGCATGTGAAAGTGGTTTTGGAATTAGTGTGACACATAAACAAAGATTTGATTTGAACATTATTTTTTTATACCTTTTGTGTGGAACTGAGTTTTTGTAATTTGACTCAATTATTCTCTGCCTTTTTTTTAGGTAAAGATGTTGGCTTAATAATTATTTCATAATACGTGCAATTTAAATTGGCCATTTCCCTGAACAGGCAAAATATAAGCAAGGCTATATGCTCTAATAACAGTTCTAGGGAACCCAATGCTCTGAACCGGACAAATCCAGGGTGGGGCCAACCAGGATTGGGGGGAGGGGGGGTGGGTATGCTGTCACTTTGTTGGTCATTTTTTCTAAGGCTGGCTGTTGACTGGTAGGTTAGTAAAAAGTGTCACTGTGTCATTTAGCTAGGACAAAGACGTTGCTGTTGGTTCGGCATAAAATTTTGGGATACTTAATTTGGAATTTACGGCAGATATAGAGTCTGGAAAGAAGTTTCATATTTAATCTTTCTCCTTCAAGGGGCCACTCTTAGATACATTAGAATGTAACAAGGATTGTTAGTGTATTGGTATTTTCCCAACTGTGAAAAGATTCTACCCACCACAAAGTAATTTTACCTACTACTATGAGTAAAAAAACTGTACCAAACATGATAAGTGCTGTCATGATGTTGCGTTACATGATGCTGGTTTAGGGTGTCACACTCCATAAACTGTGTTTTACAAAATTATTGAGCATACAACTTTCTGTATTTTTTTTTATAACTTTTAATGTTCTTTGTTTTGATACAACTATACATGTGAAAAGTCAGGAGAAATTAGTGGTATTTTAAATTCCTATTTGAATTGAGTAGGTGTTAACTGAATTTAATTTTCATGTTTTTATTGACTTAACACAGTTAAATGGCTTTTATTTATCAAGAACTTGTGTAGTGTCCTGCTTACATGATTGTACATGCCAGAAAAGGTTACTGATCATGCATTTCTCGTAATAATAACATGCAGTCACTTTCCCTCTCCTTTAAGCAAAGAAATGAAACTGTAAGGGAACTTCAAGAACAGTTGCGGAGACATAAAGATGCAAGTGATCATATTTCTTCTGGCCATCTATCACCAGCATCTTCAACCATTTCTGTCCATTCTCAGGATGGTCTTCAACGTGAGCTTGATTCTTTAAGAAGTGAGAAAGATCGGCAAGAGAATGAAGCGTTCATACTTCAAAGATCTCTTGAAGAATTAAGCTCTAGGCTGGAAGTACAGCAGCAAAGTATTCAAGCTAAGGATGAAACTATTGCACAGCTTATGGGGATGATTCAGAATAGCAAAGGAGTTGAATCAAAGCAGCTTGAACTGCACAAAGAACAGCATAGTACTGATAAAAAGAAGCTCACTGAGGCACTCAATCAGCTTGCAAAATTGAGGGAAGTTATCGATGAACGTGACAAAACAATAGCATCATTAAAAGAGGTAGAATGTTCTTTATTTTACGAGTCATTATTGAATTAATAATACTAATAGCAATCTTTATTGAGGATACCAACATCACAGGTTAGTGGTTTACAGAAGGGTCCTAAAAAAAACTGTGGGCAAAGACTAAATTTTAGTAAAATATCAACAAGAATGTAAAAAATGAAAATAATAAAAAAGGAAATAAAAAATTTAGATAAACAGAATTTGAAGATAAATAAGTTAATGTAAAATAACATAATCTTTAAGAATCATAATATGGCTTTATACAGGCCACATTTAAAAGCAGTCAGTGACTCTGCTTCCCTGAAGGAAGTGTCTAAACTGTCCCAGAAATTAGAACTAAAATTAACTGATGACCAGTGGCCCCAGCGTCATTTGGCTCTGGATTTGTGAATGTCATTTCTTTCCATGTATAGTAACCATGAAAGTCACAGGGTTTTCATTAAGATTTCTAGTAGCAGAAGAAAGGTGTAACGTTAAGGGAGAATATTTTGAAAGAGGCTCCTCATCTGAGTAAAAAATAGTCATAGGCTATCGAATCGAACATCATCCGGAGAATTTTTCATCGTAGACAAGGAATTCTCCGATCTCTGATGCCTAATGAACACCCTGAAATCAACATTGAATGAAACTGGGATTGAGCAGCAAAAGTGATTGAATTTGCATCTTTCTGCGGTCAAACCTACTTGTAATGTGATATTATTACAACCGTTGAGCCTCAAAATCCATATACAATTTCTCCAGACTGATCTCCATATATTTCCTCGATTGTTGTTTTACTGGTAGCAATGGCTCTTTAGTCTACTTTTCTTCCTCTTGTATTTAGGAAAATGGCCATTTAAGAATCAACAATGTCAGCGACGAACTGAAGCAGTCTGCAAATCTTTTGTCTAAGGTAAACCCATTAATTTACTTGTAATGGGGAAATTGCCAAAGCTGAATATTACTACCGCACCTCACATTCCCCACCCTCAAAAGCCTCTCTTCTCCTGCCATGTCACTTGGCTGGACATTGTATGTTGATGAAGCAGTTTCTTGGATGCCAATAAATTTATTGTTGACAGTACTTCAGGGTTGAAAACATAGTTTTTGGAGCACTTGCTGTCTGGGCGATCGAGTGACCTTCAGATTTCACTCAGATTTGTTAAAAATGGCAACCGGAGAAGACAGCCAACATTTGGCGATGCTACCGGCGGTTTCCATGCCAAATGACATCTGAGAAACGAGCACAGAAATTCCATGCTGATGACGCTTCACTACTCAGATTTGATAGTGCTTCTGATTAGTTGTGCCACGTGTGAAAATTGATTCAACCAATCAGAAGAACTACCCAGATAATCAGGAAAAGAAAAGATGGGCTCCAAATATTCTCTCATGTGAATGTGTATTAGCCTCTCAAACCTTTTACTGAAAACATGAAAGACCATCTCTCGTCTGCGGTTTCTTTTGTCCAAAACACTGCCTGCTGGTAGAGTGATGTGACATGGCCGCACTTCCAAGTGTTAGTTACCTGTGAACTGCTAATGATGCTATTAACAAGGTCACTGAAAGGTTTTGCTATGGATGATGAACGCACCTTTTAAGGAGAATATTAAGCCCAACCAAGCCAATTGATGTGAGTTAAAACTGCTCTCGGAGGAATAAAATCACATGGGCTTTGTTGGGCTTAATATTCTCCAGCACTGCCTTCACAATTTATTATGGTGTCGAATTGGCTTAAAAGTGAACGTCCTTGTCCCCACAATCGTGTCTAATGGGTACATGTGATTGTTCCTTGAATGTGGTATGCTTGTTTAAGATCAGGCCCCTTGTGATATTACCAAAGGAACCAATATTCATTAAACGTTTGTGCTACATTATTTTTATCCGTAATAACTCCTAAATGTTACTCCTTGAGAGTAATTACTTCATCCTGCGTGCATAAAAGGCCGGTGCAATGAACTCCAGAAATCTCTTGGGCTTCCTGCATGCAAGCTGCACAGCCTTTGGAAGTATTCTGTGATGCATGGATTTGCGGCACATGCAATCTATGACAGGGCTCCTAATTCTCCTATATGCTTCCCAGCTGACAGCTGCCTTTGTTTTGTAGTATTTCATTTCAATAACATTGCAAATGAGTTTTACTTATAAATCAGGTTTCTTGGTTTGTTTATATTTTTTATTTTATTTTATTTGTTGTTTGTTTCTTTTTTCTTGTTAATTTTTTGCCTGTGCTCTACTATCTGAATGCCTGGAACATGCTATTGTTAGCTCTAAAGGACTTCTTGAAATATCTTTTTCATTAGGATAGCCATATTGTTGAGCTGGAGGCACAGATAAAACAGCTTGAAAGAGAGGTTTGTAAACATAAAAAATGCAAAATAATCTTCTTCCCTGTATTTGCAATACTTCCAGAAATAATGTAAGTAAGTAAATATTTTGGTCTTGAAGAGGAATGTTCCTTACATTTTTGTGTTCTCTTGGCTGAACTTACAAAATTGTGGTACTTATGGGATTTTTGTTGCTTTATTTAGCAGTTAATGAATGAGGCTGAGTAGGATATGAAGAATTAATCAGATCAGATCGAGGAGGGTGTTATCGGCCGAGGTGGATAACACCCTCCGAGATCTGCTTAATTCTTCATATCCTACGAAAGTTGAATTCATTAATTGCTTTATTATTCAATCAAAGTAATTCCTAGTTTAAAAACATAGCTAAAACATGCTTACCTGCATTGATGGTAAGTTTATCTTCGATAGTGTACGTTTAGGTTTGTCCAGCTCCGTAAATATTCTCCAAATAGCAGATGTCACCTTCCGAGTTGTCTTCTTCCCGTTTTTGCTATGTTTTTAGCTATTATTTTGCCTAGTTTCAGCTGTAGTTATCTCACTTTTGAAATGATTGTAGTGTCCGCCATTTTTGTTTTCACAACCAAAGCAACTCAACCTCGTCCCCAGTTCTTCTCGGTAACAGTGCCTTAACCTGTAGTGGGCTGCATTTTTGACGTCATTTCCTCGATAAACACAAAATTCTTCCAAATTTGGTCATCAGTAACTGGTTATGGTGAATCATGCGTCTACTTTTAGCCAATCAGAATTAGGGAAATATTTTGAATGAATAATAATTCCTTTTAACATGTGTGTGCCTGTTTCTAGAACAAGCAGCACTCAGTGTATTTGTTTGCACAAATTCAGCTTTTTATTTCAAGTGCTTCAATTCTCATAATGTCAAGGAAAGAGTGAACATTCTTACAGTATTTCACGTGAAAAAGTATGACATCACAAAAATTGTGTACGTTTTTTTTTGGCAAGATTTCTTCTAATTTTCAAGAACTCGGTACAAATATGAATAATTTTTCACATTTTTTTGTTATCTTGCTATATGTTCTTTTTATTCTTAACTTTTTTGACATAACATGCAATATTAGGCATTACATCACCTGAAAACAATATTTCACTCTCCACTCTTGCAACAAAGGCCAAAAACATTAACTTTTTCTTAACCAAGTGTGTGATTTTAATAATCCTTTTTTTTGAGGGATTGTTGTATTGGTAAGTTGAACAATGAGTAGACGAGTGATATTTTTTCACAAACTAGTACAACTGGATGATGCAGTTGTGATGGTGGGAATATTATTTTTGTATGCTTGGAAAGTATGGTTAAGTCAGTGAAAAGCACGCTTTTGGCATCTGCACATCTGTCAGATGGATATTTGTGGTTGTTGCTTGCGCAGGGCTATCATTAAGGTTCTAGAAAGGTGGCCTTTTAGGTAAAGTAACTGGTCATAAATTGAACAAGTCTTCCGGAACGATTTTTCTGTTTCACTCATTTTCAAACTGACATTAGCTGGCTGGTTTTGCTGTCATAGTCAGTTATAAAATCCAGTGGTCAGCCACGGCTGTTCTCATGACGTCCCTGTTGAGGAAAGAGGCAAAAAATGTGAGGCAATTGAATGTATTCTTGGCCAGATAAAAAATATTCCGTATTTATACGTGTTTTATGGCAAACAATGAATGGTTACTGGTCCTTTCGATTTTAAAGTCGTTTCGATACAAGTCGTTCGATACAAATTTATTTAGTCGAGTTGTAAATAGTTTCACGTACTTGTCTTTAACAAGGAAGAATATTCACCCATAATGTTTTTCTTGTTCACGCTCAAACTATACTTGAAGTAATCGAAATTTTAGTGCAGTTTCACTACTTGAGTTCGTATCGAAACAACTTGTATCGAAACGACTTGTTACCCAATGAATACAAAAAAAAACAGAGATTGAAAGTTACTTTGTTCAGTAAAACCATTTTGCCAATATTTTCATCCTGGTTTCAATATCATCAGTAATAAATGCGCTCATTTTTCTGTCAGATTGACAGTCTTAAAAAAGCTGCATCGGATGACAACAAGAAACGACAAGAGGAGAAGAGACAAACAGAGGTCTTTGAGAGTCACTCAAAATTCATGAAGTCCAAGGTAAGTGGGTACTTAGCTTTGTAAGCTTTAAGATGTAGTGTGTTACATTTCCATGGTACAATATCATATGAATGAAAATAAGAAAAAAACATAGCGCTCTGATATTATCCTAATTACAAGTTTGGGTATAAGTGCATAAAGTAGATCTGACTGTTCATTGACTGTTAGTTTTGTTCTCAACAAGAATGTATGTGCAACATGCGTCAGTTTCTCGACAACTTGCATACCCAACTTATTTACATAACACTTCAGCCATGACAGTGTACCTACAGTCGTTTCGCCAACGTCTTGTTCGCTATTAACGCTTTCAGTCGTTTCGCCAACGTGTTGGGTCAGTTCTTAACTTCTTTCGCCTTATATACTTAGGCTTAAAAGAACGACGTAAAATGTATATACACATGTGTATCGAACGTTTCCGTGTCATGACAATAAAAAGAACGAGTTATATACATGTACAGCGCTCGTTTCGTTTCGTACGCGAAACGACTTAAGACGTGAGCGAACGGAAAGTTAGCGTAACGACACTTAAGTGAAGCGACTGGTCACCCCAACACTCACGTTTTCAGCACATCCACTCATACTTGTGGACTAATTTGTCATGCCTGGCATAAGAATTTCAGCTAGAAAAAAAAGTTAAAATGAATTATATTGTACTCTCCCTGAAATCTCTGATTTTTGTAGTCTGTTTCGGGCGTAATTATCTTTTATGTGAACTTCAGAAATTTTCGTACGTTTTTGGATATAATCGGTTCCTCATTGAAAATCATGGCACTCTCAACCAAAAATATCTCATCAGTCTTTGACGCAAGATAAGAGGAAGCATGAGCAACTATCAACGGCAGCGAAAACATTACAGATACAATAATTTTTTGGTCAATTTCCAAATTCCAACTCGATCAATATGTCAAAATGTCTGGAGTTGAATTCTTAGGGACCGTATCCAAGTTTAGAAAAAGAAAGAAAAATTTGTTGCGGTGTGTTAACATCCTCGGTAAATTGTTGCTCTATAGAAGTTCACACCGTAGTCGTACATTGATGGAAGTTTTTGTAATGTATCATAGTCATAACCACACTGCACCAGACTATAAGCTCGGTTTTTCGAGCCTGTTACTGAATATTCCATTTGTTTAGTGTTGCACTTAGATTAAACAGCGTTTTTGTTTTAAATTTTTCTTGCTGAACGTGTTAATCTAACTGTGTATAATTCCATGTCTTGTTTCAGGTTGAATCACTTAAAGTAGATCTTGGGAAGAAAGCAGCTGCGTTAACAGCGGCCGAAACCAAACTTGAGACACTGAAAGCACATCAGTCAAACCAACAGGAACATATTGCTGTCCTTCAAACATCTGTATCGACTAAAGAACACCACATCAAGAACTTACAGGGCGAGGTGAGAAGCTTAAAGAGGTGTTAAGTTTGTTCATTTCCAATTTTGTTTGTTTTGCAAAAAATCTGTCAACAGGAAGCGATTTCTAGTGCGAACTATTTTTTTCACCTACCAAATTTTTCTCAAATGTCACCAAATTTCAAAGATGTAGTCGAGAACGTATGGAGGCCTACAATTTTTTGTCAAGCGCCGGAAAAAATCCTTTGTTCGTCGACAGCTACCCTTCGTGAACGTGACCATCTGTAGGTTTTTTAGGGTGCCTTAAGCGTGAAAAAAGGTGATGAAAACGAAAACTTTTAACTACAAATTTTCAATTTTCTTGCAAACGCCAAATTCTATTTTTTTTGCTTATAGTGCAAACAGACTACTGCGGTTTTGTTGATAGAATCACAGCCTGCTGATAGTAATAAAAGCGATGTGCAAGCATTGTGAATCATACCTCCCTACAGATTGACAGTTGAGATAACTTGAAAAATGTTGGGCTGCTTTTTTTATTTTCAGTTTACCTGAATGCAATCCACTTAAATTTCGATTTGCGCATGCGTGCCCTGTTTTGTGATAGTTAGTAGGTCAATGTAAGTAGTGGAATTGCCCTAGATTGTGCGATTTTGTCCCCAAGATAATGTTCAAACAGTCAGTGATTGCATTGCCATTTTTTCGTAAGATCATCAAGATCGAACGTTTTCCGCTACAGGCGGCCATGTTGGTTTTCACATGTACCCTTCCCCTCCCTCCTCCAAGTGTTGACACTCGTCCAAGATGGCCGCCCGTAAACGCAAGAGCTTGATCTCGACTCTCATTTTTGTTACAGCTGGAGTCGTTGCGTTCCCGGCTTGATGACAGAGAGGAACAGTTAAAACAGAAAGAGAAAAAATTGATCTCTGTCTCATCAGAACATTCGGAGAATTCTTATGCCGTGGAGAATCTACAGAGCGTACTCAATACCAAGGAAAGACAGGTCACAAGTCTTAAGAAAAAGGTTTGTTCAATGTACAGTGTGTTCTTCAAGTTCTTTCACAAAATGTGTAAAAGTGAGTTATTTCTTTTTATTTTCACTCAGCGATAGACAGGGTTCGTAGGCATGTTAAAAACCTTTGAATATTTAATGTACTTTTTTGAGGCCTTGAAAGTCCTTGAATTTTGACTGAGGAGCATTTTCGAACTTTGACAAATACTAGTTTAAAGCCAACAAAATAACGTTGAGGAAATGAAAGTCAGGTATGGACAGTCTGTGATGCAAAAGGCTGAGGTGTAGAGTCATGGCTAGTGCCATTGCATCATTTTTTATGCATGCACATTGTAGACGATACTGATTTTGCATGACGAGTTATTTTCATAATTTATTTGGAACCTGTGTCGAAAGTAATTTATTAGGTCCTTGAAATTAAAACTGTGGTCCTTGAACGTCCTTGAAAAGTCCTTGAATTTTACGTCTGAAGACTGAAGTGTAAGAACCCTGTATAGATAGTGTTTGTCACTCAAGTTTGAGTGCTTGATTTACTTTCTCACGATGTCTTACTGAACTGTAGATAGGATGCGTGCGTGCATCATATTATTAATGCCAATTGTGCGTCCTTAATCGCCATGGAACTTAAGAAATAGGCCATTTTACAGTTGTGTCCTTAATCGCCATGGAACTTTGAATAGAAATAGGCCATTTTACACCTGTTTTGTCACAAACCTTCCTGATTTTCAACAAATCACCGTTTTCATCTTGCTTCAATTTGAAATGATCATTGACACTGAAAACAAGAAGGTTTAAAATGGCCAAGGTCACCGCCATGACGAAATTAAAGGCTTCGGGCACTGTCAAACAAATATATCTCCAGTTACTTGTAGTATATCAGACGTTAGAAACAACAAAATGAACTTTGAAAAACTGTTAGGCTAACGAGTTTTCAAAGACCACAGTTGTAATCCGTTTCAATCTTCTTCAAATTTGTCCATCCGTTCCTCCTTTTACATTTGTTGTGGTATTTATTTCTTCTTTTTATCTTCTGAGCAGTTATTTTTATGTTTTACCAAGTTTGGTGATGGTTCCTACGGTTCGAATTTCGAGAAATTTCGTGACGCAGCTCCTTTAAGGGCTGAGAGAACTCTAATCCCACCGAGCCTCATTCTGCTAGTTGTAATTGTTCTTTTTTAGTGCGAGTCGCTTGAGAGGGATCTACTTGAGAAAGACTCGTCAATTTCATCCATGAAGACTAATCTGGCATCGCTCAAAGCCGAACATGCCGGCTCATCCAGTACTATATCCCATCTGGAGGCAACAATACGCGACAAGGATAAACATATAGAGATTCTTCAGGGCCAACGGCAGCGAAGCGGTGAAGAGACTGATGAGGAACTTGGCCGGGTAAAACGAGCTCATGAGAAGCTTGAAGGGCGACTGGCATCTCTCAGAGAACAGCTTTCGGACAAAGAGGTAAAAGAGTATATGTTGTATCTGTACGTGGTGTTGTTGAGGAAGCACAGTGATTGTGTTTCGACCGCACCCGGGGCGGGGGTACAACCTTATATGGCCTACACTGGGATGTGCCGCTAGACATGGTATGATTTTCGTGCCCTTTATCCGAAACAGGGCATATAATTTTGCGCAAGTCTGTCCTAAACGGTGTACATTTCCTTTGTCCTGAACAGGGTAATAAAATTGAGGCTTTTGTCCTAAACAGGGTCAGGGTTTCAAACCCTCAGCGTTAACCTCTACCCAAATATTGGTCGAGTACCCCTCTCCCCACCGGGGGACCGGACCTGACCGCGTGTCTTTGCGTTCTGTTCACGCAGTGGGGCTCCGGCGAAATACGTTTAAGCTCAGGATAACCCTACAACTGATCTCATGGTTGCCACAGGTCAGGAAAAAGTCAGGGAATTTCACTTCTAGTCAGGGAAAATTTAAATATTGGAAAGAAGTCAGGGAAAAGTTAAATTTTAAGAGTGCATATACTCCAGTTAATTTTTGTACCCTAACATGATTTCCTTTGTTTTCTAGGAGGACATTGCTAGTTTAGAGAAACAGGTTTCATCACTTAAATCGTCTTTACAAGACAGAACCGCGAAATTGACGACTTCTCAAGAAACTGTGAAGCGGCTTGAGCAGCAACTAGAAGAGGTTTGTGTTACATTATTGTTTTGTAGAGACACGAGTGAAGTAAATTCAAAATCTGCTTGGCAAGCGTAAGTAAAACAAAAAAGAGGCTTTGTTTGAATGGTTTCAGTTGTCCAGTGAGACTCAAAAGTTAAAACTGCGCGCAAAACAAATAGTACTATGTGAAAGTATTGCTGAAGAGGTTTCATTTGAATGGTCACATCATAGGGTTTCATCCACAGACTCAAAAGTTAGAACTACATACAAAACAAACAGCACCATGTGAAAGTACTGTTGAAGAGGTTTCATTTGAATGGTCACATCACAGAGTTTCATCCACAGAATCAAAAGTTAGAACCACTGTTGAAGAGGTTTCTTTGAATGGTCACACCGTAGGATTTCATCCATAGGCTCTATAGTTTGAACTGCGCGCAAGACGAATAGTTCCAAGCCGAGTGAAAGTACAGCGGAAGAGGTTTCGCTGAATAATCACAATAATCACACCGCAGGATTTCATCCGCAAAATCGAGAGTTGCTGTTACATGTTTTCATAACCTGACTCTGGAATTGAAAGCATAAGGGTAGTTTTTGGCCAAGCTTGCTGAAGCAAGGATAATTTTTGGCGTCTAATTTGTGTTTAGGGCGGAGGCAAGGATGAACATGTTGTGGCTGAACTCAGTAGCAAAAGACTTGAGTTATCTAAGCTGGAAAAAGATTCTCGGAAGCAGCAAACGGAGCTTAGGAGTAAGGATAAAGAGATAAAAAGACTGCAAGAAGAACTGAAGGAACAGGGTTGGAAAGTGAATCAACTCACTGATGACTGTGAGGTGAAGGATCACAAAATCGAAGATCTGGAAAAGTGAGTTAAACACCTCAAGGCATTGTGTAGACTTTCTAAAAGTCATTTGTTATTTTGTTTGTTGTCTGTTTTAAGGGACTTTTTCATACCTGTTTGGCGTGAGGTTTACCTGTAGAAAATTCCAAATGTGACGTCATGACAATTGACCAATAGGGGAGCTAGTGATATTTGAAACCACTCCCCGACACAGCGTATGTCAATTTTTTTCTCCCTGCGTGAATTTACAATATGATTCAAATCCAGGCAAAACAAGTCGACCTCATTAAGGTGATACACGAGACGATTCGCAACGACGATTTTCAGCGCAACACAGCGTTGCAGCATTGTTGCGACATTGTTTTAAATGGTTACAACATTGTTCCAGCACTGCAACTCTGTGTTGTGCTAATAATCGTCGTTGCGAATCGTCCTGTGTAACATCACCTTGAGGGAGCTTTAGAAATCACGACGGCGACGACGACAACGAGAACGTCAAAAAGGCAATGGGTTTGTTAAGCAAAACAATAACTGTGCACGTGCTTAAGTCCTCTATAAGCAATTGGTCGTCGGACAATGTCATACCAAAATTAACCGCATGTCTGCAGGGGTTTCAATAAGTTTTTGCATAAGTGGGTACTTAAGAGTAACAGGCGGGTATATTTGCCGAAGGCCCCAAGGGCCTTCGACCATAGGGGGGTCCGGGAGCATGCTCCCCGGAAAATTTTGAAGTTCTAGACTCTCGCAGATGCATTTTCAGGTCTTTTTTTGTTGCTTTGTTTTTACATTTTTTTGCTCCTAAGTCAACTAATTTAAACAAATTTGAAGAGAATTATGTTACAATGAAGTAGTCATAGTCAAAACCTATTTTGCCAAATTTTTGGGCAAGAATTCGAAGCCTGGTCTTAGTTGACGTTCATGTGAAGGCTCCAAGCGGGTAATCAGCCCATTGCAAGCGGGTAGATCTACCCGCTACCCGGCTACTATTGAAACCCCTGTGTCTGTCGAAATGCCCCTCAGACATGATGGGTGAGCAAAGCAAATACTTAAGACTATCATTTTGAAGCTGAAGATTTGCATAGAAATCAAAGAAATTAAATGGCTTTTTTATACATGCCCATCAAATTTTCTGGTTTTTCCGACTTTTTTTAGACTTAGTCAACTCTCTTAACATACACCTTTTTAAGACGGACACCTAGACTTGGTCTCTGATTTTCTTTTCCTCCTTTTATTCGACTCTCCAGCGTTTAATACCTTCAACTGACATGGTACAACTCACTTTGACTCTGAAGCCGACTACCGCGCAGGTTGTCAAAACGTCAGTCACTGTCAACAACAGTCCTACACAGGACTATGTTCACCCGGACGATCATGCTCCCCCTACTCATGAAATGACTCTCTTCAAACATTTTACAGGGTTTTTTTATACTTTCTATAACACGGACATTTCTTTAAGATGGACACATACCGCCAGTCTTGAAGGTGTGTGTATTGCAGAGAGTTGACTGTAGCATCATTAGTACCACTGTCACGTCAAGTTTATTGTCATCTTTGTCATCTTTTGTTTTGTACTTCTGTTAAACATGTACCCATCATGTTTCTTTTGTAGGCAGCTGAGAGAACAGAGCAAGAAGCTTGTTGGCGTTAAAAGAAACCAGCAGCTTGAAAGAGAAAAGCAAGCACAACTTCTGAATGAAGTCAAAAAGCAAGAAGATCAGAAAGACGAGACTGCGGACTTCTACCAGGTGATGTACAGTCACATGTTTTCAGTTGTAGGTGAAGGGGCACATGTCCATTGAGCGACAAGGGCATCGCGCATGTCCATAGCCTGCGTGTCCTTTCTTAATTCAAGGTCTCTTTTTTCAGCGTATTTGCACAAACTAAGTCTCCTATCCTGGAAAGCCCTTTTAAGTCTTTGAATCTTCGGTTGGAAATAGTGTGCGAACCCTGATATAACTTACGAATCTGTGAAAAGAAACATAACATGTCCATTTATACGAGGGAAAATAAGACGCGTCTCACATAAGAGGCGTCCTAAATAAGACGCAAACTGTCTCGTATGAACGGCACATTAAGACGCATCTTAGCTAAGACGCGTCTTATCGAAGAACAGTTGTTAAGGGCTGTTCTTAAATAAGACGTGTCTTAGCTAAATTTCCGAAGAACTGTGCTGTTTATACGGGATAGTTTGCGTCTTTTGTAGGACGCGTCCTATGTAAGGCGCGTCTTATTTTCCCTCGTATAAATGCCCCAATGTGACCATGCAAATGAAGCATCCTGGGCGGTGCTAGGCACTGCAGTGGAGCCTCTATTCATGGGACACCCTCGGGACCAAGGCAAGTGTCTCTTGAGCAGAGGTGTCCTTTGAATGCCCCTGAATAGAGGTTCCGTGAATAGAGGCGTCCGAAAGGAGACGTTCTAGGCCATTTATTTTCATGTTTTTCGAAATGATATGTGGCATGCTTTGAGGCACCTTTCAACTGTGCCACGTGTAACCACTAGCCAGACACACTAAATATTTGTCTTAGGCCGACCCCGTACGACTAAATCGTGCCGTCTGTGAAAACGAACGTTGACTGTTTTGCTACATTTATTTAACAGAAAGAACTTCAGAAGAAAGATGAGAGAATTGCTGTTTTAGAGGAGGCCCTGACTGAGAGTGTATCAATCGCCGCTGAACGTGAAGAGCTGCTGGCTCAGCAAGCACACAACGCCGAAACTGCGACACATCGTGTAGAGGAAATGGAGGCCGAGGTGGAAAGGGTTCGAATAGAGACCTCTGTCACCAACACTAAGAACGCGTCCTTGGTTCTGGCGCTGAACGAAAACGACATTATCTTGTCCTATTATAAGTCAGAGCGTCATGGAATGGTGGAACAGTTACTAGAAATGAGGTATTACAGGCTAGCTAAGAAACCTAGGGCCGAGTATTTAAAAAAAAAAAAGTATGTATTATTCTGTGATCGAATATATTCGTTACAAAACGTTAAGAGAACAAACTTGACAGGATAAAGCTGAAAAAAAGTAAAACTCTAGGTCGTTTAGAAAAAACATAGGGCATAGTCAGAGAATGTTTTAATTTGTTCAGTGATGGTAGCCCTGTGAAAAAGGGCGTGAGGGAGCATGGGTAAGGGGAAAGTCCGTGAAGTGATTGTGTCGCTCTTACTTTCTTTTTATTGCTGTGAACTTTCTTTTAAGCGTTTCTCTTCACTTATATGCCCAACGTTTTGTCATCTCTACTGACACAATCGATAGAAGGCTGTTATTTTTTGGCATAATGTCCTTCGCCATTTCAAGGGCGTTCAAATCTGAATATTGTCGTCGGTATCTGTCTACTATCTTCGCCCTCTTTTCCCCTTGCCTTAAAATTGTTTTCCGAGGCTTCCGAACTGCTATTCCGGCTTCATCTTTCAAAGTAATGAGAAATATTTTTCATAGACGGTTGTCAAAAAAGCGATATTTCAAAGTGCTTTAAAAAGTCGTCAAACCGCGCGCCATCTCCCACCCAGTCCCCCTATGCCATATATAACGGTTTTTAACTTTCTGTGTGCTGTTGCATTTCAGGCAAAATGCGTTACTCGCCACGATATCTGAGAAAGACGCTAACATCGCCCTCCTCGAATTATCGCCAACAGTAGGCAGCGACGTTGAAGTGCGAAAGTTCAAAGCAGAAAAGGACAAACTAGTCAACGAGCTTAAAGAGCAGGTAAATGTCGTTGCACTATTGCCATGGCTACGTGTGAGCCGGAGCCTGGGACAGAGATGTGGCGAATTGCACTATGGGACTGTTTGGAGGGGATTTCGACCCAGTCTTTTTCGCAGCGTTCTCCAAAACAATCCCATAGTGCAATTCGTTTCAGCACCGACCCGGTGACACGCGGAACCATTACTTCAAACTAGCCAACCACAGGATCATGTCGTCTCGGCATCGTTTTTGTTGTTCTTCGACCTCCATTCACAAGGGCCGTTTGGATCGATTTAGATTTCTGGGAAATCGTCCTCCCCCTCCCCTAAGGCAACGTCTTTCCCTAGCTGAGAAGTAAATGTTGGCTTAGGGGAGGGGTAGATGGGCAGTTTCTCAGAAACCTTAATTTGTCCAGCCGTTTAGCTCTCTGCATCACTCCAGGTGACATGGTTTTGTTGAAGACTACGGTTGAATTTGCGGTGTTAAAATAACTTAAATTTGCGACCACCCCATATGTCCCCCAGATAATGCCTTTCGTGGATACAACGTTTTCAACGATATCGAAAAGAACGAATAAAACCGAAGAAAAAAAATCGGAGGTAAAGGTCCCAGAGAAGATCTTGTTGACCCATCTCAGGGCTGTTCTGCGTCAGTTTAAGCTGGGGAAAACGATGATGAATAAAAAGAAAGCTTAACGGCAGGGAAAGATGCGTTTGGTTTGGTTACTGATAACGCATTTTTGGTGTATAAGCAGCAGTTAGCGTAACCTAAAAAATTTCTAATGAATCAATAATTTGTTTACGACTTTCCGTTCCTCGATTCACACGCGTCATTTTCGTGACACTAATAGTTGTATTTTTCTTGCAGACGCAACAGCGAATGACTTTACTGTCAAACGAAGATAATAAAGAAATTTCGCTCTCGACCGAACTATCGCAGGCCTCCACAGAGAAGGTAACCTTGTTAGTCCACGTGCATAGAACTAAAAACCTCTAATTTCATTGGTTCTACGTAACGAATTCACAATTTCACATTACCCATAATACACCTTGTTTACCCCCCCGCCCCGGACAACTTCCCAAAATTTTTAGTTGTCTTATATTTTCTGCAAAATGGTCACCCTTTATATAACGGTCACCTTGCCATTTCTTAAGAGTGACCGTGACTGTTAGTAATCCTGCATTCATTGGGCGTTCAGATAGTGGAGACGGCGCAGAAAGGGTCAGCTGGAAAGAAACAAACAACAGCAAGGGGTGTAGGGAGGGTGAGAAGGCGAAAGAACGTGTTCTCTCATAGCTCCCACTCCCTCCCCGGCTACAGTTTTTTATTTTCTCTCTCCGACTTACGCCCTTTGCACTATCGAAACTATGTTAACTCGTGTCCCTTGGTGGGGCTGGTGGGATTATTTAGAATTTGAGTCTTTGGACGATTACTGTTATGTCAAATTGCTTTCACTCTAACGAGGCCTCCGTTATTAGAAACTGGAAGCTTTCAATGAATGTCAGGGTTGTTTGTTTAAGATGTTAGTTGCGGCGCGCCAGGCATAACTTGCTGAGACGTAAGATTATTGGTTACGGTTTATCATCTGCGAAGGCAGCTTAGGATTACGTTATTTTTAAGGTTATGTTTTGTCCAAGCACATGATCCAACAAATAAACAACAAAACAGACAAGAACACAAGGCAAGAATTAAGCTTTGACGTTATCTTCCCGTTGCAATCGTGGCTAAGCTCCTTCCTCTCCTCAGTCGCACAAGCGGTCAATATCGAACCAAGAGCAGAAACTAATAATAATTATAAAAGAACAAAATTTCCATAGTGCGAAAAATCCCTTAGTCTCGTAAAAAATATGCTAGAATTATTAAGTTTAGCAATTAACATGGAATCAACTGAATTTAGGACACAAGGAAATAGCTTAAAAAGCGTCAACTTCATAACTGAAAAGTTTGAATAGTTGTCTTTTGCAAAAGTAGCCGCACAATTTAACGTTGTTCATGATTTCTTGTTAATGTTTTTTTCGACGCAATCCGACGAAATTGCCCACTATGCAGGCAAGATGATTTAAAATTTGCTTTTTATATGAAAAAGTTCACTTTAAATTTTGAACATCGAGTGTCAGTCAGAATTTGCTTGACAAATCCCATCCGTTTAATAGTACAACTGGGAAGCATAAAAACAACTGCCCTGAAAAGGACTACTTCAAAGGTCACGCTTTTAGAGACTAAAATCCGAAAAAAATGTCGTTAATGCAGTATCGGTGCGTCTTTGGCACTTCGAACCTGTGCATTTGCTTGTCTGAAAGGTCCACAATTATCACCGGCAAATCTCGGCTTCTTTCCATCCATCAAGAGTCCATGCGTTTTTTACAAGTGAGGAAAATCCCAAGCAATGATCATGTTAACACCGATGCGTGCATATTGAAAGACGTGCATAACCTCACAGATAGTCGATTGTCTTCTAAGACGTCGTTTAGATTATCTTATAAGACCTCGCTTTAATTTCCAGTGGCCTCTACGTAATGACGCTGTGTGTGGGAAAGCTAAGTAATTAATAACCCAGAGCACGCTATTTCGAACTGAAGCGAAACGTTTTCTACTTGACGAAACGTTCCTTACAAAATTCCTCTACACTTTTTGACGTTGGTGGGAGAGTGGTGAGACCATAAACTTATTAACTGGATGGATGAAAGGACCTCGAGTGTTGGGTGTTTGATTAGAAATCAAATTGTAATCTGTCAAAGGTGAACGTTTTTTTATGTTTTTTGACTTCGTTATTAGATTAGATTTTAATAAAGAAAAATTAAAAAAGAGTCGACTAAAAATAGAAAAGCTATCGGCTTTAGATATTATGGTTATTGAGAATGCAATTAACGCAATTAGCGTCTCTATTTTGCGCCACCTTTTTGACAAAAGGCTTTTGACGTTGACAAGAGGTTCTTATATATTTCTGACGTATACGAACTATTGTAGGTCTAACGTAATAACTTTTGTGCAGCTTTTTACTTCCTGTAACATTGTTTGGTTTCTCACACGAATCATCGGAAATAGAGACGGCTTTGTTTTGCCGTACTAGCGCCGGCTACGTGAAAAACCGTTCTCAGGTAAACCCTTCAAGTCTAATAGTGACCAACATCAATTTTCTCCTAACATTTCAATACACAAAGAAAAGGTGATGAGAACTAAGAAATTGATCACCAAAGGGAAAATGCTTTGATCTCAACTAATTTTTAAAGGAAATTTATGGAGATCAGTTTGGAGAATTTGTAATTGGATATTGGGACTTAAAGGGTTAACCCATACACAATTAGCTTGTCTCCTACGAACTTAAGGTTACAAATTGTGAGTGAAGTGCTGCGAGTTGGCACATCATAACTTGTGAATTGATTTTAAAGTGGCATACCAGCATTCTTATAATTTCTTCAAACAGTAAATCTGTTAATCAGTTCTATGCGACGTGCACCTCATTAACCATGAGAACATAACACAACAACACTTACAGGTTGTCTGCGAATTATACCTCAGAATATAAACCAAACTGTCACTTCAAACAATGAATCTACTGAATAAAAACTACTACCATTTACATGGGAATTCCGGAATCAATCGTGTTTACCATTTGCACAAATCCGTTCCTATTACCAAAAAACCGCCGCGAAAGTCTGAAGCTCGTCTGAAACTGGTACTAAAGATCAGTTTTAACAAACTAATGGTACTCGAATTTTCCCTTGGAACATGTCGTCCGGAAAAACAGGACTACCTTTTCAGATTTTCCGTTGCTGCAGTAAATTTTCTGCTGGAACAAGTCAAAAAGTCGTATGCCATTTAAGGTGATGTCACACGGGACGATTCGCAACGACGATTTTTAGCACAACACAGCCTTTCAATGTTGAAACAATGTTGTAACCATTGGAGACAATGTCGCAACAATGTTGCAACGCTAAAAATCGTCGTTGCCACTCGTACCAACGTTGCTTGCATGTGAGAGGCCGCAATCTGGCAATTCAACCACAAGCTCAAATCAAAACTGAAATAATTCTTCATAACAAGAAGTTTCATGTTGAAAGTTTATGGTCCCTTCACGTATTTTTTCATTTCTTTTCCTTCAGATTCTGGAAGCTGTCTCTCTAATAGAAGAAAGTATGGAAAAGCTACAATTGTACGGAAAAGAATTAGTTGACATTTGTGAAAAACATTTCCCAGATATAAAGAGAAGGATTCCCAAGATCAAGCGTCGACATCCAAATAACACAGAAAAACTAAAAAGTGCGAGTCAAAAAGAGGTGAGTTAGTTTTGTTTATCGTTTTGCCGACTTCAGAAGGGGAAAATGAAGCTTTCCCTTCCCAACCCCCGCCCCCCCTCCCCCCCCCCTCCATGCAATGTTGTGCCGCTGTTCGAGCTACCATTTGGAAACAAGAAATAACCTCATTGTTCTTCAAAGTTGCCCCAGTTAAGGACAGTGTGTCAACAATTTTGTCGCCAATTGTAACCCAAGTCTTAAAGTGAGGATTTATGGCCTATTCCTTACTCCAGTAACGTTGGAAAGTACTAGTTTTGGGTTCTTTCGGGAATGTTTGGAGGGGGAATGGGGCTTACCGGAAGTGAACAACACAGGAAAGGCTGATTTAAACGTCACTACGGCAAAGGGTTGATTTATTATAGGCCAATATTTCGGCTAACAAAATTGGCCTTCCTCAGGGCCAGGTTCTCAGCGACTGACCGTGTCGAGAAAAACAAATGCGGCTAACCCAGTACAAACTTCCTTTCGCCGTCCGGCAACGCTTGTCGCTTTTTCCTTCGACCCAGCTGCCAACGGCTCAAAGTGCAACCGCAGTTGCAGTGTTTAGGCCTTTAAAGTAGCTACTTAAACTGGTAGCGCTTGAATGCTATTGAATTTTTAAAGGCAAGTTTCGAAAACATTGCTACGTAGTAATTTTGGTTCAGGAGGAGATTCTAGGAAACAAACCACCCACCCACCCACCCCTCCCTTTACACCAAGTTATCACTATCGATTTTTTCTGGTTTCAATCTATGTTCATCCTTGCCATCCATAGCAACAAACGACAGGAAACAGTTTCAATGCCTAAATATAGAGTGTTTTCACATGACGTCACGGCGGCCATATTGGTGTCCCAAAACAATGAAACGGTGGCCATGTTGGTGTCCCAAACCAGTCCTGTGGGAGTTGAACTCTTTTCTTGTGCAAACGCTTTCTTTTGTTCCAATAAATTTGCATAGATACTGGCCACGTGAGTGAAAACACTCTATAGTCTTAATTAACAAAACCTGACCATTATTTTTGGAATTTAATTGATGCAAAAACACCTTTTAGCGGTTTAACCCTTTAAGTGCCAATGGTGACCAACAACAATTTTCTCCTAACAGTATCCATACACTGTTAAGAGGTAAAGTTATGAGAATTAATAAAATGATCACCATAGAGAAAATACTTTGGTCTTTTATCAAATTCTCTCAGCCTATTGTTAAAGGAGATGTATGGAGATCAGTTTGGAGAATTTGTAGGTGGATATTGGGGCTTAAAGGGTTAAAAGATAGCAGATAGCGTGACACTGGTTAAAACATCAACTGCACACTTAATGTGTTTTGTAGCTTTTGATATTATGTAAGTCGTATTTAAAAACAGTGGAATACTGATATGAAAGTATATGGTGTTTTAAATAGTCATGTTTGCTTCAGATACAAACAATCAGTATAAACCAATTATTTAAAAGAATGTATATCAGCGACAGCAATATCAGAACCTACGAAATATTTTCACTTCTTTCCAGAATCAAAAATTTTGTTATTAGTGATTGCTATTTCCGTTTCTGCGAAGTACTTCATAAGCTCTACTTATTTCCATCGCATGCTGTCCTTAAGAGCATATTTGTCAGATGATCTGTACAACTAGATATTTTAAAATATTCCTTAATTAAATTAAATTCCAATTGATATTTCATAAATGCATCTTGTACCCGCAATCCCTTGAAAATTTCAGTGACTAGACAAATCCCTGTGTGAAATTGAGTCACCATGAAGCTATGTTTATTCTATAGTTCTGTTAACGTGTCTGACGTCATAACTAAGCTATTGACCACTCCAGAAATACCATAACATACCATAATGCTCTTTGTTTGTCACCCCAAAATGTTGCATAAGCTTTGTCTTCAGTTTCTCTTGGGAGTTCAAATGGCCTGAAAACAATGCTTATGCAAAATTTTTGGGTGACAAACAAAGAGCATTATGATATGTTATGGTATTTTCTGGAGTGGTCAATTGTAGATCTTTGCCCTCTCTAAAAGGTCATTATCGCACTAAGTAACATGCCACGAGGATTTGTCCCTAGTCAGTTACAGGGCCTTCGGCCTCATTTCGAATCAATTAAGCAGTTTTATAGTTGTTGTGTTTTCTTTCAGTGGGCTGGACGCAAGTAATAAAGAAACATCTATTAAGCCATTTTGTTTTTGTTTTTATTGTTTTTTACAGCTGTTATCCGTGTTACAGACTTTGGAAAAGGACATGCACTTGTTACAAGACGACGTTCACAAAATGCTGGAGTTAGTCGAGGATGTTAGCGAATCGTGACGGTATTTAATACCAAGAGAGTTCCGATCTTCTTAGCTTAAACAAAAAAAACTGATGTCCATAGACAAGTGCCTAATCTTTGCACTCAAAAGTGCCGACGAACTTTAAAAAAAAACAAATGAAAGGCAGTTATTTGACATTGATTTTTTCGTTAAGTACTTGAGAACAAACAGGGTCGAAAACTGTCCATTAGTTGGTAGCTAACCGAATGTCGCATCGATCGTTGGAGTGAAAACCATTCCTCATTGCATGTGCATGTGCATGCTAGAGAAAGTGGGCAACAGTTATTGGATTTGGGGCACAACAGATGCACTTTCTTGCCTCTCTGAGTCCTTTCTTTAATCCTCTCGATACCACTGATAATTTAAAGGAGCGCATTGGTTTAAAACCTGCGATTAAAAGAAAATACGAGATGAGATTCTAACGTAACTCCCATAGTGCTGTAGGCTTTTGATAGAGAGATGATTCTTGCCAATAACGGTCTCTCTGCCTCGCACCAAATTGGTGGTAGCGTAGCCATCACGTCTTCATGCCTTGGTTGAATGAAGCTTAACGTTTGCTTCCAAATTAAGATTAGGTTAAAAAACACCTGGATAATGTTCTTTTTAACAGTTGGAAAAGGAAATACTTGATTACGACCGGTTGGCGGGCGACGTTTCTATTTTTGATTTTCTGGAAACCGATTCCGAAGACTTGATAAAAGACCGCGGTATTCAACCTTTTCATGTTGTCCATAATACACCTCATTATGCTCCCCCCGCCTCCCCCACCCAGTTTTGCACAAGCATGGTCCTCAATTTCTCTACGGACGACTGTAAATACCCAAGAAAAATTGGAAACGATGGTTATGCAAAGTTTTTTCTTTGGAGGAGGGGGGTTAAGAGGTGTATCATGGGCAATGTGAAAATGGTAAGTTATCACCCAAGTGATCATTTTTTTTAACAAACAGAGATTTATTTTGGGCTAGACAAAGCCATTTAGGGCTGCAACGCTTACATCATTTATCTTAACTTCCGTATGACTTGGACTTCGCGTCCATTGTTCTATTATACTTTGTAGTAGGACGTGCTCATAGTCTCTACTCTTGTGACTCTTAAAACTGCAATTTGTTCACGAAGACTTAGTGTTAGCTTTCTCGATCTAATTTGTTTTGCTTGTAACGCGAAACCTTTTTTTTTGTTCTTTAAATCAGGCAAGACCTTTGTGCTTCCTTAAACCTTCAAACGTGCCTTTTCTCATTGATGCACAGGAAAATGTGTTTTGGATATAAGAGCTTTTTAATAATACCTCACATTAAGGTAGACAATTCCAAGGTTTCAAGTATTTTCCCTTGGTTAAGTCACCGCTTTACGAATTAGTACTCTTGATAACCCTTAGAGGAATTCTTGTCGCGATGGCGACCAGTCAAATCAAGTGTTGCCAGATTGTCAATGTAGTCTTTAAGTTATTTTTGATTGGCTCTCGCAAAGAAAGAGAAAAACATTCTGGGAATGAACGTCAAAGAAACTTTCAAGTTATTTTAACTGAAATAAGTCGCCATTGACCCTGTGTGAAAGGTAGGTTAACGAAGAGATTCAGTACGGCTTAAAAGAAAAGCATTTTTATAGTTTTGGAAGCTTATTCTAGATTGAAAAGTATAATATAATATATTTTGTAATATAAGTATTTCTGAAATTTATATATTCTCTCGCCTTTGTTAGTACGGAGCCTTTACTCTGATTACACTGTCCTTGTAAGAGTCTAGGAAGACTTCTACACCTGGGAGGGGTTTTAAAAGACTTTTTAGTTTGAGTTCATTAATCTAATAAAGATCATTCTTTTTAATCTTGGTCTTTCTGATACTTGATCACCGTCTCATCTAATTTGATTTAATTCTGTTAATTAACATTTCCCAAGATTTCCCAAAGTCTAACGTAGGTGTGCACCGAATTATTCTTTGAAGTGAGCGAGAATCTTATTCCCTCGAAGGCGTTGTTTTGGTAGAAACTTTACTTGGCAGAGCGAACTTAACAGGGTTAAAACAACATACGCCACCCATCTTGAAGACAACAGTTGGTTTTATCTCGTCAAATCTTAAATCGCTTAGGTTGGAAAGGTGAGAACTAAACCTTGCCATGCTAGGGATTAATTTTGCAGAATAATGGGCGCAAATGATTTACAAATAACAGGCGCCGGCGTAGCAGCTGAAAATATCAGGTCAACGGTACTCTTCACCTGCTAGGCTTCACTGAGATTGCTTCGTGGAAGGTCCCTGGCTGTACGTAACAACAGAGAGGAACAGCGAGGAGACAGCAAGAAGGATTCGACAACCACACAACACATATTGAATGGAATGCGGGTAGGTGATATACTCTGTGCATGCAGTGATTACCGGGAAGTTGTCTTCCACAGCAACCTTTTTCTTTCCATATTGGATAACTGTACGTAATCTTTACTAGAGAAAGCGTGGATACGTCGGCTCGTTCCTGTCCATGAAAAATACGTTCACATTTAACATCTTTTGTCGAAACGTAAACCTGGAAAGGCTTCGCGAGAAAACGGAACGATATAGACGTATTATTTTGTTTACCCTTTTAAACTCGTTTCCGTTGTTGAAAGCGGCCGCGAAATCTTTCTGTAGTATGATTTAGGTCTTTTTTGCACCGGCTCGAAAACTGCTCCGTTGTAAGAGGGTCATTTTAAGGTCCAGTCGATATTAACCACGTTAAAATACTTACGTATGACTGGGGATGATTACGAATTAAACTGTCAGGGATCCGTACTGTGAGGTATGGCATAAATGAGCGTTCCTTTGTCAAAAGTAACCTCTTATGCGGGTTATCCTCGACCTTTGCTACTCTTTGCGTTGCTAGAATATCAGTTAAGCGTTGAGCTTGATTATCGTCTGTTGATAAATTGAGATAAAGTTTTTATGCTAGGTAGATAGATATTTTTTAATTGGTAATCCGTGTCGGGGTTCAAAATATGTCTATCTTTATAATCGGTCTGACTTAAAATGGTGTTATTGTTTGAAAAGAGTTGTTGTATAATTGTTTGAATAAAGGTGATTTGTCTACGAGAAACTTCTGTGAAAGTCCATTATCTGGCCCTAATCGGATAGTCTTCAGATAAGATTTTATAGGTGTAGTGAACATGGCCACCTTGGGTCAATTTGGTTTCGAGAGCTTTGCGCCATATATACGCTTATAAGTCATCAAACTTAGCTGGTACAAATCTTAACCCCTATCCAAATATTAACTTCCCAATATTAACTTAAAGACGATTCAGCACAAGGGATCTATAACTTGACACAGCAGATAAAAACATTTCCTAGATGTTTTTACTGGAGGTTTTTGTGATACGATTATCCACTTCCTTGGTATGGCATTTTGTTTTCGTTTTTGTAACTGCAATGGTTAGAGTAAGTCCGCCAGCTTGGCGCTCTCCAAATAGTTTTTATGCTAAGAAAACAAGCAAAGCGAATATGGTTTGGTCTGTTCTCCAACATAAATCTTAGAAATTGTCAAAAGTGTCTCACGAATATTAGAGATGTCGTCACTCCGAGAAAAGTGTTTAAAAAACACTCGTAAGACAATTACGAGGAAAAAAGCTTATGTAAGAGGTAGTATTCACACGCTTCCTAAATTCCTGTGTATTTATAACAGTTTTACACGGTACAGTGTAAATCCGAAGAATTTGACACTTCAGCGGTTTGCTAAATCAATATTTTTCCTGTTTTTTCTGAAAATCACCAGAATTAATGAAAAGCAAACTACGATGTCATAACACTCGGTGTGAGTAGCTAACGACTTAAATGCAAACAGATTAAAACAGATCTAGAACGCATAATTGAAAACCATCTACGAGGAGCATCTAGTCTGTTTGATGTTGCTTCGTTTTCGTGCTTCTAAGCAGTGAGGTAGGTACCCTGTTTTCGTGACCTCTTATTATGGAAATCCCACGAAGAAAACCGCGTGTGATTGAGAAGCCTGGGACAACCCTTAGTCATGTTGACTAGCATTTTTAAATCTGCAAAGCTGTTTGCACTACGTGAAAATTAACTGTTCAAGACATCAACTCGACACCGATAGAACCCAAAACAGAGTTAGGTTGCAAAGTTAATTTTCACGAAGTACGATCAGCTTTGCTGATCAGGGCTTCTTTAGATCCCTTGTTCTGCGGCATATGCGGTCCTTTGCAGTTAATGATAATTGTCAAAGCCGACAGGAATCGATGTTGAGCAGCTTCAAATTTTTTTTGGTAGAATTCTTTCTGGTATGCCAGTGCAAATTTAAGAGCAATTTTGCTTGTTTCCTACTCTATCCTCGCTAGCTTTCGAGAACACTGGCCCATGAGAATGCCGGATTTGCAATGGATTGCTAGTAGCTCCTTCCATACATGTCGAAAGACATCCGATTAATTGATATTGTCCATAAGTTGAAAAAACTGTAGTTCTGTATCAAACCAACACCAGGCTGTGTTTACGTCAGTGAGGCTAATATAATAGGGAAGGCGCAATTGACCCAGACTCTCTTATTTTCTAATTATAAGCTGTTGACTTGGTAGAATATAAGATGGCGGTGCCCAGAAGCTTTTTTTCACAGGTCACACTGTCGGATTTCGTGTTAGTTTAGAGAAATCTTGTTATGCGTAATAAACAGTTATCAAAAGAGTCTAAGGAATACTTCTCATAGCGTTGTTTGTGCGAGCCTCCGGACGTGCGCCGCACGCTAATCTTTGGGTTGCCTGGGGTTCCTTGAGTGAAATCAAACGAGCACTGTTTCTAGCATTTTTCAAAGCAGACTGATAGAATTTGCAAAACAGGCTCACTTGGAGGCTTTTTTAGGTTGTATTTTCAATATAATGTATCAGATGTAGTTATGAAGCGTACATCAACGAAACAATCGTTATTCCGGTCTGCTGTAAAGATGCAAAGTACTTATTGTCAAAACTGAGATATATGCAATTGCGTTTTTGGGTTATTCAAAACGACACCAAAGCAAAGAAAAATGGTCAGCCTTGAAAAGAACTAAACTCAATCAGTATACATCTCACAACTTGTATAATCACGTGAGATTTTGCCCGCTCCTGTGGTACTGTTATCAGTAGCGGATGCAGACCTTCAGATAAGGGGGAGGCCCGGTCTCGAAAAAATTTTTTTCGGCCCTCTGGGCCCCCTTTTGGTCTAAAAATAAGGGGGGGGGCTGGGCCCCCCGGGCCCCTCGCCTGGATCAGCCACTGGTTATTCACTACCGCAAGAATGAATTCGTTGAACCTCCGTTAACCTTTTAAGTTCCAGCGGTGACCAACATCTATTTTCTCCTAACAATATCAGTACATAATATTTAAAGAAAAGTTTATGAGAATAAATAAAATGATCACCTAAGGGAAAATGCTGTGATCTTTGATCAAATTCTCTCAACTCATTCTGTACGGAAATGTATGAAGATTAGTTTGGAGAATTTGTATGTGGATATTGGGGCTTAAGGGTTAAAGGACTAGCCAAATTGCGAAGATTTAGTGCTCGTCTAAGAGAGTCGAATGGAACCACAGGATTCTTTTCGAATGGAACCTACTGATACGATTTTCCATTTACTAAAAAGGTTTGATAATTTGAGAAGCGTGGTCCGTCCCCGGGGGCAGACACTTCTTCTTGGCGGGGGTTTCTTGAATGTAATTTTCTACACCCTTTGTCAGACCAGACCTCGAAAATCCGTTAGTCAAGTGGTCGCCCACAGTAAAACCATGGAAAATTATTTACCGTCATGTCAATAATGAGGTCACAGTCTCTTTCGAGAAGTTCCAACTATGGGACTTTGATTGGAAGAATTTTGGTTGCTTATGAGAGGTGGTAGCTTATTGCCATTTTGCCGTCTGTATACCTGTGCAGATATAAACCACATAAGACGCCACTTTGAACGTTCAAGGGTATCAGAGTCCTATTTGCTTTCTGTGGTTGGGCTTTCTTTGTTCTAGCCATCTGGACTGTTTGGTGGTCGTTCCGTCAAGTATTTCCTTGTCAAAGTGGGTCGCTGACTGATTTGTCTAGACGATTTTTTGAGTAGGAATTTCAATTTATCCTTAGTTTTTTTTTATGAAACATAGCCATTCATCCGTCGAAGATTCCCTTTGACAAAACGTGCCCGAAAGCCTAACAATTAGTGTAATTATTTATAACCGAGTTATCTTGCTAGGATCAGGTCAAATAGGCCGCCACTAATTTACCATTGTCAAGCAATACAATAACCGACAATAAACTCTTATTTTTAATTAGTTTAACCCACAGGAGTTTTTTAATGTTAATTATGTAAGGGAAACAAGTTAAACTTAATCCAATACGGCCATTTTATATTTTATTGTAATGTTTTAACCACGTGCATTCCTGGTTATAAATGGAGCATTTGTTTAATGACATTGGGTTTTTATTAGGTTATGCTCGGTTAGGTCCATTCAAAATAGTTTAATTTAATACACATTGGGCTCCTTCAAACCGCTCCCGTGAACGATCACCCTTAGTTTGGGCCAGCGTCATGAAACCCCTTTTTCAATGAAAAGCCTCCGTAAGCGACCGAGTCCATTTTCGTTACTAAGCAGCCAGTATGTTAAAAAGAATTAAGCAGGTTGAGGTCGAGAAGGGTGTCCGTGAATCATTCTTATTTGTTATGTAGCTGGAAATTTTTCCCAACAGCGCGCGCTCTCATTGGTTATTTCGAGGTCACATGACATCTAACAATGAAACTGTTTCCCGCCAAAATCTCTGCCGGCAACATTGCAAAATCTCTGACGTCAGAGGGTAACAGTGTACTTTGACCGACGACCGCCGTTAGAGCGAGGTTTAATGAATTTCCAGCTTCAAAATTTCCAGCTATATAACAAATCACATTAGGACTGGTCGCGAGGGAGACAGTTAATTTTGTTTGACTGTTTCCCTCGCGACCAGTCACTAAGTGTTTTTACTAAGCCTCGCCCAATAACTGCTATTGTTGTAAGAGCAAAGTACTTGCATTGGAAAACGCTCCATTTCCAAAAGACAAGTGATAGAAGTTTCGTTTCGAAGAAAGATACTTTTATAACACAGACACTCTCGAAGACTGACACCTAATGTTGATCAGCACCGTTCTTCAGATATTTCTTTTAATTTTTCGTAAGGCGGACACCTCTGATATACAACGGCAATACAACGATTGTTGACTGATTACATTGAAGGCGTATACCGTGGCTCACGATTTTGTCCGAGAACAACATATTAAGTCAAAGTTATCTCAGCATCAGTCAAACGTTTCGTGTTTTTGTGCACTATATAAAACAAGGTAGGGCAGGAACGTCTTAAGGGTTTTCGGTAATTTCCACAGGTTCAACAGACGGGGATATCCTCGTGCCTTTCCCTGCATGCTTAGTCAGCTTCCTGTCTCATGTTAAATGGAGAACTGCCCTAATTTAAATCTAGATGGTCAACGTGAGCGCATGCGTCGCCAGGCCAGTTTGGAAAGGCAGTGACTTCACTCAATGAGGATCCACCGACCATTTATTTTCCTTTTTTTAAGCACATTTTTTTCAGGATTTTTTTTTGAAACTGATTTTAACTTTGAAGTCATTCTGCCAAGATGTCTAGTACTCGTTCGGTACGCAATGTGTCCATTGTGGTCAACAGGAATGCGTTTCTTGACGTGCGAGACTCACTCAAGGGGGTCACAGCATAAAGACGAACGGAAAATCCTCTCGAATTTATCGAGAAACCGTCCAACCGTTCAAGGTTAAGAATTAGAGTAAAGTAACCACAGACAAAAGTATGCACGGTCATGACCACACCCCTCAGGTTTCTTATCGTGGGAGTAGTGGTTTGCAGTTACATTCAATTCCCGTTATAGTGGACGCTCTTAGGACTTCGAGTTAGTACCCATTTCTACGAGAGTCCGCAAAAGTGGGGCTTTATTTCGGTCAATTTTGTAGTTTAATTCAGTCAATTCTGTAATTTATTTTTACTGGGGATTCATCTATCAGCTATTGCCTGTATTATAATTGTGGTGTTGAGTGTTGACTGGTCCTCGGCTATTTGAGTCTACACCCCCAAGAAATCGCTGAAACTGCTACTACTGCTTCTAAAACTATAAAAACGAATACTCGAGACTTTCAGATTCTATAAAGACGAGGACAACTGCGAGAACGAGCCTGACTTTCTCCGGCAATATTAAGAAGTGCGCGCGCTTGAACTTGAACCAGCCTCCTTTTGGCGGGAAAACACGATAGCCGTCGTGTCGTCATTCTACTACGAGTTTGTGCGAGAATGTCGTAGTGGAAGAAACAAGTTACTGAATGTTAGAAGTACAACTGAACACTAGCGGTGACTCAAATAAAAGATAAAAACAGCATAACAAATATTACAAAGGTATCAAAGCTAAAACCTAGATCTGTTCTTATATGTCTCATACAAAATAGTTATGCTGTATGAAAAAAGTCTTATTTATCAGAGAGCTACAACACCAAATGGTCAAAAATTTAATTATTGCAAGTCATGCAATTTCCACAACCATTCTTCAACGATGAAAGAAGGTTAGGTCAGGTTTCCATATTATGTAATGCCCTTGCATTTACTACCTGTCTCGTTTTAATTGGAAACGAATAAGTAAATGAATGACTTTGAAGAACCCTTGAAAAAACGACCCAATCGAGCGAATTCCAAGGACGCTATACCGTCGCGCGCGCCTTAAATCTTTTCTCACCCTCTTAACATGAAGTGCGCGTCAATTGCTTCCCGCTGTGACGTCTTTCGCTCTTTGACATGCAGTCAATTATAACCGTCTTTTAATCGGGAAAAATAAATTCTGCCTCTTGCAACATTGATTGCATACTAGCTGCTTTAATTGCCAGCATACAATGCAGTATTAAATTCAAGATTATTTATACATGGATCCACCTCTAGAAGTTAGATTACGTGAAATGTAGTTTTGTCGGCTTCTTTCATTCGATGACCCCGACCTCGAAGAATTAGCTAAAGAATACCGCCACAATTAAAATAAACTAAGCATTATTTGTGTAATACGCACTCGAGACACGACCCTTTTACCTACAGGAGAAAAAAAATACACGCTCCACAAAATTATCAGAAAAATTTGCTGCAAAAAATGCGAAGAAACAGGAGGAAAGAGGAAACGAAAAATTGGTCAAAACGAACTGCGAACTTTGGATTATCTGATGGTTGCTTCTAACACTTCTTCGTTCAACGAAGTGTAAAAGCAAATTGCAAATAAATCAAAACCGTTTTGTGGTCTTAATCTGTGTTTGTTTTTTCAAGAGTGTCCTCGTTCTATATGATTCATCTTATTCTTTGGGTGTCTGAGTTTCAATTCTACAACTATAAACGGTACCAACAAAGATGACTAGAAATGTTGTCCAGTTATAGCTCCTCGGCAGCCACTTTTAAAGCTGTTCAACTTTTTAAATTTTTATAGAATGGAGCCAAAGCCCTCCCTTGATCAGCAGGGAAGGTCTTTCTCTAAAAAAAGTTCAAAGAAAAAACTGTATCCGTTGTTTTTCTTTGCGGTGTTTTGAAAAGAAACCAAATTGAGACAGAAAGGTATTCAACTAAGGGAAATCGTTGCATTTCAAAGCTAAAGGCAGACAGCGTCACGGAATTTCCTACTGGTTAGAGTTGGAGTTTATTTCTATTCGGTCTAACTGTTGTGGTTTATTCAACCTCTGATAGAAAATGCTTTTATTGTTCTTTACGCGCTTTAATAAGCCCCAGCCGGAGGCTATTTATGTTCAATATCAATTTTTTCAATTAGACCAAGCTTTAAACTAAAACCGTGACACTTCGTTCCTCCAAACAGAGATTAAATCAGCCACAGACTTCCGACGAGAAAGCCAGTGAGGTGCAAAAAGGATCTTCGCAAAGGAGTACAAATGTAAGTTGAATGTGCTGTTAATGTATTATGAGTATTGAATAAGTTGTGTATGGCATATCGTTAGTGGCTAAACCGACCACTGCAACCCAAAACATCTCCATAGAGTTTCGTTTGTTTGTGATAAACACAAATAAATGTAAAGCTTGTAAAAGAGTACAAGTGAATCTTTATTAAGTCTGTACTGTTAGTCCTAATCTTTTAAAGGACTCAATGACTGAAAGTGTCAGGTTTTACACTTAACAGTCAGTATATAGCCTTCAGCCTTTAGTGGTACACAAAGCGATGCATGTAATATTATGCACCAAATCGCCAAACTATAAGAGATTAAGGTAAAGATACCTAGGTTAAGGCAAAGAATTTGCTGATCTGAACCGCTCAATATATTTTCCATCTTGCCTCAAATTTAATTTGGGTAAAGTTCTCTCCATGTGTAGCTATCATTGCTACAATTCCGTTCCGTTTCTTAGCCATAAGCACGTCCTTGAAACTTGTGGAGCATCGTTGGGTCACCACGACAAACTCGCCGGAGTACCACAAATTTCCGTTCATTAATTTCGTTTCGTTCGTTTTCTCGCTAACTTTTCGATTCCTGGTAAGTCAAGTGAAACTCTTCTTGAAGATTATCGGACCATCTTTCTCTTTTGAAATATGTTGAATTTAAATATGTTGAAAAAATTTTCAAGTATGCTCACCGCCTAACTGTGATATGTCGATGATATGATATACACTAGTTTGTAAATTTATAAGAATTTAGAAATAATTTGTCCAACGATCTGCTTTCTCTCCGTCTAAGCGGGGTAATACCTCGAGTACTATTGTGAAGCTAAGTGACCCAGTAATTGCAATTGATTGAAAAGTCAACGTTTATTGACATTCTACGACCTCAGTGTTTACCGACTCCATTTACCACCGGCCGGTACCGTTGCGATATCAGCGCAAACAATTACTGTTTGCCTTAAGTGATGTTGTAAGTTAGTTAGTAAGTGTAAAGTGATCGATTGGAATGCAATTACCTGTCTTCTTGTCTTTTGAACCACGTCCATTTTCTGCCCACGTAGTTCAAAAAGCTTTTATTAGTTTTTATGAACTTGACTGGGCTTAATTGCCTGATCTGTCGTTATAATGCCGTCCAAGTTGTTTAAAATAGTATATTTTTTATATATTCGTCGTCTTTTTCCCTCACACTTTATCAATTACATTTCGTAATAAATTAGGAGAAATCAAGTACAAAGTTGGTTCTTAAGTATCTTTGAGTTTTAAAACTTTAAAAATTTAGAAATTTTCTCGTGAAATTAAAGAGGAGGACAAAAATAGCCTCTCTCTGAATCGCCTCTAGCCTTTGAAGCCTCCACCAGCCACTGGTCAAACTGGCTATTTCAAGTGCGGGCATCCATTTATTAATAAACTTGATCGTCATAACTAAACCCGCTGTGCTAAGCTCTATTAGGCCTGAATTCGAAAATGAAAACAGAACCTGATGATCTTAGGTGCAATACAATTCTTTGGGCGCGGTAAAATTTTCAGCCAAAACAGCCTGATCGCGAAATTTTTTAAAAACAGTTATGACACATAGCTATTTTTTTTTTAATCCCACCTCACGATTAGTAACTGAATTCCTTGTAAATGAAAACAACCTCAGGCATTTCACGTGGTTTTCCCGAAATAATGCCCACCATCATCGTCTCAACCTAAGACCCACCTCGATCTGCATAGTTCTTCATATCATTACTCAGCTCGTTGCTTTGTACAAATCAGTGATGTCAGTGGTCACCACAAACGAGAAATGGCGTCTTTTGAGAGTACTGTGAGTCAACTCCCTTTATTGGGGATAGAGACCCTCAAATCAAGGAGTTAGTTAAGGAGTTAGTGTGCCTATTAGGCCGGACAGTTCATACTAGCACGATAGCTAGCGTCTAAGTATGCAAATTTATTGGAACACCAACTTGGCGACTGCCGTACTGACCAATATGGTCGTCGGGACGTCATGTAGAAGCACCCTAAAGCAGGATCCAACAGGAACGTTCTTATATTCGATTAACAGAAAGAAAAAAAAAATGGACGGTCTGGACGAAATGAGTAATGCAGTGAGACTGGAAATAAGGTATACAGCGGTTGGGAAGATGGAATTTAAATTCATTTGATTAGCGACAGAAAAGTGTTGACCTAACTTAAAAAAGGAACTGGTCACTAGGTTACAAAAACCGTGGAAATAAGTCATACGACTGTCTAAGCTTTTAGGGATGCCGCTAATTGCCTGTTTTAGCAAGGATAAGAATGATAAAATTGTGCTGTCGGTGAATAACAAACAAATTCCTTAATAGCAGGGGATTATTCACCATTAAAACGAATTGGATGCTGTCCGTATTAGACTGTCCGCTTGATAACGAGGCTTCAAAGTTGACTGCAACAGCAGCTGCGTAAAAGAAAAGATTCATCTTATCAAAAGATCATAACCATAGAAAATTGACTTGCAGGTTGTCCCGTTGATCGTAGGACTTGTAAATATATAATCAGTGGGCAATGAATGCCATTTCTGATTTCTCCAGATAAACCGCGGTTACGTGGGAATTACCTAAAACCTGACGGCGAGCATTAGGCTATATGGCGTAAATTTTTTGCAAGTTGTGCGTCAAAATAATTTTCTGAGTTCATAACATCCCTGGCATAAACAGTTTCCGCCACCCCTTTCTGTTTCATTCAAGGTAATTAGTTTCAAATTACAAACTACACCACAGAGTGGAAGTTTTCCGGATATAAATGCTTAACGTTGTTATTCTGTGACTAGACTGACCATGATAATTGGTTGCATGGAGCAAAAACAATTTTCCGTGGAAAATGTAATGGCGTTTAATCTTCTTTCCTTAATTCTTTTCACGTCATTTCGAATTCCCAGACGGTTATTTATGGTTTTAGTATAGCTTTGGGCGAATTGACGCAAGTCGATGACTTGAATTGGGGTCAAAAATAGCCGGCCAGAAGGCGGCAAAACTCTTAGCCACCCCAATTTTTTTGCGGCTTAACAGACTGACTTGTTTTAAATAAATATTTTTTCTTCGTGTCCACAAGCTTATCAAAGACATATAGACCGTTTGCAGTTGATTTGAATTCAACATTCAAGATTGGAATTAGCCCCGGTGGAAAGAAGTTAAGGTCGACTTTGTTGGCTAAGAATTATACAACCTGTAAGAGGTGGGTTACTCTTTTATCTGCCCCCAAGTTTTGTGTTCTGTTTAACAGCCAGCTCTTAAAACGGTATTGTCTAGATCTGCTTGGCTTCTATATCGGCACATAGTGGCATTTCATTACTTTGTTTCTGAAAATTGATTAAGTCAAGAGCTTCAAGGGTAATACTTAACCAAGTAATAACTAGACATAATAAAAATAATAAAAGTGGTAGTTTCTTCACAAACAAAATCAAATTAAATTACATACAATAACGCTTAATGAAAAAGAGAAGTCTCGCCTCTCTCATAGTCTGAATGCTTCACTATCACAAACCGGAATTTTTAAATTTCGTTTCCGCTTTAAAACAAGCACAACCGATTATTTTTAAACGAGTAGTTACCCGTTTTTCTGTGTGAGTTCATACTTTGCCCCAGAGGACATGAGATAGGCTCCTATAAGCGTCGATTGTTCTTATGGTCACCTATTACACAATGTTTGTGCAGTATAAATTCCATTTATGCTTAACTGTGATCCTCGTGCAGCTCACTTTTCTTATCATTGCAATTGTACCTCATTCTCCGCCCGCTTGGCATGCCTATCTGTCCAGTGCAAAGTGTCCCAGCTCGTAAACATGAGGTGTTCTAGAGTAACAAGGTGTTCTAAGACTCCTCTCTTGCACAGTACCAATTGATGGCGCATTTTTACGTTACCTCCATACTTGAGGCGCTACCGGTCATTTCTACGAGGTTGTCCCAACCATACGAGGCTGGCTGTCTACCTGTTTGCATGACAAAGGGAAGTTGTCACCTCGACCTCAGTTACTTTAAGTGAGTCATAAGTTGTTCATTCAATTTGTTGCTTACTCAGCTAACCCCTAGGGCGATACAGTCGACTCTCTCTTAACGGACCCCTCCGTAAAAGAGACACCTAGAGTTGGTTCCTGCCTTTCTTTACTCCCTTTGGATAAATTTAGGTTTCAAGGAAACTGCCCGCCTACCCCTCCCCTAACCCAACATTTTGCCTTAAGAGAGAAGTAGGTGTTAATGTTGACCTAAGGGAGGGGTAGGTAGGCAGTTTCCCAGAAACCTAAATTGGTCCCTCCCTTTAAAACAGGCATCTCTCTAAAACGGTCACTTGGTGCCGGTCATAAAGATGTCCTTCTTAGAGAGAGTTGCATGACTGTATTACAAACAGCAACTTTATAATCTGAAGACCGAATGTTAATTAAAAAAAAGTAAGAAGTTCATTTGCGGAAAAGTACGTTGATCCTTAACTTACACCATATAGGATAATTCTGTTATCAAAACAATTTTTTGCGGCAATTTTAATCCTTAAAATAACAAGTGGAAAATATATCACAGAGTCTGGTTTATCCGATGTGAGAATCGTCGTAAACTGGCTTCACTATGTCTCGCCCACGCTGTGCCATCTCGGATCACCCGACCACACCCATGCACTTCTCAGTTGGGTTGTTCGAAATTGGGTTATATAACAGAAACTACTTAGAGTCAATGATCTGCGTCTTTTCGTTCAGAGCATTTTTGTTGTTTACCAAGTATGTAGGCTTGATAATCAGCAGGTTTTATGGAAATAAACCCCAAGCACACTTGTTCGTAAGGAAAAGTCACCTGACAACATCTTCTCTTAAAAACTGCAGAATATTCTTAAAGTCAAATGAATATCGAAATATATTCAGGAGTTTTTAAGTTTAGGCAAGTGTTTTTACAATCTATCCAGGGCAAATTGCGTCAAAAATTTTGACCTAGGTAAATCAAAATATAGTTAATAACGCTTCTTTCGTACTCTTGAAATGCCAGCTGTACGTCAAGATTTCACTGCATTTTGAAAAAAAGAAATACTCTTTGATGGTGTTTTTATTCTATTTAAACCTTTTACTCCCAGAGGTTTTTAAAACCAAAATTTGACGAAAAAAATCCATATTTTTACGTAGCAAACTACTGAGAAACCAATATTCCCCAGCCAACCTACTACAAATGAGGTTTCATTGAATGGAAACATCGAGGGATTTCTTGACGGAATTCAAAATTTGGAGTGACGGATACTGAATCTCTCCACTCTATGTGGTCTAGGAATGAAAACTTAAGTTTTGGGGTTTCCCTCAATTTCAAGAGAATATTTTACACGTTGCAAAATAACTGGTGAAATATCGTCCAGAGGGCATTTAAGCCATAGCCTCTTAGCTGCTTAATGCTTTTTCCGTAAGGCACACATGTTAAAGAGTTCCTCAAAATATTTGCTGATTCGTCATGTGCGTTGTTTCGCCACAGCTAGCTACAGCCTTTCCAGCCTTTAATACTTTCATTTGTCGTTGATCATTGTTACGCATCGTTTACGTTGTTGTATGAACATTTCAGTTGTTTCGTCAAAACGACCGAAAATCTCAAGTTATAGAGACAGAGCATAGACAACTTTCTCTTTCCAAATTTCACATTTTCAATTAGTGTCTCATTAATATATTCGCCGCTCTAGCAGAATGTCTCTCGTGAAAGGCTTACTTATGATGCTTCGTGTAGTTTTCTCGATTATGGTACGTGTGTCAGTACATCTCACTCTTTTCATTGGGCATAGTTTAACTTCAGTATACGAGTTGGAGAGTACTGTAGTTCAATTCCCATCATTATGAAGTGAACAGTATAAAATGATGTCTGGTACTGTCCAGGATGCTAAAGTGCTGGGCAAGTTGGGTTTATGTTTTTGTTTTCAATGTTTTCCCTTCTCTGCGTTGTACTGATTATGTATTAGTTTAATGATTGTGTGGGCCTTGCCAACATCTTTAATTCTCTCAAAAATAAGACGTGACGTTGTAATGTGACGTTATAAAAAGGGGTCGCCAAAAGGAGAGAATTGTCCTGCAGTCACTCGATCACAACCCGAGAAGGATTTCTGTCTCCACTGGTAATTTTATCACGGTCAGGGTTTATTTTCTAGTGTAAATCGGCCCTACATTCAAAGTAGCAATTATTGTTTTTGAATTCTTGCAGAACCAATATAAAGGAGATTACCATAAAACATTAAGTGTACTTCAACTGGCGAACGCATTTAAACTCTAACTTTTCTATAGCAAAAAACGTCGGAGATGTTAGGTGTTTATTGACATCCAGTCTGGGTGAAAACCTGTTATTCTGGTAAATGGCAACATTTACCCTGAGAGGCAAGGTAGTCGGTAGACTCGGTACATGATCATGCAGTTGTACTGGGTTTGCACGCGATGTTGACAGTGACGTGAGAATGCCAAATATATATAGGCTTTGTGGTCATGTCTCAAAGCTAACACATGGTTAGATTTTACAGGTTTTGGGGGTCTTATGTGTGGTAAAATAAACAGGAAACCTAATAATACAGATTCCTTTGGTAAAAAGTGTTCCTCTTTTTCCTACAAAAAACGACTTGGATTGAGAATTATGTGTTTGAAGAACCAAAAAGAAAAGCGCAATAGCACTTATCTCTCACAATGCTTTTGTAGAGGAGGCGGGGGAGGGGGGGGGACGTTCTTTAACTTCGATTTTCATTCATCACTCAATTGAAGCCTTTACAATTTGTAAGCATTTTTTTGATTTGAACAGAGCAGTGCTCTTAAATTTCGTATTAATTGTTGTTTCTACGACAGCCAATACGCATAAAAAATGGCAATATTTATTATTGGCATCTGCCTGACGTCATCTTAATTTCAGGTGGAATTCATTTATGTTAAGAGCAGTTTCCTTTCAGTTTCTTAGGAAACAAAGTACAAAACAAAGCAGCGAAATGGCAAAACCCAAGGGTTTTATATGAGTACTTAAAAAACACTCGTTTTAATTGAAAGTGAAGAATAACAGATACAAAAAATCCTCTAGAAAGCAATTACAGCGTGTCTCATTGTTTTTGGTCGTATGTTTAAAATAATCACAGGAAAGATAAATTAGCTGCTGGATAAGTAAAGAACATTTCATTTCCATAATTTTCCAATTTCTTTAGTATTCTATCACCCTTTAATTCTCCACTTTTCAAAACAAATCGAGAGGCCGAAAATCAACAGTCATCTTTAGTTGGGCCTGCACTCCAAAGGTTTAAAATATAAGGGGATCTGTCGCAGATTCCCGACATTCTCCATAACTGCTTAAACCTACCAAACACGTACCCCTAACCTAACATCAATTGTGTCAGGGGAGGGGTACGTATAATTTATCCCTAAGATGTCCCAGGTGCATGCCAAAAATAAGAAAAGGCATACAAACATAACTGGTTTGAAATGTCTCATCTATTTCTCGAGATGCGAAAAAATTCTCGATTTTACTCAACCCAGGCTGCCTTGTTCCGTAACATTTTAGGATCCACATGTTATTTCAACCCTTTTAGTCCCAAGAGTGACCAACATCAATTTTCTTCCAACAATATCAGTATAGTAGTTAACAGAAAAGGTTATGAGATTTACTAAAATGATCAGCAAAGGGAAAATGCTTTGATCTATTAACAAAATCTCTCAAATAGTGTTTCAAGGAAATGTGTGAAGTTCAGTGTGGAGGGTTCAAGGTTAATCGCGTTACACGGTCCTATTGTGCATGTCTTAGGAACTTCTGTGCTTAACTAATAACTTTTAATCCAATTCATTGATCTAACTTGTGTTCCATGTTGTGTTACTTATTACATTAATATCAGTTGCCAAAATGACATCGAGGAAATAACTAATTTCATTTTTGTAAAATAACAAACAATACTTTTTTAATTGGCAAGAAAGAGGAATGCTGAAGAGGATTCAGTTAACTGATCAATCCATAGGATTTAGTCTGGAGACTCAAAAGTTAGAATTTCCTGTGTGAAAGGGTTTTAAAATTCCCAAGGATATCAACGGCAGGAGTGTATCAAACCTGTAATATGTTCATTTTATCATTGCTGAAAAAGGGCAGAATTTTAACTAGCTGGAAATTCAATAAAATTCAACCAAACCAAACTCTTCAAGATCTATTCAGTAAATAAATGTTTTTCAGCAAATGGCGGTAACTGGATATCGGGTGAACTGGAAAAAGAATGCAAAGCATCTTCTTTCATCAAGAAATTATCAAAGAAATTCACACGCGATTTCCTTCTTTAGGACAACAGTCACACAACCACCGTCGTCGAAAATCGCTTTTAAAATGATTATACATTATTGGATTGTAGATGGTATTTTAAGTCAATGCAAAGTTCTTATAGAAATTCTTGGCTGGTTGAACTATGTTGAAAAGAACTGTCAAGCAAGGCAGCCAAGCTGAGGGGCCTTCAGCAAAATGGTCAATTTTTCATTGAAATTGGCCAATTATAGATTCAGGCTTGGATATCATTACTTTCAAGACAACATTATACAATAAATTTAAGAACTGTGTGTTTTTAATATCGTATTTTAAGCGTAATTTTACTATAAAACAATTTGCCACAGACTGTTCTCACAGCTGACTTGTTCTTTGAGTTGACTCTGTGTTTCTCTTAAACTCGATTATAAAATGTCCAATACAAAATGTAACGTACAAAAATTTTTGTACTATTTGAGTTCGGAATAGGCTATGATACCAGACAGTAAATTCAGTTCCATCTTGGTGATTCATACATATTTCCCCCCGCCATATTTTCTGCAAAATAATGGTCCCTTCAGAGTTAAAAAAATTGTGGCCTACGTTATCGCCTTCTGATGTTACCTATAAATAAAGACTGCATACTTACGAGTGTCACCATTCCAATAAATGATACATTTAGAAATACTTTTCGAAAGTATAATTTGTTCATCATTTTACAAAATGACTTTTGGCACTGTTTTTTTTTTTATTATAATTATTCGTCTGGAGAGTGATTCCTTTACTATGAAATGAATGAGGTATAAAATTACAAGAGAGTCGCAGCTGCTTTGCCTACATGTCTGGTCATCTTTGCCATAGACCCAGGTTAAGAATTTGTAAATGTGGCAAATGCATAAGTTTCTCCAATCCTGTCTTTGTGACTTTGGTACAACCATACAAGTCAATGTTCGTAATACTAGTCAAATTATCCGCGATAGAGGCTAAACTGATGTCTGTAATTTGCGTACACTGTCCAATATTTAACACACGAAGGTCGTGAAGACTTCGTGCCGCTTTGCCGAGACCTTCGTCGGTGATATGGCAAGAATTCAATCCTAAATTTTTCAAATGATGTAGTCCGTTTGATATATGATTAAGAGCAGCGTCGCCAACCTTGTCGCAGAAGCTAACATCCAAACTCATCAAATTGAGGCCTCCCACGGCCAAATGCGCTATGCCTTCGTCGCCAATTCCTTCACAAGACCGAAGATTCAATTCTCTCAAGCTTCGAAGTGTGGCTAAGTGTGAGAGTCCACTCTCCGTAATTCCACAGCAAAAGCTCAAATTGATCGACTGTAGATGAACTAGTCCTTTAGCTATGTTGCTTAGAGCGTTATCAGTTATCTTTTGACAGTCTTGTAAACACAAAGTAGTCAAATTCTTGTTCCCACGGGCCGAACTGGCGTTCAAACCGGCGAGGTGCGCTATGCCGGTGTCCGAAATGTGTCGGCAACTTCGAAGATTTAGATACTTTAACTTCGGCAGACCCCAAGCACAAAGCAACAGACCTGTGTTAGTTATATTACAGCAACCAGCGAGATCCAGCACTTCTAAATTGCTTAAAAAGCGAGCGATCCGTCCAAGACTTGTATCCGTGATTTGTTTACACAAACTTAGATTTAACACTGTCAAAGAGGAAAGATCTTTGACGAACGCATGTCCAACGCCGATGTCCGTGACATTGTAACATCCTTTAAGGTTCAAACTCTCGATATTTGGCAAGCTTTGTATAACGTAGCTAAGGCTCTTCTTTAGACTAAGAATTCGTATTTTACGAATACCACGTTTCGCTAAGGAAGGAAACAAATGCGGATTTGACCTCCTCAAATGTAGCCTTGCTTGTACTCCACGCCACACTAAACGACTATAAGCCGCATCCCTCCATTTCGAACAGACCTGGGCGACTCTTCCCTTATCCCTGATGTCTAAATAGCTGAAAATAATGGCCAAAATCTCAGGGAAAAGGCAGTGAATCGTCGTCTTCCCTTTCATGTTGTTCGCCTGAGTATAACAAAGCGCCATTGGGAGTCGATCAGGCATTTCATTACACTTGGGACCCCTTTGTTCATTTTGGGCACGTGATTTTGTCGTCCTCGCTGATTGGCTTTTGTAAACAATAGCACTTTTTTCTTATAATCAGCGCGCTCAACGCAACACCGAATCCATCTCATACTGGATCTTCGCTTTACCAAACTTTGTAGCACTGAAAGACAATTAACATATTAATCTGAAGCAATTCAGATTATCGTTTCTGTTTATATTCGAACGGGTCAACCTACCTAATCTCCAATAATTTAACAAGTAAGAAAAAGTTAAAGTTTATTTTTCCGACTTTCTGATTGATTTAAATTTCTTTACACAAAATTCAGTTTTTCTTTATTTCAGCTGTACCTTTCTATTTTGAAAAATATTCTGCGATAAACTTAACAGCTGTGTAGGAACCGTTCTTTTCTTCGGTCTAAAGCTTTCTTGCACTTGAGCAAGGACAAATAATTTTTCCTTTGATAAAGCTATAAATAGACTGTCTGGTTTTTGTGGCGGCAGAATTAATTAGCACCACAAAAAACACAAGCTGTGTGTCATGAATTTTGTGTCTGAGTTGTCAGGGCATTAACTCGAGAATGTCAATGTAAAAGAAGCCATATTTTGTCTCGTACAACTGCGAATCTTTAGAAAACACCCGGGAGAAAACAGTAGAAAGGTATAGAAAATATCTCGCAATTTTTAATAGTAACTCGAATGTCACTATTTTCCCCTTGAATTTACTGGTAGGCGGAGAACTGAATTGCTATTTTGAATTTCTGAATATTGAACTTTGTTTCCGTTCTGGAGGCGTACAAAGAATAAATATTTTGAACCCAGTGCCAAAGGGAGAAAAATGTTTGGATTTTGTTTCTGATGAACTGGGCAGTCCTAGATACGTTTTAAGTTTTCCCGTGCCCGTGTAAATAATACAGTTTGTAATGAATATTGTGAAATGTTTGCTGTATGTATTACAAAACCGGGGGGCACTCAACAAACTTTTATACAGGGAGGCTCCGCCCCGAGGTCCAACCCGGTTCCCCTTACCGGCTTTTACATACCATTTTTCACGAAAAAGGTACCTTCTATTGAAAAATGGTACCCCTTTCACACACCTTGTTTAGAACCTTGCATCCCTTTTAACTGCTGTAAATGCACTAAATAGAACCAAATTTTAAACTTAAAACAGTAAACTGATCCTTTTGGGACAGTACTCATCGTAATATTTTGATTGGGAATTTTAAAGAGGTTTTTGCTTGTGTCAGGGGCACCCAACGGCAATTTTCGGGAAAATATCTGTTCGGAAGACGATTTGAGAACTAGAATTTTCGGAACATTTGTTGTAAAATTTCTGGCTTGCCTGCCTCTCCTAGGATTTTGGAACACCTACAAAATGGTTTAAAAACGGATACTTACCCCAAAAAAGGTTTTTCGAAAAGGTAAGTTTTGATCCTTGGATCACTAGACTTTCAGCTAGGAAATCCGAACAGATGAAAAGTTTTTAGGGGATAAAAAATGGGAAATACTAAAATACGTTCAACAATGCTTCTTATCCTCGTTGGGGCCGACACCGACACCGGGTAACCATAGATTAAAAAGGAGACCATTCTCCAGAAAGAATAGAACACAATAGAATAATTCTTTATTTAAACACGGTAAAATTCATCACGAGTAGAAATAAACCTAACTACCCTAAATAATATGCAAATCTGTCTACAACTAACCTAACTAAGACCTGTTTTTCATGAATGCCGTGTACACAGTATTTTAAAAATCAGATATTTAGAAGAGCCAATCGTTTAAATTGACTTAACAACACAGTATGCCGGCATTACGGTATTTGTTGTTGTTTTGTATCTAGTGATTTCTTCATTTCTTTATGCAGTGCTCTAGCAAGGGTAGATTTATTGGGGGGGGGGGGGCAATCACGAGCTCCAAAGGCGCGAGCTGCTACGGGGGTCCTGAGGCATGCTCCCCTAAAGTTTTTGAAATGTAGGGTTTCTGAAATAGCATTTTCAGCCTCCCGAGAGCATTAATCTCCCGCAATTTTTAAGTGACTAAAATCACTGAAGCCATAAATAAATCATTTTCACGCTTTATCGAACCGAAATGAACATGTTGTTATTGGGGGGCCCAGCCCCCCCCCCCCTCCTCATACTACAGCACTGCTCTATGTATGAAAATATTGGCTTCCGTCATGAACACCCTAAGCGAGACCATCTGCAATTCCTACCCCTTTGAGCGAGACGACGAGCATCAGGGTCGTTTTCATGATATGGGAATGCTCCGGTTGGTCCCCCCGCCCGCGAAAGAAAGAGCTGTTTATATTAGCGGAAGTTGTAACAAAATCCCGTTGCAAAATTTAAATTCCATTGGATCACGTCCAGTAGTCTGTCTGCCTATTGAATGAAAGAGTCAAAGCCATTCTAGTGTCTGGGTTTTTAACTTTCATTTGCTTTTTTGCTACTGTCGTTTGCCATTCGGGGCTACATTTATAGGTCGTTGCACACCATTATTCACGACGAACGAACGTAGGTTAGGAAGAAGAAAGTCCTTATATGAATGAATAAATGCTGAATAAACGAACGAACGAGCGAACGAACGAACGAACGAACGAACGAATGAATGAATGAATGAATGAATGAATGAATGAATGAATGAATGAATGAATGAATGAATGAATGAATGAATGAATGAATGAATGAATGAATGAATGAATGAATGAGTAACTGAACGAATGAATGACCGAAAGATTGAAAGAGCGAACGAACTGATCGAGCGAAGAAAAGAACAGAAATGGTTCTGCCTTTTTAAAATGTAGTACTCATGTAACTAATAATTTTCCTTAATACTCGATGTACGTGTGAACGCTATGTAATGCAAATACTAGCAGTTCAAACGGCAAGTTATTAAGTAAATGTAAATGAAGTCAATGTCTAGTTTGTTATTGATCAAAATGATTCCATGTTTTTTTCTTTAAATGCATCGAGATCATCAAATTTTCATGTTATAATGGAAAAACAAATAGATTGTAGGTCACACAATCGATTGGTGCCATGCGTCTGTCAACTCTATACCTAAAGCAGTGAAATCTCGGTTTCTAAAATGCTAAGGAACAAACAGTAGTGTGCGAGATTTCTGTCAAAGGTCCCCTTAAAAAGGAGCTGTCCACACTTGGTGCTCGAGAACCAGTGTCTGGGTACCGGCACAAAATGGTGTTGTCTTTACACTTTGAGTACCCGATATGTGACTGTGTACATAGTCATGCGGGTACTTGAAAAAAGGGTGTGTTCACATTGGTGCCCAGCGAGTACCGTACTCGGGCACCGTGCCCAGGCACCAAATGTGAACGCTGCCTAACATTATAGGATTTCGTGCACAGCTTAAAAAATTAGAGTGACAATTATGACAAATAGTCTTACCACAGGAGTACTTTATAGAAGTGAAATACAGTCAACCCCGTTAATACGGCATAGAATATGAATGTGGTCATAGGGAGTGATCGTATTAACGGGGTGTCCGTGTTAAGCGGGTTGAATTTAAAGAAGTGTAAAGGTTTTCTTTCCTCATGGACAAAGCAAACTGTCCGTAGTAAATAGTAACGAGGTTTCGGTATTAAGCGAGTGTCCGTAAAACGAAGTTTGACTGTAGTCAAAACGAACATAGTAGCTCATAGCTGACTGACGCTGACGAACACGATAAGAAAAAGAGCCATGTGCCTGCGCCTTGGGGTCAGCGGATCTCTCTATATATGAGGCTTGAGGGATTCAATTTGAAGTTTCAGTTGCATCTTTGTGACCAAATGAAATAGAGAATTGTTCGTAAAATAATGAAGTGGATAACTCGCAAGGTCGGATTTCAGTTGTCGCCTAAAAGATATCACTTCAGTTGTTTTTGTTGTTGTTGCTAAAAAGTGTGTAATTCGTCACTTCAGAAATTAAAGGAGAAGGGATCTGGAAAACCCATAATTGTTTCTGGTATCTTTACTAGGGACGCGCCAGTTAGCATTGGTCAATGTTTTTCCTTGACCTTATTAAGAGTCCCATAAGTCTTTGCGAAAGTTAACTCGCCCCAGTTTCCCTCTCGCTTCTGAAGTGACGAATTTGCAACACAACACCTACCACAAGTGTAACCTCAAAAGAGTCAATCATTCAACACATAAAAACATCAAACTTCTTCTAGGATCAAACCGTTGAGTCATGTGTAGGGCATGTACTCATTTGACCAAGCGTGAAGGGGCATGAATACCTTCATTTGGGAAAACGTTTGCACTAAAAGTTATCGCGTTAAGATTAAGTTGATTGATAAAATTAAATTTCAAGTAAGAAACAGATTTTAACACTTTAGAATTGTTACCAATAAGTTTTCGGTCTACTGCAGCATAATTAACTGATATATGATAAAGGTTGTTGTATTTACTGTTTAGATCTTTGAATGGTCACATACCCCCCGGGGGGTACTCAACAAATTGTTACACGGGAAGGCTCCGCCCCGAGGTCCAACCACTTACCTTTTCATATCACTGTACCATTTTTCACGAAAAAGGTACCCCTTTCGTATACCTTCTATTGACAAATGGCACCCTTTTCAATCACGTACCTCTTTCAGAACTTTGCACCCCTTTCAACTGCTGTAAAATAGAACGTTTTCCCGACTTTGTAAAGCCATAAAATTCATCTGTTAGTCCTTTTGGGCCCTTTTACAGACCCAAATGACAGATTTCCCTACCCTTTCATATACTTCAACGAGTAAAATCCCTGCCATTTCATATACCTGAAGCCTGAAAAAGGTACCCCTTTCGGCTGGAGCCTCCTCGGATAGGTCATTATAGAGAGTACCGCCCCGGGGCACATACCCCAACCCACCTGGCTCATTTTAGTGGGCAAACTTGTAAAATTATAACGCTTGCAAATTACGTTTGTTCGATGATCGAACAGATCATGTGATGAGGTAAAGAAGATTTAGTGAGGCTTAGGGAAATGTTTTGTAAATTACAAACAAATGTACTGCAGTTTTCAAGTACACGTGCAGCTTTGATGTTTTCAGAAATTTGAGGATACTAGCTGATGTTTTGATAGGCCAGGTATGGTTTTTTCTTGACAAACTGATAACAAATTGATTTTTATAGACCAACTGTGGCTCTGTTAGAATTTTAAAAGGGAAATTCTATATCAGTCCATCACTGAATCATATAGTCAGGAGTAATCGGCTCCTGTATAGTTTCCTTTGCTCCGGTGAGGAAGCGGGGAAGCTGGGGGCGCGTGGTGGGTGTGGATATTAAGGCTTCCGTATGGAGAGACGCTGGAGTTTTGTCATTGAAAAATTACTTTTATCTCCTTAAGGTGACCAGTGTGAGTGAAGCAAAGGCCTTATTTGACCCCTAAAAGAGATTTTACTATAACATAGGCACCCAATTGTCATAATCCTCAACGGCCACCTTTGGAAGAGAAGAAAGTGGCCGTTGTAGAGAGGCTTTTAAAAGAATCGATATATGGACTGTTGGCCGTTACAGGAGGTTCGACTGTGTGGCTAAATTGCTCGAACGTTGTTGAAATTGCTCGTTGTCTTCAACACAGTATGACCGCATTTAATTTCCTTTTACTGTGAATAAAAATATTAAGAAATTAACCCGCCATTATTTTAAACTCTGTTACAATTTCATTAAAAAACAAAAACCCTAACTGATATTTGTGTAGGTAAAAATGTTAGTTTTGCGTACGATAGCCCGAAGTGAGATCAAAATGTACAATTTTTCACCCCTAAGCTACCGGCCCTAAGCGAGACGGCAATCGCGCATCTTCGTCTATCATGGGAGTACCCTTCTCTCGGATCCTTGTGTGATTGAATGAAGAAAGCGAATGGACATAATATCTTACGTAATTGCTAATGTTGTATTTTTTAAGCTTAAAACGCCAGAAATAAATGAATGGCTAACCGCATGATGATGTACAACTTGTTAAAACGCCGCTTTATCCTTTTCGCTGATGATAAAAAGTGAAGTTTTTACCGAAGAAAAAGAGCGAAAGACCTCAATAAATCAAAGTTTGTTTAATTATGTTTCGATAAACAACCTCGGAGACTTGATCTATTTCATATTGTAGGATAACTCCATCTGGAACTGACATGTTTTGCAACAGCAAAATTCAATTTTCAAAATTGTTGGGAATTCACCCTGAGGAAAACTATATGACAACTGATAACCTATTTGTCGGCCGCACACGCATATCTTTATATATCAAATGACATTTGCCTTAAAGAATCAAAATAATGAAAAACGCTTTGTTTCAGTCAAATTCTTGCAAAGGAGAAGTTCTTACTGTTAAGGGATAAAAAAAGTTGCTCATGTATGTCACTGCCTTCTTCATGCCCACTTTCCACATGTTTGACATCTTTCCGTTGCTTTCGATTTTTTCGTACTATTTCCTTGTGCTTTTTTTATCAACATGAATTCCTTGTATCAACCCTACAAACATTTCTCTCTCCACTTCCATTATTAATCCCATATGTCTATAGGATATTTTTTCGGCCAGTTTCACGCAACATTTTAACCAAACTATATTGAGACACATGCACGATATCGATTTTGCTGAAAACGCAGCACTTTTCTTGCTTTTTTGCACAAATTAGTGTCATCTCGGTTTCAGGAATATTTCAAGTCTTTCTACAAATTTGACAGTTATTTAGAGCCGATATGGCTATCCCGTAGTTATACAATTTTCCTGGGCAAAGTTGCGAGTAAATGGAACCGCACTGATTTTCAAGATGGAAGACCTGTCAACTTGTGCGTTAGTCCAACGTCTCAGTCAAGATCTGGTATCTTCGCTTATTACTACCGTATTTTTCATAAGTTGACCGAATCTGCGAATAAGTAGACTATTTTTGAAAACCATGTTTATCATTTCGGCGTTGAATAGTGAGTGTTGATCTTCACTCGGCTCATTTTTGAAGATACCCCTTTTTCCGTTGCCACAAAGAGTTGTCAGAACAGAACAAGTTACGGTGACGTTGATTCGAAGACCCTTTGCGTGATAATTTTTCTAACCAACAGGGCGTACACATACACACACACAACAACAACAACAATCTTTAATTGTACTCACTCTCTTGCTCAACAATAAGTTAAGACAATGCAAATATTAATAGTAAAATTAGAGTACTGGCTGCCTGGAATAACCATAGGGGCTAGCTGAGTCAGACAGCCAGTTGACATCAGTATTAAATAGAAATAAATCACAGGTCAGGTTCACAAAATACCGAGACAAAGACACAACACAACAATAACAACAACAACAACAACATTAAAAGATAGATTAAAATTGTCCTTTTAAAGCAATCTTGTGATAAATGTTTTAATAACCTGTCAGTTATAAGTTACACTGCTTGTAGTCCGGCTTTTCTTTTAAAATCCGTTCAAATCTTATCCCATCCAGCGCAACTGCAAATAACAACGTCACAATCAGGGATTAGGACGAGAGGAGAAAAGACGGATTGTGGACTCTTAGGGGTGAAACAAACCCTCTGTCAGCAAAGAAAAATAAGAGACTGCTCGCAATCTTGAAATACGTCGGTGGAATTAACTTTACAGTTACACTTAATCGAAAAGAACGACAAACTCTTGGGCCTCATGGAGAACCTTCCTTGTGACTGAAACAATACAAAAATGAACAACTTCAAACAAAACGAAACATATATCATCGCACTCTAGTCCTGCTTTTTTTTTATCTGAACTCTTCAGTTTGCAATCTAAATACTGCAAACATTGAATCTTAAATCCGAAGAACTTCTTTAAGATTTAACCAGTATGATTGCTGATTTTTCACAAGAGACTCGTGAGGCATTCCTGGGATGCAAGTTATTGGTGGCACGTTGGAAAAAATGCAACTCTCTTGGAAAAAATGCAACCCTTCTTCCTTTCCAGATTGTGCAAAATCGTGATGAAATTAGTCTTTGTCTGCCGCCGGTCTGCAATTCCTAAATTGATTAGAATGCGTCATTGAGCATAACTGTTTGTAGCAGTCTATTTTATTTACGACTAGCTGAGGCTAACAAAAATTCTTGCCATAATTTCGTCATATATTATAAGCAAGTACCTTTTCTTTATACGAGCATATAAATAGGTAGAACTTAACTTAACCCTTCATGAGAGGGTATCCGTAAGACTTACTAGAGAGATTTTTCCTTCGGAGATAAAATCTTCATTTTCCATTCTTTTCCAAATCGTCATCGGTTGCTACGGCTGTTGCTATAGACAATAGTAAATAGTTACAGGCCATGCACAGAATACTTTTCTGCAAAAAGAAATAGAATATTTTTTATGCGCCCAATGTTGCAAAAATATATCTGTGGGTTTTTCTGATAATTGCACCAAGTTGTTTCACACTTTTGCCCATACTGCAAGCAACCTTACACATAATGTGATTCTACTAATAATCTATATATCCTTTATTTAAGGGGTTTTCTATTTGGTATCATCTACGTACACCTACTGAATTGTTACTCTTTCCGGAATTCTAAACTTTGAAAGACAGTACTTCAGTCTTATTCTACTCATTCATCAAATATCTCTTGACCTTTAACTCAAACGTTAAGGGTTCGTAAACATACTTTAAGGAGGTTATTAGGATTAACGATTGTATTTAAAACAGATTGATCATTATGCTGTAATACTTTCGTGCGCCATAAAAGGAAAAAATGGCAATTATGATCTCATGTCGAAGCGGAATTTGAATTAGTCAGGCGTCGAAATGAAATAAGATGTAACGTGGCACTTGGTGAAACTCAAAATGTTAAAGAAATTTGACATTTTTTTTCGGAAAAAAAAATCCATGAAAGCAAATAGCACCCTAGGGAAATCCCAGTAGGATTTCGTGTGCAGAAAGTTCGAATATAGAAAAACGAACGAATTAAACAAATTTTATGTATCAATTTTGATCAATGTGCAAACACCGCAGATTTTACCACAGACTCAAAAGTTAAAAATGTCATACATTAGGTTTTGGTGCGAAGACTCAGATTTTGGAACCATGCTTATTTGTACCTTTTGTGTCTTCACAGTAAGAGTGAAAAGGTTAAATATATATTAAGTGTTAAATTGTAGTGGACAATTTGTAGGTTATCAATTTTACGTTGGTACCGCCAGCAGAACGATGAGGAGTCTGTGTGAGGCCAGTGTCGGTGAATGAAGCTGAATGACAAGCCCATGTCATGAGTTTCAAACGTGTCGGTCAATTAAATTGTGATAACAGTTGGAAAAAAGGCAAGTTCGAAAAATGCCCCGCACACGAAGTCCTGAGTCAATTTTTGAGAACTGCAGAAGGATAGAAATAGAGACTCAAAAGTTTGAAAGCTTCTAGAAAATATATAACGAAGGGGATCGAGACTGTTTGTAGTAAACGGTTGGATGGAAGAAAAACTTTTCAAAGTCAAATATTTAGTCTTTTCTCTCGAAACATTCATCTTTTAAGTACTGACTGGAAATTTATAGTTATTACACAAATGGAAATTTGACGATAATGCCTTTTTAGAATCTAACGTCGTTTTTAACTGTCGTCTGTCCATGACTTTTAAGTAAAAACAAATAAACAAAAAAAACAGCAGCGGCTGATGTAGCTGAGAATTTAGCACTGAAATATTCTCTGGAGAAATATAGTTTTACTGGGACTAGAGTTTCGTTTTCATTAGTGCATGTTTAAAATTCCCTTAACTCTTACTACTCATTTTACTAGCCTAAGTTAGGTAGGGCTTGATTGGTCGGTAAAATATTACAGTTGCTAATCTGCAAAGTGGAAGCAGACAAGTTAACATGATGAAAGTGGCCACACGTAGCTGAGGGTGATCCTAATCATAGAAAATTCTGCGTTTCCGTTCGGAATGAAACCGTTATACCACCTTTGTTGGATAGCCCCCGGCCGCGGCCAAAGAATTTTTTACAAGCACTTATGTAGAGCAAAAATGCCGCAAAATAATTATTAGAAAGTTCAGGAAGTATGCATGGCCTTTTTCTTCAGTCCGGGTGGTTAACTCTTTTTTCCATTCATGGGTTATGGTGAACTTTGGAGACAGACTTCAAATCATCCACTTGACCTTAGCACTTTCTTAGCACTGTCATAAAAATTTGTCAGAGATAAGGATGTCCCCTTTAGTTGGACATCGAGAAAAGTACTGTTTGCTAGCAAATACGTGAATACCATTTGGAGTTTTGAAAACGGGTGGCAAGAAATGACTATTTTCTCCGCAAAACTGGATAACTTGACTGTGATCAAGGTGATTAAATCCGTCTGTTTTTCCTAGGAGCATAAGCATGCTCAAGATAAGTAAATTTAGCTTCAACCTTTTTTACTTTGGGATCGTATGTCAGCCATATTTGGAGAAGGCGCAATTTAAAATCAAAACAGACTTGACAACTGCTTCATGATGGTCGTTTAAGATTTGCGTGCCCGCACGATCTCTGATTTCTCGGATTCCACGTGGCCTAAGCAGCTGTGAATGGTGATCGATGATCAACTACAACTACATGCAAAGCACTGGTTTGAAGATTCGGCTTTCATCGTTTCCTATTATCTGACAATAGCCCCAAACCTTCAGAGAATGTCCGACGAATCCTTCACCGCCTTGCCATAGTGACAAGTATGGTATGACTGAATGGCCCTTGTTTTCCGTGCACCAAGAGCAAGAGAAGATATCTAATCCGATAACTCCCATAAACTAATTCATATCATCCAAACTTAAGCGAACCCTTTCTTCCGCTCAAGAGCTGTAATCAGCATCCACTCGAACGTTAATGAAGCCGACAGTATAGATGATTTCAACCGTCAATACATGTTCGTGACCAACTATTTGGTGACACTGAGTGATATTTGCTTTCATGCCAAAACGTTTAGGCTTATTTCCAACACTATTAGACAAAACTGCGTTTTAATTGAAGCATTCAATAATAAAATATAGACACCTACATTTATACTCTCTCGGTGATCGTCTGTCGAGGTTCTGAAGTAGAGTTTTTTGGAGCAATTCACTTAGTTAGAGTGGCATGTGCCCACGTCATATTTGCTCAATATTATCGTGCATCATCAGAAACTCAAATAAAAGGTATAGGTCATTGAAATCCAAGCCTGTTATGTGCTGACATAAAGAAATCCTGACTAGGTCATCCTTAAAGGAGAAATATTTCCGGTTTAATAAAGCCCTCCGGGCGTTAGTCAACACAGTTTTCATTGGAAACCTCGACAGAAGGAGCTGCTTTAAGGCGCGCTTAGTATGTTCAACTCAGCACATCTGTAATCAATAAGTTCGGCAAATTTGTAATTTACTAAGTCATAGTTGCAGCCAATCAGGATGCATAAAATGGTATTTTAAGCAGCTCCCGTCAGCCTATTTTAGGGCTCAATGCATGTGCTAAAGAGATTAGTTGAATTGAATGCGTCAAAGCAATCAAAGTGAGGACCATTCTTGACTTTTGTCTATCTGAATCATCCCTGAACAGAAAGTCTTCGCCGAATTCATGATGAGGGTGAGACGGAAGGCTCGCCGAGTTCCCCTTCTACTAATCTTCATGACGCTTACGTCCTACTTCCAAGCCGGACAGAGTGTTTGGTAAGCATATTCAGTGAACGACTCTCTTCTTCCCAATTTGTTTGTATTTGGGTTGGCGTTTTCCTTCCTTAACAAGGTCCTGTTTTTGTGTTTTGCCAGACCATCTGGAAGAAATGAAATGTAGTTCTGTCAATTATAGGTTTTAGTGTAATGTTTACTCACTAGAAATTCTGCTTGGGGAATTCGTTTAATTTCGGATTATGGCAATGCTTTTAGTAGGAACTGAAGTGACGTTTATATTGTCGAATTAACTACATTTCCTTGTCATAACGTTTCTCTGCTTTTAAAACACTGCTTTTTCCAGCTTCGTCCTTGGTTGCGAAAGCGTTAATGATTTTATAATTTCTTCAGAGGCGATTACTTGCAAATTACTTAACCAAACATTTCGATCCTCTTGGTCTTCTCTAAACAGGTCCCTTGGTATTGCCAACCAGGCGTCCTTCCTTGGCTCAATTCAACACTATTGCTATGCTATGGGCTTGAATGACGAACAGGCGGAACTGTGCTTGGAAAATCGAGAGCTCATTGTTGGCGTTAGATATGGCGCTAGACTCGCCCAAAAGCAATGCGAGTACCAGTTTCAATACCGTCGATGGAACTGCTCTATCCCAGAAAGAGATAGGAACTCCTTATTTCATAGGATAACAGGAACAGGTTAGGATTTCTTAGAATAAATTTCCTTGTATTTTATAAACTGCAATTCATATTTCCAGTCTTTTTTAAACGCATCTGCTATCGTGATTTTGTGGTGTTTGTTTTGTGTAAGAAACATTTATTAATTAAAACGCGGTGCCCTTGTTACCGATCGGCATAAATCACACCACGAAATTACGCCATGAGGTGAACTAATTGGGTATCTTTATCTCCCTTTGTATTTTATCCAATTGAAACATTTTTCGCAGCCCGATCGAGGAACCTGCAGTTGCCCTGCTGAAGAAGCTTTCAATTTTAGTACTTGGTACGTAGTCGTTGCAGCTGGGATATCCGGTCGCTTTCTCTTCAAAAGTAAACGGGCAAATTAGTCATTCCTAAGTTGCCGTTTCCGCAAGCCAGGAGGAGTAATGATACAATCAGATTTTTTTATGCCTGGCCTCGATAAACTTGCCATTTCTTTATCGCCGGCAACCATTGTTGTGGTTCTGTTTGTCCGTCACAGTAATTCCCTCGCTCTCAACTCTCGAGTGAATCGTTTCCCCAGATGACATAATGTCACGAGCTAAACCGGCACCGAACTATTGCAGCTCTTCACTCTGAGAATTTTGTTGATTGGAATGTACAATCAAAATATTCAGAATCGAGTCGAGTGGAATTATAAATACACAGTTACAATTACATTGACAAACACCATACATACCATTGACAAGAAAATCATTTGCTATTTTACAGGGGTTTTCCACGCTGTCTTGTTAAAAGCCCCTTTGCCCTTGAAATATTTGACTCCTTTACGGCTGTCTAAGAATAAGCGACTCGATTAGCGCTTTCTCCACAGGAACACGTCAGCCTGATTTAGCACACCTTAATAGACGGGATTATAATGTTCTCTACGTCAAGTGTATCTCTCGAATCTGTCGGTTGCTCTCCTCTTGATCTCTACGTTATCGTGTTGGAGAGCCCCTAATTAGGGCGAGTGTTGAACAGAAAATGTTTCTAACGTCTTGGTTTAAAACGGTAACAAAGAGTGTCCAAAGCGTTTTGTGAATGTGACCGTTCTTCTTTCCTTTTTCCTGTGGTATTGTAGCATTCACAGGGACTAACTACTTTTAATGAAATAATATCGGTTTGCCTCTTTACACCTACAGAAAGTCCTGCGAACCTCAGTGATAATGAAGATTTCGTCTAAGTAGGGATTATAAGTATTACGCGAGGTTGAGCCAAATGAACTGTGAAATATAAACATATACGAAATCTTTATTGACCTACTGTAAACCACTAATTTTAGGCGCGTGTGGCTTATCTTGAAAAGAGCGTATGGCTAAGATAGACTTTATTTACTTTTCGATTTAATTCTCTTTAAGAAATCGTTTTTGTTCACCTGTGTTATTATCTTTTACAACGGGTTCCCCTAAAGTGTTGAATCATTTTTTTTCTGGTGTTCCTGTTCACTGAGTTTTTGCGATGGAAGAAGACCTTTTCGTCCCCTTTTTTTCTAACTACTACAATGACAAGATGTTCATACCAGTCTCTCTATGTAAACCTGAAATGTAATGGCAAAATATGACTATTTGAGCCACTAGAAATTTTTTGCACCCGTCAAATTCTGATGTGACTCTCTCTGGATACGGACGACAAGAATAAAAGTGTTAATCGAAGAAATGGAACTCTAGACCTGCTAATGAAAGTTGAGCTGAATTTTTTAATTTCAATTAGTGCTGTGTTTTTTTTCTTGTCATTTTTCGAAATGCCCTATAGGTGTTTGCCTTTTGACCAATGCCTTTTGACCGCGCGTTTGATCACATGATGACGGCTTGTGCACGCGCGACTCGATTTTGGAATCACGATGGACTAGTGCAATTGTGGCAAAGAATTCCAGAAAATACCATGGCTTTGTTTGTCCTAAATTTTTAAGCATTGTGATTTCTCTATTTAAAATGGCCCCAGAGAAACTGGGTAATTACAAAATTTGGGGTGACAAACAACTCTTGATTTTATTTAAATTACCCAACTTTAATTTACGAACATCAGCTAAATTCCAGGCCGAAAAATGAATTGCAGAGGTTTGACGGATGTAAACTCCTGCTATTATGGACTCTCGCTCATGAGGACTCTAACTCAAGGTCCCTACAGTGTCCGCGATAAAGGTGTAGTTGACTGCATAGTACATCAAAATGAATGAATGGAAATTAATGAACTTTAACCTCATTCCCTGAGAGAAGCTAATCAAAAATGCAGTTCATGTGCATCTCCTGTTGGCACTTTTCCTTGTTTTTGTTATTTTTTATGGTCACTCCTCTGCGACGAAAGCAAAACCAGTATATTCGTTTGATACTTGAAAAGGATTCCCCAGTTATATACTGCTTCGGTATTTGACGATGGACAAAAATATCTGTAGAAGAAATATTACCAGAAATGAATGCACAAAAGTGAACTGAAAAAGCTAATGCATGCTCAAAGTGATCTATCCGTTCCAAAATTGAAGCATTTTAAGATGGTAACATCGAAAGCTACTGACTTTTGTTTCTTTGTCCCATGTCTTTCGCATCTTTTCTTGGTGTTGAGAAACCCGTTTAAAACACGGTGGAGGTAGGGTGTGGTACCACAAGGTTCCCATTGAGTTGGTTGACCCTTTACTCGGAGTCGGCCGACATCCAAATTTGAGAACGACACCAAATTTTAATACCGTACAAAAGTCAAGTCAAAGATATTTTATTTGAATGGTCAAGAGTTAAAACAATAACATACCCAACTTTATTATTGTTTAATGCCGGTGCAATGCAATTGTTTCTCATGACTGAATGTTCGTCGCCGAGCAAACGTACTATGACCAACCCACGAGGTTACATTGAGGACAATTTTTCCTGTTATTTTATTCTAGGAACCCGTGAATCTGCTTTTACGTACGCCATATCAACCGCAGGAGTTGCTTATTACATAGCCCGACAGTGTGCAATCCATGGAGATCTCAAGTCATGTGGGTGTAGCCGTGAAAGGAGACCAAAAGAAGTTGACAAAATGGCCAAGGAAGAAGAGGGAGTCCAATTTGATTGGGGCGGATGCGGAGACAATATTCAATTTGGTACTAGTTACGCAAAGCAATTTCTGAATGCAGGCGAAGGGGGCGGTCAAGAACACAGAGACATGCGTGACCAGGAACGTGCACGGATGAACAAACATAATAATGAAGTAGGAGTACAGGTAGGAAGTAACTTATAAAAGCTTTGCCTAGAGACCATCTGTCATGTTTTGTATGGGTTAAGTCGACTGACAGAGGAAAAAACCATTCTTTATGTATAGTCCAGCACCGGATCCAGACCTTGAGATAAGGGCGGGAGAGGAGGGTGGGGGTCCAGAAAATGTTTTCGGCCTTCCAGGCCTTAGTTTGGTCTAAAAATGTGGGGGGCCCCGGCCCCCCGGGCCCCTCCCCTGGATGCGCCACTGAGTGACATATTAGTCATATTAGCTGAGTGACTTCTGATGAAGGCATTCAAAGTGTAATAATGTTTCGCGCCTTTTCTCTAGTTCTAATGCTACCTCAATTTCAAACTACCTCCTCTAATAAACTGAGTGCCAATTTAGTCGTGCTGATACGGTAGTCCAAAGGTTAAGCAGCTCTTTACAAGTCGCTTATCCGTACAAGTCGGGTTTTTACAAGTCGTCATACACTCGTATGACGTCTCCATTTGATTTTGTAGGAAACTAGAGTGAAACACAGTTCTCGCGTTGGCGATATTTTCTTCTTACCATTAGTGTCAAGCCTTTTAGTTCAAGAGTCTTCTATAAAAACAACATTTTCAATTTTCTTTAAAAGTAAATGTTTATGTAACCATTTTTTGTAATGAGAACTCTCTCGCATGTGACCTCTTAAAGTAAAGAGTTGACGCCTCCTTCAACTTTATCTTGATAACTTTTTGTTAAGTGGCTGAAAAGGATGCAACATTTTCATATTTTCAGTCCTTTGGGTAGGCAAAGTCAGAGCGGCTGCAGATTTCATCGCAGAGCTATCTAGAAAACCACAAAATAAAAATATTTCTAGCATCGAAAATGTAAAAATAGAGTAACCATAGACCGGATATTTCGTTGAAAATCATCTAGGGAGACACTCAATTTCCGCCGCTCTTTGCACACTGATATTTTGGACATCCGAGATTCAACTGGCATTTTACGGACAATTCTGTAAGGCGTTTTAATCAGTAATCATCTTTAGAACTTGTAAATGTTATTTTAGTATTGACAAGCTACACTTCATATTAAATTGGAAGTCATTAATTCTAAATCGGGACATATTTCTCACTTCTTAGTGAGACATCACAGTCTCCGTTTCTTAGAGGAATGGGATGGGCACACACACCCCGGTACGCAGCTGGTGGTCGTCGTAGCTTTAAAAAGCTCCGTCTCATTTTGTTCTTAAATTCTCCCAGTAAAAGTGAGAATGTGTTGAAATGAAGGAATAGCTATTTGATCATCACTTTATGAAACAAATATTGTGTGTTTAATGTTTTGTAAGTTAGTAGCTCTTCTGAAAAGAAAGGATAAAACGCTTTGCAATGTCTTAATTTTCAGGTTTACAGGATAAATCACGCCCAAATTTTGCCGCAATCGACTTATGGGCAAATATTTTCGTTGCAATATGCTTTCAATTAACAAATAAATTAATTGGCAATACTCTTAGTTGACAAGACTTTCCTGCCCGTTTTAACATTAAAAAAATATTTGAAATCCCAAGGAAGTGACTCTTATGGTAGAAAAATCGAAGTAAAGTTCTAGTTCTGATATGCAGTTTATAGTGAGTATAGTTTCATCACTTTGCTTACATAATGGTAATTGTTCATGTAAGGTTAAGGGTGAAAAAAAAAAAAGAATAACTAAGTAAAAAAAGAATGAAAAACTGAGGCAGGCGTTGGAAGACCTCACCGATTTTGGAATTTTTTATCCGTCAGAGAACGCTATTACCGGGGAAACTGGTTCATTCCTTCGCTAATTAAAGCCAAGGACGTATTAATTACTTCGAAGACGGCGGTGTTTCTATTGTACTCAGACAGACCAAAGGTATCTGCGACAACCGTTTTTAAATCTTAAGGTGTCTAGACAATGGCAGATCTTTTGCAAAGGGAAGGCCTCCATTAACAATTGAATCTCAGGTATCTCTAACGTCCAGGGATGAACAGAAAATCTCGATTGCTTATCTTGATGTTTTCGTGAAGGGGTCATGATTCATGTGAATCGAGAAAACCGAACTGTAATCTCATAAAAGCTATGGCCACAGGCAACGAATTCAAAATCTCACTCGAGTGTCTTTTCAATGCCGGACTTTTTGCTGAGGGCTGCTAGCTCTCGAATCGTCTGTTTTTGAAGCTCTCTTTTCACTTTTTCTTTCATTTAAAATTGTATACAACTTAGTAAAATGTAATTTCGAGTTTCTGTAGTTGGAGCGGATTTTTATAAGCTTCGACCATATTACGTAACACTTATTCTTTTAAATCAGTAAAAGTACTTTTAAACACGCAGCCACAGCATCAAGAGAATTCCTCCAAGTTGTCGTTTTAGTAAAAATTTTAGAAATAACAATTTCAAAACCGAAAACGTAGGCCTTTTTCCCACTATTTTCCTTCGAAGACAGTTTTCACAGGGATTAATACCAAGGGGCTTTTAGCAAGAATGGTCTACTGATCCTTAGGGAGTTTCCATGAAGGTTAAAGTTCTATTTTCTGGTCTGACAGCTAGTAAACCTTGAGTAGAAAATGAAGTTCGGCGGGCAAGTGCGATCAGTTAAGTTCTTCGAAAAAGGGTTGTAGTTTGTTTATTGTTCTCTTGTTTTTTTGTTTTATTGAAAAGGTAATTAAAAAACGTCGTAAACGATTGCTAGTAGGAGGGCTGCTGAATGACAGTTTATTAATTGGAGAATCTTTTATTATGAATGCAATTTTCCTTTGCCCGAGGCAATATTCGCGCGTGCAAATTACCAAGTTTCTTTGGCGTGGTTGTGCTATTTTACCATATTCCCCTGCTGAGCTATCAATAAGAACCTCAATCTCCTTCACTAATAACTATGGAAAGTATTTTCTCCGAGGGATTGTCTGTCATCAGTAGATTTGCGTGTCCGGGTTTCCTACAAGGAATATGATTGTGCCTATTACGATATTTCAATTTAAACGAGAAAAATATGTTTTATCCTCCTTCTCTGCCTAATTAGTTGTCTGTGAACATCGACATAAAATAATCTTTGGCCAGTAACGTCCCTTTTCAAAAGATGACCGGTTTAGTGTTGAAGCATGCTCATAAGGCAATCAGATTGGGGAATTTTGTTAACGGGCTTTGCCATTGTTGCTTAAGGGGGTCAAAACTCCCGCTAAAAAATGTACAACTAATTTTTTATTATTTTGGTAATTTAGTAAGAAATACATTTAACATTTCTTGTAGCTTAAAGGGAAGTTTTTAGGGAAATATCTTTTCCGGAGACGTTTTAAAATGGACTTTCTATGACTCAGCTCAAGGGAAAAACAGGACCATTAAACGTTTCCCGGCCTAGAAATGTTATTACGTGGCTTGCCAATCTTATTCTTGTATTGGCCATTTTCTCATATCATAAGTAATTTCACGAGCTAATCTCACTTTGAATAAAACAGACTGTTCAACATTCTTCATCTGTGCAAGTGAATTTTGTAAAAATAATTCTTTCCTTGTCATGGCGTAGACCATTATGTAACCGTGATGTTTGTATTGTTGTCGGACATCTTCATCTTATGGTAACAAGCTGCATGTATCGTCCTCATTCGGCATCACGGATTATGCCAAGTGTCAATGATGCATCATGTACCATTATCACCGATTACGTTCATTGCTACATGTCCACCTCTCACAGCAACGCTTAGAGTCCGCCTTCCATTACTAGGTGCCAGGGGTTCAGGGATAGCACATGGTCATTTTGTCATCTTCACACGGCTTAATTCTCTAGCAGTTCTCCATATGGTCAACCGACTGCAACATTTAACGCCACCAGACCATCACCAGTTAGCACAAGTTGGTCACAATCGCCAGTTAGCACAAGTTGATCACAATCACCAGTTAAACACAAATTGGTCACAATCTCTCGCCAGTTGTAGCACAAGTTGGTCACAATCACCAGTTAGCACAAGTTGGTCACAATCTCTCGCCAGTTATAGCACAAGTTGGTCACAATCGCCAGTTAGCACAAGCTGGTCACAATCACCAGTTAAACACAAGTTGGTCACAATGGCCAGTTAGCACAAGTTGATCAGAATCACCAGTTAGCACAAGTTGGTCACAATCGCCAGTTAGCACAAGCTGGTCACAATCACCAGTTAAACACAAGTTGGTCACAGTCTCTCGCCAGTTATAGCACAAGTTGGTCACAATCTCTCGCCAGTTATAGCTCAAGTTGGTCACAATCACCACTTAGCACAAGCTGGTCACAATCACCAGTTAAACACAAGTTGGTCACAGTCTCTCGCCAGTTATAGCACAAGTTGGTCACAATCTCTCGCCAGTTATAGCTCAAGTTGGTCACAATCACCACTTAGCACAAGTTGGTCACAATCGCCTCCACATAAAACAAAAGTGATTTAGACATTGTTCTTTCCCTCAGGTCATTAAAGGCAGTTCTGAGATCACTTGCAAGTGTCACGGCGTTTCACAATCGTGCGCATTGAGAACATGCTGGAGAGAGCTTGCTGACTTCTCTGAAATTGGAAAGAAACTGCAGCAGAAGTATGACTCTGCTAGTAGAGTTAGATACGACAGGCGAACGGGTAAATTCATAAGGATTAAGAAGACCAAAGAAGCAGGCTTAAGTCGAAGGGGCGGAAAACGTAGAAGTTCTAGAATACCAACCTATCGAAGCCTTGTTTTCATTGACTCCTCGCCTAATTATTGTGTACGCAGCAGAAGACACAAGACAGTGGGAACCAAGGGTCGAGAATGTAAAATCAACTCAGATGGCAGCGACAGTTGTACAGATCTGTGCTGTGGTCGTGGATATCAGCCAGCTGAAGTGGTGACAAAGGAGAAGTGCCAGTGCAAATTTTACTGGTGTTGTACTGTAAAGTGCAAGCAGTGTTTAAAGAGAACGACAAAATATTACTGCCTTTAATGAGGTACTGCATGATGCCATCTCGTCACTCTGAAATCGCCCCATGTAAGGGAATCCAGATTCCGGAATGCTTGTGGAATCCAGAATCCAAGTTCCACTGACAAAGACTGGAATCCACCCCTACAATCCGGAATCCACAGCGTGGAATCCGGAATCCAAGACTATCCTGGATTCCCTTACGTGGGGCGACTGGAAGATGTTGGTCTTAAGCGGCCAACGATTCGTGAGAAACCTCCTCAATCTGATTTAAAAAGTAACAGCATGAGGTGTAGAGAATAAAATCCTACCAGTGAGCAAACTGAGATTATCCGTCAGCCTCTGTATATGCAACTGTTCAATTTAAATTGACCACTTAATCTCAAATCACTGAAGGATAAAATGTTTGCCTTAAGCGTGGTTTGTTCCAGGGGAGGGAGCGGAGAAACGTCGAAGACTCGTCAGTGCGTCGGACTCGCGATCCAGAGGTCCCTAATCAGAGTCCACAAGTCGTTTTTTTTCTGTCATTTTCCGCTCCTCACCTGGCCAACAAGTTTGCCTACTGCAATATGGGAATCATTTTTTTCTAAATTGTAAAATGAATGTATTTGACTTTGACTTGCAAGAAAATTACTTTTTAAACGATACTACACCTTATTTATCTGATTTGTTACCAGATTCATCACATTTGTCACACTAGAACAGTGCTCACTTGTAATCATTTCTTGAATGTTTACCCTGCGTTTAAACATTAAATTTATCAAGAGACGAAAGTTCCAAAAAAGTGAAAAATTTTAAACTATAGATCCGCAGGGGATGAACAGGGAATATGCATAAAGTTAACTAAGATATCCAGTCATTTTTATGTAAGGTATAGACTGACATTTTAGCTTCGTAACCCACGCATCACAGTGACGTCATTAGCACTTAAACGCATTTTGTCAGTTACTGTGAAATCGTAGACATTCTTTTTTCAAGTCTCAATTTCAAGTTCTTATAGATCCAACGTCTCAATTTAATGTTTGCATGTTTACTTAATAACAACCTTGATTTGCACTCATTTTAAACAATTTCTATTCATGAAAGCTTTCTTGAGAAATATTTGGTTGAGGTTTGGCTGTTTCAGTGAGTGTTTTTTCCGAGTTCCTCATACTCCCTTCATAAAATTACCCTGCTTGTGAAAAGTATGCTTTGACTATCGTTTTCAGACCATTCAGCAAATTTGAAAAAAGGGAGCTTTGGTTTAAAATTAGCTAACATACAGTCTTTCTTTAAACCCGGACTGAAGTCCTACAGAGTTCTTAATCAGTGGGATGTTTCTTTGACTTTATTTCTGTTTTTTTTTTTTGTTTGTTCAGAATGAGAACATATGGTCTCTGAAAACCGCCTTTAATGGTTAGCGTAGGGACGTTTCTGTCGCCTATTTTTCCTATGAGAATTGAATGGCGTTCTTGCCACTGACGTCCCTTTATTCTTTTTACACTTAGGTTGTTCGAGACACATCCAAAATTGTGTGTAAGTGTCATGGGATTACGGGATCATGTAATTTCAAGACCTGTTTGAGGTTATTAGCGGAATTTGTCGAGATTGGAAACACATTGCACGAAAAATACGACACTGCCGTGCACGTGAAATTGGAACGTAAAAACGCGAAGAATCAACTTTTCATTAAGAGAAATAAAGAAGATCAACGCCGAGACTCTTGGAACAAAAGAAGCTTCCAAAAAAGGCCAACTAAAGACACCTTGGTGTTCTTGAAGGTTTCGCCCAACTATTGCCGAGGGAATAAAGACTTTCCAGGGACCACTGGACGTTTCTGTAGCATTGATTCATACGGTGTAGATAGCTGCGATGAACTGTGCTGTAAAAGAGGATCCGTGGAAGTGTTATTAAGGACAGACAAGCGATGCAAGTGTAAATTCCATTGGTGCTGTGAAATACGGTGCAAGACATGCTCCGTAGAGGAAACTAAGCATAGATGCAGGTGAACTATTTACTAACGTTGGAAAGCAGGCGATGTTATACAGTTAATCAAATTCTGTCCTAGCGTTAAGCATGACCAGTATTTTAAAAAATTGCATGGTTTCCCCTGTCAAAGTTGAACGTTGGATGGGACTTTCATTACCGATGGTAGATAGCTAAGAGACATTAGATCATACAAAAAAAAAAGATAGTGGAAAAATATCACCCATTTTGTGAATGTGGTGAATTGTACCATGAGAAAAAGGTTTGTGAGGTTTTGGGGAGCAACGTAAGGTAAATCATACATTTTAAAAGTATGAACAAAATTGAGGTTAAAGAAGATATGCCAGCCAGCATTAAAAATAAATAAATAAAAATATTGCTTGGTTAATTGGACCAAAATTGCAGCTTGGGAGTTTACCAAGCTTCCCACCTCCAAACCTCGCTTACCTTTTCAACATATCCTCTCTAAAGGTTCTTCAAAACTTAAAATACATTATATATTCAGATATATAATTAACAATTATTGAATGAGAGTGAGTAGAATCAGAGGAATTGCACAGATTGAGGAGGATATCCTCCGAATTCAATTATTGTTTCATTATTATTTTAAAATATTTCTAAATTCTTAACGTACTTACCTCCTCGAAGAATTTCTTGACTCTGACAGGCACAGTTTCAAACAGATGATTATTTCATGTTGCAGATAATCCTCAAAAAGTAGAAAACAATTATTTTTAGTTCGCTATTGCCCAAGCAGCCTCGTTTCCAATCAAATATACCATTGTATCGATGGTATACTGCTGGCTTCTTCCACATATGGTAAGCACCAGTTGGTTATGAAGAATTAGCCGGGGGATTGGTGCCAATCAGGAACGGCGAAATATTTTGAGTGAATAATAAATGCCGATATTCCATGCTAGTTTCACGTAATCTGGCGCCCACTAGTCAAACGTTACGCATGCTTGAATATTTTGGCCACTGTACAAAGCTTTAGTTGGCTTGAACACTGAATATTGTGACTGCATGCAACTGTCTGTGTCGTGAATAAACTGATATATATGTGATTTCAAATATGAACACTTTTTTTGTTAAAAATGGCGAGTATCACACGACCTTCCACAATATTCACATAAGAGCATCCGTTCATTGTCGTTGGATTAAAGTGGCTACGTCACGCTCAGTTGCATCTCTTGAGAGTTTAAAGGGCGTCTTCGCATCAATTGAATTCTAAAAACTAAGCACTGAAACTGTGTCCAGTCCTCTGTTGCTATGGATGCAGGGATGGACTTGGATTGACACTTGACCAATGGTTTCAAGTTTTACTGCGTTTTTCAAAACCACAAGAATAATGAAATTAAAAAGCCAACTGACGACTCCGTTTTTCGCTGCCGTCAATCATCTTAGGGGACCTCTTAGAAAACAAAACTTTACTTCAACGGGTTCAAAAGGTCATGGTTTGTGATTGGTGATTGGTGGATTTCGATCCGTTTTGGGTGTTTCTGTGTTTCAATGTTCGTTGCTTGTGATCGTAATTATGATTGACGGCAGCGAAAAACGCAATTCTGAGGGCGGCTTTTGAACTTTAGAGTTCGCATCTTTGTGAAAAGCGCGGTAAAGCTATGCCTGCAAAAATCACCCCAGATTATTATGGCTAGTTCCCCTTGATGAAATTTGTTTTGACATCGTCTTGATAACTCTTCAGGAGCATTTTATGTATGGAGAAAGGCATTAAGTAATGACTTAAAGGAGCTGTGTCCCGCCACGAAATTTATCAAAAAATCAAACAGTTGGAACCGCCACCAGATTGAGTGAAACATAAAAATAACAGCTCAAAACAGTAAAAGAAGGTATAAATGACACCCCCCCCCCGGGGGGGGAACTCCGCATATGAAATGGGTGGGGATGCTCGTCGTCTCGCTTAGGGGTGTAAATTTCGGATTTTGGTCTCACTTAGGGTGTTCTGGGCAAAACGCCATCATATTTGGCCGTAAAGGTCTCGTTTAGGGTTGCACGCGAAAAAATATAAAAATATATATTTGATATGTATATTTTTTTCGTCTCTTTTAGGGGTCAAAAAACGCTTGGGCCACGCCCAGATCGGTCTCCTTTAGGGTTTTAATTCAAAATTTCCGACGAGCATTACCACCCCTTTCATATGCGGAGTCTTCCCCGCGTATAAAAGTAAGCACGGATGGACAAACTTGAAAAAGATTGAAACGCATTGTTAGCCTAACAGTTTTTCAAAGTTCATGTTTTTGTCTGTAACTTTTGATATTTCAGACTAATGCTTAAGGGACAATTTGTTTGACATGAAACAGTGATTTTGTCATTTGCAAGTAACTTGCAAGTTCCGTTGTAATTGGTCGTGTAATTAGTGAACTTGCGCAACAGGACGGAAGAGGAAAGAAGACGGCAAACCTCGTGTGACAAGGGTGGCAAAAATTTTGTTTGAAATAACTTTCCGCTAAACTTCACCTTTCTTTAAACAGGCCAGAAAATATTAATGGTAAGTGAAGATCACGACAAAACTCGCAAGTAACAGCTGCCACGTTTGTCATGCACAAGCGTTTTGCCGTCCTCTTCTTCCTGCCGTACTGTTTCGCAAACTTACAATCAAATGTACAGCATGGACAGGCCGGACACAGCCCCTTCAACAAAGACTGGATCTAAAAAAGCAATATGATCCTGCGACAAAGAGGAAGGTATAAATGTATTCCATGTAATTAGTTTTTTGATGTTATACGTATAGCCTGCAAGAAACTGGATAAAAATATTTAGATTTACATTAATATATATTCATCCCACATATTTAAATTTTTCACGTTTCATTTTATCGCTTTTACGCTTGAAGCTAGACAACAGCACTCGGTGTCGAAAGGTTGGTTAGGAAAACTTGTTTAGTCAGAAAACGTTTTGAGTTACATATTATTAAAATGTATGTATAACCTATAGTTTACAAGAAATTGCATCTATCTGCTATGAGGCCTGTTTATTATTATAATAATTATTATATAATTATAATAATTATTATATATTAATAGTTATTATTGTGAAAGGTTTGAACCCAGGAGTCATTTCAAAAGTAGGTTGAGTATGATCGTCCGGGTGAACGTAGTTCTGAATAGGACTGTTGTTGTTGATAGTGACTGACGTTTCGACAACCTGTGCTGTCCTGTCATCTTCAGAGTCGAGTCTGAAGATATGTCGAAACGTCAGTCACTGTCAACAACAACAGTCCTATTCAGAACTACGTTCACCCAGACGATCATACTCAACCTACTTATATTATTATTATTATTATTATTATTAGTAGTAGTAGTAGTAGTAGTAGTAGTAGTAGTAGTACAATTTAACTTTTCAATTAGCCTTGAAAACAACCACCTCTCTACGGGGAGCGATGAGAGGGGACTGTCTTCCTATTTTTAAATATGTAGCCTGTAAGCTTTTTACACTTTTTAAAATTCACAGGCAAGCAATAGGCGAATCTTTGCTGACGTCATTAGTTATATCTATACTATATCTTTGTTTATAAAAGTGGTTTGATCTTAAAAAAGACGTAAATCCTAGTTCTAGATCAGATTAGTACAAACATATTTCAAAACCCGCATTAGGAAAAATTACGATGTTTTTCACTGCCTTGCTGTCTAATAACTAACGAGAATTGTATTTTTGATACCAAACGATTTGTATGCCCACAATAATAGTAATAATAATAATAACAATAATAGTAATAATAATAGTAATAATCCTGATGGTGATGATGATAATGATAATGATAAGGATAATGATATAATGATAATGATGATAATAATAATAATAATATTTATTATTATTATAATTTTAATACGGCGAGTGTCAGACATTGCCGCCATCAGAGTTAGTGTAGTTCTGAAAGTTCTGTTGTTGACAATTACTGACTTTTTAAAAGTCTGAGACTATTGAATGGGAAAGTTGTCGCATGGTTCCACCATTAACTCTGAAAGAGTTGTTGGTTTCAAACCATTTATTAAAGAAATTAAAAAAGTGCTCTTTGTGTATCATTGAGTCTTATAAGGACGTGGGAGCTTTTAAGGACCCAAAAGAAAGCGCTTTTTACCACATGCAATTGATTGCGCTTGAACTGGTTCCGTATGCGGCTTTGAAGCAAAGGTTGCCAAGTAAGAAAGCCTTATGCGCCAAACCTCGATCGATTGACATTTGCCACCATTGTTTACCGAGGTATCAAGGACACACTGAGAAATCTCAGTTATCATTGAGACCTGGTTAACTTACTAACGCTTTGCTAAATCAGAGTTACTACAAACTCTACCATTGGTTCCTAAAGTTACGTAATCCTCAGACAAATTGGTGGTTAATGGCCACAGGAATTGTGTCAATATATTTTTCCATTGCTTGACCCAATGGACCAAAACACAACTACACGTCTTGATGACAAACAGGTAATATCCGTTCAATGAAAAGCTAAGGATATTTCAGCCAACAAAAAGCGATTTTCGCTTACAATAGGTAGCTGTCCGGCGTAAACATAGAAGTATTCAGTCAGGTACGTGACATTACTTACAGTGTATAAGGGTATAAGATTGGTGACTTAAGACCACTCAGACCTTTGAGGGTCCTTTGAAACCAATGGTTCGAAATCACACGAATCCTTAGGCAATGGTTAGTTTTCAACAAGGCTTAAACTGGAAATAATCAGAAAACTCGCTTGAAGAGGACAGGTTTAATTACCAGTTCTCCGACCGGAAAAAGTGCTTACCAGTTTCACGCTTGCTTAACTCCGCTGACCAAGGAAAATGGAAAAAATCAAATGAAAAGAGATATAAGGAAGAAAATTATTTGTTTTAATTTTCTAAATTGATCATTTACCCGCTGAAAATTCAATAAGCACCTGTTGGCGTCACGTGTTTCGGGTTGCGTCATTAATTTTTAATCTTCCAATCGCTTCGAGATTTGTTCATATAATAGACAATGCGAGATGTGTAGTTGGATAAAAATGAAGTGTGTTTTCTGGTGTTTCCTCGTATTTTTTATAGCATCAGCTGATGCAAACAAAGATCCTGCGTTAAAGGTAGAAGACTCGGAGGATCTAGGAGTAGGAACTCGGACCGAAGAGGTTGAAAACAAAACAAGCATGACAAGTAACACTGCACATAGGAACATTTCTTTACACGGACCAGGTTTGATCATGTTATCTGTTGAGATTATCAAGAATGTAAGCCGCACGAACAACGCAACATCTCGCGATGGGTCCGAGATGTTTGTCATTGATGGAGACAGTCCGGA